ACGGTAAGCTTGTCTCGTATAAGCCTCCTCCTCTCGCTTACTCTAGCTATTATAGAGTATATACGAAACTAAGGATTATATTAGGTATCTCGTAGTAGGGCCTATTATTCCTAACGATAGTAGCCGCTACTCTTACGGGACTACTAATAAAACTCTTACGTTCCGCTAGCGCTATACTAGCGTCTCGCATCCCTATATATATAATAGAGATACGTTTTATAATCGGCTTAATATCCTCGGGTAGATTTAACTATAGAGCTAGTTTCGACTATAATATAGAGAGAAGGTTATTCGCCGCCTATAACTCGCTCTCGTAGTCGCTACGTTACGAAGGTATATCGGCTAGATTTCGTTTACTAGCCCGATATTTAATAGTAAAGTTAAAAGATATAAGGAAGGTCGCCTATCTTACTTACCTTCCGACGAGCTACTTTATCTTTATAAAGCCCTTAAGATTAGCGTAGTCGATAACTACGCGGATCGTATATTAGGCGCTATCGAGGTACGGGCGCTAATATTTAAAGGACTCGATAACCGCTAGGAGCTCCTAGTTATAGGTCTTATAGTTAATCTCCGTAGGGATTATTTTTCGTAACTAGAAGGCTATAGGGTACTAGTTCCTATTTTTACTTTGTTGTAATATAATCCCTACTAAGGCGAACGTAGAGGCATTAGTTTTAATATATAGGGGCTTCGTAGGATTATAGTATCGCAATATCGAGGCCGAGCTAAAGGTAGCCTTTAGCTAGCGGAACGCTTGCTCCTCGCTTTCGCCCTACGGGACCTACCCTAGCTTTCGGCTATTTATAGCTCCTTTCGATAAGGCGGTTAGTAGTATAACGATCTAGGAGTAATTAGGGATAAACCTCCGGTAGAAGTTATAGAATCCGAGAAAGGATTAAACCTCCTTTAGCGTTAATAGGCGAGGCTATTTAGTAATAGCGTTTACTCTATACTAATCTATCGATACGCCTTCGGTACTAACGATAAACCCTAGGAATTCGACTTCTTTCTTCTAGAAGGAACATTTCTTCCTATTTGCGTATAGCGTAAACTTTCTAAGCTACGTAAGGATAGCGCGTACGTCTCGTACGTAGTCCTCTCGCGTTTTGCTATAGATAAGAATATCGTTAAGGTAGACGATATAGCAAATATTAACTAGGCTAGCTAACGCCCTATTAATATATCCTTAAAACGTAGTAGGAGTATTAGTAAGCCTAAAAGGCATTACCTTATACTCGAAGTGCCCGTACCGTATACGGAACGTAGTCTTCTACTCGTCGCCTCGCTTAATATAGATATAGTAATATACATCCTAAAGGTCTAAGGATATATACTATTCGGCGTTCTTAAGCCTATTAAGTGTTTCGCTAATAAGAGGCAGGGGGTAACGATTTTTAATAGTAATCTCGTTTAGTCCCCTATAATCGACGTAGAGTCTTAGACTACTATCCTTCTTTAGTACGAATAGGATTAGCGTACTCGCCTCGCTTATACTAAGCTAGATCTAATTATTCTCTAAGGCTAAGCTTAGGTAATTACGAAAGTCGCTAAGCTCTCTTCCTAAAGAATAGTAGAGAGGTTTATATAGCGGCTTCGTTCCGGGGATTAGGTCGATTGTATACTCTACGTCTTCGGGGAGCTTACGTCGCGCTTCGAGCGTTATAGTAAAGACGTCTTCGAAGTCTTTAAATTCTTCTAGTAAGGAGGAATCCTTAGCGATATCGTAGAGCTAGCGAACGCTAATCGTATATACGTATAGAGCGTTACGTATATCCTTCTAGAATTCCTATAGTTCCCGTACGTATATCGTACGCGCTACGGTTTCGTTCCTATAGGTCTAGGTATCCGTCGAGCTGTCGACGATTACCTTTTAATCGCGCCTCTAAGGCCTACTAAGAATAATATTAGGGAGGGGCATTTCGAAAGTATAGAACACTCCGGTAGTAATGCGTTCTTAGCCTATAGAGTTAGCGATCCGTAAGCGTAGATAATACGCTCCGTAGTAGTATCCTTAGTTACCCTAGAAACTGTCGGCACTAGGTAGTACGGCATTAACAATCTACTAAGGCTAGTATCGTAGAACGAATTCTTAAGATACTATATTAATATTAGCGGTATTATCTAGTAAGCATTCGACGGCAACTTCCTCTTCTTATATAACGATTGCTCCGCGTACGCGTCCCGTAGATACTACTACTACTAAGCTACTTAGTTAAGATTCCGTACCTATCTCTAGCTCTTAGGAGGTACCTTATCTTTTCCCTTAGCCTTCGGGTCGTTCTTCTTTTCTTTAGCGTTAGCGGCGACCTTACGTGCCGTAGGGTTATCGTCTTTCTAGAGATAGCAGTTAGGGTATATATTCTTATAATAGCCTTTCTAGCGATAGCCGTAACATTCGACCTTACTAATATCGTACCCGCCTTACGAGTTATCGTTCTTCGAATACTTCCTACCTACTCCGCGGTCGCGATTTAACTATAGCTTATAGGCGTAACTATTAGACTAACGCTTCTTACCTTTACTACCTCCGGTTTTATCGTAGTTACGATCCTTGCGTTTACTAGACAGCTTATTAGGGGTCTCGATACGCGTCGTAAGCTCTACGAGTTCGTAACGCGTCGTTAGTACTATATAGTATTTAATAATCGCGCTACGAATCGCTAGCTAGAGTTTAACGAGGAGATAGCGGATCCTATACTCCTCGCTATAGTCGCTAAGTTAGTCTTCGAGTACTACGAGCTTAAGGGTAAAGCTTTAGACTAACTATCCCTTACGCTAACGAGCTGCCTTATACTCGAGGGTTACGTCTAGTATATAGTTTATAGGGTCCCCGACGTAGTCCTAATAGAAGGTTTTAAAGTCCTAGTAGGTATAATTCTATAGGTCCTTAAGGCTATTTTCGTTATACTATCGCTCCTACGTATCGCCTACGAGGTATATAATACTATAAAGTACCTTGCTTTCGTCCGTATAATAAGTAGCTCCGGATAGCGTAAAGGTAATAGAAAGTTCCTAAAGGAATCGCCTCGATTCCTTAATTATATCGCCTTTAAAGGGCTTAGGTTCCTTTAGGCGAGGCTTAATAGCCGTAAGACTAGCGACTGCGTAGCTTATACTAGGTATAGTAGCTACGCTTAGCGTACTTCTAGAAAGAGGTAGTCGATATAAGAGGGATTTAGCTCTTTAGGATTTAGGCCTCTAAATCGACTCGTCTACTAACTCTACCTCGTCCTTACTATCGTCGTCGTTATCTAAAGAAGGGGTTATTATAGGACCTCCGCCGGCGGTACCGCTACTTAGAGCCGGTATATCGCCTACGTCCCTAAAAGTATAGAGACGCGCATTTTCTCGCTTAGCTTCTTAAGCCTATACTTCTAGCTTAAGTACTTCTTACTTAGCTAGAAATCGTTCGAGCTATAGGCGGGTCGCTTCTCGGCGCGCCTAATATTCGGCCTCGTATTATTATATCGCCGCGTCGTTTTCTAATACTACTAGCGCTCCTAGTATATTATTTTACGCGGTTTCCGCGCCTAGCGCATTCGGGTCGCTTGCGTTTATCTTTCGGGGTTCTATAGGCCGCTATAAAGGATAGACAGTTTAGAACTATAAGAAAATAGGTATATAGTAACGTATAGAACACCCTCTACTAATCTTAGTAGTAGATAGTAGAACTAAACCGTACCTTTCTTAGAATAGGGTAGAGCGTTTACTATTAACTAGGCTACGTACGGATAGTATATATATCGAGCTAGTAACCGAGTATATCCGTACGAGCGACCGAGCTTTTCCGCGTATACGCTAAGTAGGCTTTGCGCTAGCGAGATAGTACCGTAGTATATGTAATAACATTATATAATTGTTATATAGGCTTGCTAAGGCAGGATAGAAGACTTTACTTAATTAGGTTCTTATATTAATACTGCCTTCTTCTTATCCGGTATCGCTATCTAATTAAGTAGCTCTTACTATATCTACGCGCTATAGTACTAGAAATCGTAGGTATTTATAGTCGTAGGGCGTCGAAGTCTAGAGCGAGTTAGTAGCAAGTCTATAGCGATACGCCTCGCGACTTATAATAAATATTCTCTTCTTCCTACTAGTAAGTATACTACTAAAGCTAAAGCTAAAGCTAAAGCTAAAGCTAATACTAATACTAAAGCTAATACTACTAAAGCTACGCTAAGAATAAGGTCGCGCGGAATACTAGTTATAGCGGCTACTACTATCGCTATCGCTATCGGTATCGGTATCGATAGAAGAAGAATATTACGAGGTAAGGCGCGGAAGTATAGCGAGTCTAAGTAAGGTTTATCGCGATAATAGGCATAGTAAGGTTAGTAAGGAAGGTATAGGAAGAATAGGAAGCGACAATAGGCTAAAGTGAAGCCATTGAGCCTCTGGTATGTATAGAGCTCCGTCCTATTGAAGCCTGCGGGGGCCTCTCGTGCCGTGTGGAGGATAGTCACCTTTCTCAGGCATGGAACTATGTTGTTCGACATCGTCCGTAATCCATTGAAGACCGGTTTTTCGAGATACAGTCCGGCTGTGACCGCCTATGACCCTCAGTATCCCCGCGTACGAAGAAGATCAGAGAGAGAAAGAGTCGGGAGTGAAAGGAGAAAACCTGGTATATAACCTCATGGATATGCGACCCGCAAACCACGGTGAGATGATGGGCAAATCGATCGCCAGCAACAGCGCAGCGTGTCTATGGAATGGCTGGACTGTCCCAGGGATGGATAGAACAGAAGCGCTGGTCTTCCGAGCTTTACAAGATGCCATGAGATGCGATGCGATGCGCTCTCATTAGCATAGACCCGCGGGTCCATGTTTTTGCATGCAATGGCGTCTGAGCTCCATAGCAGAGAAGCCATTGCCGTCATTGGACGCCGTCCTCAAGATTACGATGGAAGCAACGCCATATAGATGCATCTACAGAGTGTCTTATGCATTCGCGAAGCCGGTCGGAGACTAGAAGAGGACCGTGCCAATGCCTCCTAATTCTTTTCAGTGCGCTGTGGACGGACTTCTACGAAGATCACAGTAGATCTGCCTTCAGCGAATGCATAAGACACCCTGTACAGCAGCCCAGAAAGTCAATGCGGAAGCTGAACCCTCCACTTGACAGCGCTCATGGTCGCTCCAGCAGTTGACGGTATACCGGCTACACGTCTGCAACAGCAGTCTTCACGATCTCTGCACGAGTGATGATAGTGCACGAATCTGGAGGCAGGTGCGCAGCTCTCTTTGGATTATCTCTATATCCTCGAATACCTGCCCGCCGACAGTTGCTCAAAGCCCAATATCTCATGTGCCAACAGGCCCGAAGGCAAGTACCCCCGATCATCAGCAACTCTCTTGAATCTTCCCACTAGGCAGCCCATACTAGTGAAGGACTCAACCTCCATCGTTAACGCTTAGACGAGCCAACCTAGTCACGTGTCAACTTCTGGATTCGGGTTACACGATGATTTGTCACCACTTACATCCTGACCGGCCACTGCATTACATATACTGCTAGGTTGCACATTTCGAGCGGTAAGGACCACTTGACTCCACTGACTTGGGGACGAACCGAGCTCAACAGGAGACCTCGAGATGGGAAGGGAGATTTAGGGTACATGTGCGTTCTCCATTTCGCGGATATGGCTAAACCTGCGTGGCAAGAAAAGACTTTGAATTATCCGCTGAGTTTTGCAGCCGGTTGTGGACCAGGATCGGTCTATCCTCTGGCCACAAAGCTGTCCGAACTTGGTGGCATTTGGGCGGTTGGAATAGATCAGGACGACTTGACAGCCTGGTTACAAAGAAACGAACTGGGTCGTTTCTTCAGCTCGAAGCGCTTGCTTCCAATGCGACTATTCAAGTCCTTGTAACAGTCTTTGGTCAAAGCAAACAGGCGGGCTTATCAAATATACTTGTGCCTCTTGCGCGACTTCCTCCTATTATTGTAGGGTATGATTCTATCGCTCAGTATATCTCTCAGACTCGGTATGTAAGTCGACGGCCGTTTAATTGCATGCCAAGCCGCATATGCTAGGTCTAGCCAGTAAAGTTTACTAGCGTGTCACAAGGTTATTCCGTCGCGACCTTAGAAGTTCAGCCACGTCTTCGACTTGACACCTCGTGCAACTGACCTAACATCATCAATATGTTTAGCACATGGTCACCGCCTAAGACAGCACCTCCCCCAGCGAAGAGGACGAAAATAATTCACAACGCGACGACAGCGACGAATGTTACGAAGCCAGGAGCGCTCAAGCGGTACGACTCACAATCTCTCGTAGAGTGGACATTGAGCGAAGCTAATTGAAATTCATCAGCATGTTCGAGAGCGGCGATTGGTCCGACCTAACCATTAAGACCAAGGACTCGGGCAAGACATTCGCGGTGCACAAGACCGTCCTCTGTCCTGCGTGGGAGTTTGCACGCGCTGCTTGTAAGATTAGGGACCTCGAGAGTAAAAGGCGAGCCAATGCACTAACTCCTCTCCAGGCACCAGCGGCTTTATCGAGTCGAAGACGAACGTAATCGAATTGCCGGAGGATGAGCGCGTCATTACAGCTATACTCCGCTATTACTACGAACTGCCATTCGAGGTTTCAAAATCAGAAACACTGAGCATTCTGGTCAAACTCCGAGTCGCCATCGATAAGGTATGTATGCCGTTCAGACGCAAGAATTCTGAGGCTAATCCAGCATTTCCAGTACGGTATCGACGGCCTCATCCGAAACGTCGAGCACGCCTTCAAAGCGCGTCTAGAAGCTGAAACCTACCCAAATCTTGTTGTTATAGGCGCAACAGTCTTTGCGGAGGCTGGAGATTGCATGATTCCGATGCAAAATGCCATTGCGGCGGCCACTAGAGGCAAAATGAGCGAAATTGTGCGAGACATGAACGTCTGGTCGCAGATGCAGGAGTCTCCAGAGTTTCTGCGAAGGACTCTGCTTGAGATTCTTCCGCCGCCTCCTGTCGTCTTGTCGGATTCCAGCTCCGACACCGACTCCAGCGATGAGTAGGTAGAGAAGGGCTGGAGATGGACGCGAGATGCTAGCTCGAACTATGAAACCATGCGAATTCTCGGGTTCCTCTCAGCAACACGCAGCGGTCCTGGTGCCAATGAAACCTTCAATGGCTTATAAATTCGCAACTGCGACGCGACCAACCCTAAAGCTCGCGAATATCTTTGGTCATTGCTCAAAGCCAACTACTTTGACCAAGACATCAAGAATTTCTGGATCGACCAAGCAGATGGCGGCAACTTAGGCGAAGCATACAGTAATAATGGCATGTCAGATTGCTCGTCATAAAGCAATGAGGAGCTGGGATTTGGGGATAAGAGAGCTAGCATGTGTGCTCAATGCATGTATGTAGTGCGTTGGGGCCAGCCGAGCCAAACTCTGAATAGCGACTCGTGTCAGGAAGGCTGTGAGTGCAAGTAAGGTAGCTGGAAGCTTGCAGCTTGCGAGATGATTGTGGCTTCCTTCCTGAGTGGCACTGATGTGAGCGGTCCTTCCCCCCGAAGCTGACCTGAGCTCAGAGGGAGGCAGGCAGTCATCACATGCAGAGGAAGTCGCGCTCACCATGGCAATAAACTTGAATTGCTTTGGAAAATCTTCCTCGCGATTGCTCTTCTTCTCATCCACTTCAACCTCCGTCCCCAACGCACGTAGAATCCAACACAATGGCATCTCTGCCAACATCATCGACACCATCACCTCCACAGCAAGGCACGAAGCGTAAGCGCGAATCCAATGGCGACGCCACGAAAGACGGTGCGCTCCAGCGGTATGGACCTTCTCCTGCATCGCAAAGTCCGTTCGACTGACACTTGTTCTGTAGCATGTATAGGAGCGAGCAATGGTCCGATCTCTCGATTGAGACGCCGACAAGAACTTTCCGCGTCCACAAAGCTGTCGTGTGCGAGCTCAATCCGTTCATGAAGGCGGCCTGCACACGTGGCTTCGTGGAAAGCAATCGAATTCAGCTTCCAGAGGACGAGGCGGTTGTCGAGGCGATCCTTCAGCACTTCTACGAAGTTCCGGTAACTTTATTCGACTCACTCGAGAGAAGACACCTAGCACCCATGCCAAGCCAGGACCTCCTCCTAACTCGCGCACTCGGCCTCATAGGTTTACTGGCGGCAACAGACAAGGTAAGGGCTGGCACCTGACTAGTAGAAGTTGCACCATCGGGAGACTAACTGTGGATAGTACGACATTGGGGAAAAATTCGGGATTGCTGCCCAGATGGCTTTCGACTACACAGTGCTGGATATTATGGAGCCGTGTAAGATCATGGAGATCAGCTGTGCTGCTTGGCGACAATCGGGGCAATTCAAACACATCATGCAACACTGCGTGACCCCACCGATTGGTCGGAGGTTGAAGAGCATCGTGGAGGACAAAGATGCCTGGGCGCTTCTCTGCCAACATCCGGAGCGTTTACGGGAGATGTTAGAGTACAACCATAGAATGGTGGACCACGGCGTGTTCAACTGGCCTTGTAAGAAGGAAGCCAGAAACTCCATAAAAGGCAGCGAGCATTGAGTCTGGTCGCCACTGCGCCACTGGGAGCTGCTTCGAACCTGCGACAAGCAGGGGATCGGAGGATCCCGGCTACACCATGACTGTACTTTTATTCATGCATATCCAAGGTTATGCTTATGCTCTATCTTTACAGAACATCACAGAATGCAGCGAGGATTCACGCTACATCTCCACTTCACTCCTCAGCAAAGCTCTCCCCCAAGTCCACCTTTCCTACACTCCACACTTCTTTCTCATCTTCGACCTCATCACTACTAAGTCCAAGTCCACCAGCACCACCCTCAGCCTCCTTCCTCTCCCTCGCCTGTGCGCTAAGTTTAAGAGCGATTCTCTTGAAGTACTCACTCATGCTTCTCTTCGTTCCCGCATCAAGCTCAGATCCAGCGCCGGCCATATACTTGTCAAAAACAGCGCTCTCTTCCTCCACCACGCTGAGAACAGCCAAGAAAGCGCTCTCGGCGGACAACTTGACTGGAATGACTGGATCGCGCACAGATTTGAAGATGGCCGGGACGAGAGTTGCGAGGTGAGGTCTGATGAGCTCGTTGTTGGAGCGCGAGACTGTGCGAATGACAACGAGAGCGAGACGGCGGGTATCGACAGGCTTGCCAACTGGCAGCACACTGGCGAGAGCTTCAATGATCGGCTTGGTGCCTTCAAATGTCTTGTTGCCCATCTCTGTGAGGAGGTATTTGCCTGCGGCGAGGACGGCGTTGTCCGAGATGAAAGGCTGGCCGTGCTTTATTCCTTGTACGAGCACATTCCTGGTGATCTCGTCAAGGTTTGAAGTCAGCTTGTCTGGCGCTTCGAGCAGGACGGCGTTGAGTGCTAAGATCGTCGAGTGCGTGAAGTTATAGTTGAGTACTCGACTCTTGATCAAACCGACGGTGTTCTCGGCCGGAATGACTGCAATGAGGGACCCAAGAAGCTTGGCGTATGTGATGTTCAGAGCATCGTCTGTCTCCCCAGCGTCAGAATCGATCAAGCCAAGAATAGCATTCTGACTGGACTCGTTCATCTTTGCACCAGCTTTGCTAACGACTTCAAACAGTGCCTTCAGCATAGCATTCTTGACGCCTGCGTCGGTCGTCGTCTTGCTACCAGTCACAAGCTCGGCAATCAAGGGATCGACTCTTGGCGTCATTGTGATGAGCGTTCCGAGTGCCTTTGCAGCTCTGCTTCGGAGGACTTCACTGCTAGGATCAGCTAATGCTTTGGCGAAAGTCCTTTGCAACTGTGGAAGGAATGGCTTGAGGAATGCTGGCACCTTCTCAAGCAGATTGTTGAGAGTGAGCAGGATCGCTGCCTTCAGCTCAGTAGAGCGCTCAGAGACAACACGGATCAGCGGGCCCGTGATCTGTGTCACGAACAGCTTCAGACCATCTGGGCTTGTGCGATCGATCAGATCCGAGATACCAAGAGCGGCTTGAATACGCTGCTCGGCAGAGCCATTCATGAGACCCTGCAGGAAGATCGGCAAGACAGCATTGACACCCTTGGGGAGTGAGAAACCAGGCAGAGCATGCCCGGCGACGCCGACCTGGTTGAGAGTGTTCCGAGTGGAGACAACGAGTGATTCCATCTCTTCTTTCTTCAGGCGCTGCATGAGCTGATTAAGACCAGCCCAAGCAGCTTTCACGACTTCTGGAGCACTATCATCGAAGGCAATGAGCAGAGCTCGAATGACGTCTGGGTAGTAGCGAGAGAAGTCAATCTCGGCTTTCTCGAAAAAGGTCGCGAAGTGCAAATCTGCCGCAGCTCGCCGGCGGTGGTCGTCGTTCTTTGCGAGCGCCAGCATGACACTCATCATGGTGTTCAAGCCATCGTATTCATCGACCGACAGCAAGATCGCATCGAATGCAGAATTAAGCTCATTCTTGAGCGCCTCATCCTTGCACGACACAATATTGTCCATGAGAGTGTTGAGGATATTTGGTATCCGTCGGGTCATCGCGGAGCTGGCTACTTCTGCAAGCGATGCCAGAGCGCGGGCATTGAAGGCCGATACAGGATTAGTGAGAAGCGTCGGCAGTAAGTTGGGCAGAATAATGCTGGCTCTGGTCTGCTCGGTGAGGAGAGTAAGCAGTGCAGCCAAAGCGTTGGCGGCTTCGTCTTCGTTGCGGAGCAATTGTAGCAAATGTGGCAAGACTTGGTCAACAGCACGTTTGCCAAGTACCTTCTGCAACGAATCGAAAGCATCCGCGGCGGCTTCTCTGACATCCTCGCTGGAGTCGACGAGCGCCGTACGAACCACGGAGATGAGAGTCTTCTCGTAGTCCACCAGAGACTCGGGTGTGGCAGATGTAATGAGCTCGCGAAGTGCAATGCAGACACCTTGTCTCGAATCCAGATCCACAGCAGTCTGGAGTTGATCTTCGAGGGTAGGCAAAAGTGTTGCAAGTACGCCTTCTCCGGCTTTCCGGATAAGTTCGCCGAGAGCGTTTCCAGCAATGACTTTCTGCTCCATGTTCGGGCTTGCTAGTCTTCGAACCAGAAGCTGAGTGAGTGTTGGCACCAGTTCGCGCAAGGTGCGTGGCGAAGATACGAGTGCTTTCCATACATTCATCGCAGAAGTGCGCACAAGGCCCGAAGTGTCGCAGCGACATATGTAGAGAGCAGAGAGGACTCTGTTCCGCTTCTCTTCGCCAAGAGTCTCAAGCAGGGAAGCGCCAGCTTCTGCCGCGCCCTCTTCATCCTCATCAGCTTCTTGCTTGCCACTAATACCAGTGAGGTTGAAAAGCAGATCTCCAACAAGCTCGACCGAGCTGAGACGAATGCGATGGCTGTTATCCTCGAGACCTCGCTCAAGCTCAGGCAGCAGCAGATCCACAGATTTGGAAGCAAAGTTCTTGACCAAGAGACGACCGGCCCGAAGTGCTGTCTCCCTGATCGACTCAACATCGTCGGCGAGTCCAGCCAAGATAGGTGGGATGATTCTAGCCAGGTAGTTGGCAAAGCTCTGCCCGAAGCAAGCAGGCAAGAAGATGAAGAGGGACATGAATCCTTCTCTGACCGAAGGCTTGTTGCTTCCGACATTTTGCAAAATGGTCGGGAGCGACTCTTCCAGGCGACTTGTGCCGAGACCGGCAAGTACTTCGGACAGAGCTTGAGCTGAACCAAGACGGTCGCCAGCGCCTGTATCCGATTTGAGTGTCGTCATCAAGCTTGGGATGAGGTCTGGCAGTGCATCTTCGCCCAGTTTCTCGATCGTGGAGCCCAGGGCTTTTGAAGCCGTGGCGCGTGTGGTTGGCACCGGGTCCACAATGGCACCCTTGAGTCCAGCCACAAGAATAGGCAGATGGGCAATGAGGTCCTTTCGCTCCGTCAAGTGAGCAAGACTGCCGATGATTTGTGAAGCCTTGCGCTTGGTTGCAGAGCGGTCGCCTAGACCACGCTCGAGGATACGAACGACAAGTGCTAGCGAAGGCGCATCGAGGTAGTGAACGAAGTTGACCTTGATCAAAGCGTCAAGAGCCTCATCGGTGAACTTGGTAGGGTCACTGAGAGCCTTGAGCAAGATGTTGACCTGGCTCTTGACTTCGGGATTGCTTATTACCTCGCCAAAGCGTTGCAAGCTGCGATTGGCCGAGGCGCGCACCTCCTTGTGGCTGTCGTTGAGCACTTCGGTGAGAGGCGGAATGATTTCAGGCAAGCTGACTGCTAGCTGCTGAGGATCAAGGTAGGCCATCGCACCGAGAGAGTCACACGCGCCCTTCTTGCTTCGCCACTGTGATTCATCGAGACCTTCCAGCAATTGAGGTAATACTTGCTTCACGCCGAACGAGCTCAGCGTGGCGAAACAAGTCTTGGCAGCGTCCAAGCATGCTTCTCTCACGTCTGCGGTCGTGTCACCAAACCCAGAAAGCAGTTGCGGCACGATTTGAATGACATATGGCTCGAATATGCGTCCTAGCAGGAGAGACAGCAGCTCATACGCAAGGAAGGCTCCTTGACGTTCCTTGGCGTCTTTCTTGTTCTCGGTAGCGCTGCGGAGGGTCGACAACAGCCTCGTGTCTTTCAGAAGTGAAATGCCTCGGCCTTTGACAACGCCGGCCAGACCATAGGCTGCACCGCGACGAGCCGCATATTCTTTGGCGTGCAAAGTCTCTTCGACAAGCTGTTTCAAGTATTGGCTTGCCTGATCTGCCGATGCTTGGACAAGCGGAGGCAAGCACTGGGCAACAGCGTATTGCACCGACTCCGAAGGCGTGCTAAGAGTGGCGAGAAGGCGGTTGACGACCTTCGGCACACGATCATCTCCCTTCGGCAAGTGTCGAGCAAGAGCGCCGTACAAGATGACGACAGCCTCGTTGACAAGGTCCTGCTCAGAGCTCTTACTGCTCGCACTCAATCTCTCTTCGCACAGTCTCATGAGCGCTTCGACCTGAGATTTGCCGCGGATCGACACCACGCATGTCGCAGCGTCAACCATAGCGTCTCTAACTTGGTTACTCTTGTCGCTAAGCGGTCCTTTCTCGATCAAAAAGTTAAGGAACGGCGCGAGCTGATCATCTGGAAACACGGGCGACAGTTCCTTGAACGCTAACGCGCAGCCATGTCTGGACTCCCAAGGATCGGAGAGATCTTTCTTGACCGGCATGCCATAGCGGTCGAGTTCTGGCTTTTTCGGTTTTGCAGCTTCCACATATGAGCTTTGGAGTTGACTGAGCACGTCCTGGAAAGCGGTCGGATTCTCCTTGACAGCAGAGGCAACTGCTCGCGCTGCTGCACGGCGTAGCTGGGCGTCTTTCGACTCCAAAAACGGCAGGCATTTGGCGGCGCTCTCGCTGACGATTTTCAGTTCATTCTCCTCCCAGACTTCGTGAGCTATATTGGCATTCTCCTCGTCATCATCATGGCAAGCGAGCCAAATTTCTTCGTAGAAGTCGCGATCGGTGAGCTCGAGCTCGGCACTGATGGCTTGGAGGACAGCATTGCGAACAGAACTGTCCGAAACAATGACACCTTTCACAACGGTATCCGTCTCGACTTTGTTCAAGCTTGGCGCCAGACAGCGACAGAGGTCTGCGAAGCAGTCTTTGATCTCCTTGTAGTGCTGGGTAAATTTTAGCATAGCACTGATTAAAGTTGCCAGAAGCTTTTCTCTCGGTAGCCTGATGTCGCTGCAGGTCTCTGTGTGAAACGACAGGAACTCAATTGCCAGAATGAGCTGCTCGTCAGCGTCTTCACCAGCCGCGCGATCAATCCCACCATTCTCAAGGACCAGGAACACTAAACCTAAAATATAGCTCAGGGTGACGGTATCGAACGGACGCTGCTCTCCCAGGAATCTTAGGCGATATAAGAGTCTGGTGACAAGATCACCCAGAGGCTCTGCCAATAAATTTTCAGGAAGCATGGTGATTCCAGCGCCACGAAGGGTAGCAACACCGACGAACGGCCGCAACGGACCTAAGCGACTCGATGTCTTTTCCGAGCATTGGAGATATCCTAGAGATGCTGCGTCGCCTAGAATGAGCCCAGCACCGGCTTGTATTATGTCGAAGAGGCTCTTGACCGAAGGCCCAAACCATGCTTCGGCCTTAGTAGGTGGCCCTGTCGAAAGTGCACTGATGAAGCCGATGCCACGCCTAAGTTTGCCATCGACTTCAGCAACATTCTTTCTAATTTCAGATTCTTTCTTGAGTTGCGCGTTGACCTTTGACTGTTCCTCGGCAGTGAGCTTCTTGGTCTGGCCTTTCTTGGCAGCCAAAGATGCTCGGAGCTCTTCTTCCCATTTCAAGGTATCGTAGTCCTTGGTCTTCTTGTCGATCTGCGGTGCTTGAGACTTGGTTGACAGCACATCAACAAAGGCTGTGCCCTCCGGTGTACGGTGAATGGCTGCTTCGGTCGGTCCAATAGAGTCCAATTGCGAGGGATCCAAGTCGAGGCTGATCTGTGCGACGATCAATGTTGTCATCACATCTGGTGCTACGAATGCTAGATCAGCAGCTGCGTGACAAGCGGCCAACTGGAAGGCAGGTAATGGCTTCCATATTGGGTTTTCAGTGACAGCGAGTATGCTAGCGAGACAATCAGTCGACGACTTCTCAGCAAGCGAGCCAGGGTCATTGCCGGTTTTCAAGCACAGCTCGATCCAAGGTGCCTTTGAAATGAGCTGAGGTCGACACAAGACCAAGAGTCGCCTGAGTTGTTTCTCAATGACGTCCTGCAAATTTGGCGTTCCGACTTTCGTTGCAGTCTCGCTGTCGAGGCATAGTGCTCTGACCACTCTGAACAGCTCGGAGCGGCCGGTCTTCGAAGCGGCGGCAGCACTATCTTTGGTTTCCAGTTCCACATCTTCGCACCATTGCCATAGACCATCAACTACGACGTCGGAGACAACTTCGGCATTGGCGACGTAGAGACCTTGCAAGGCTTTGGCGGCGTCACTGCGCACCCTTGGGGCAACTGCAGTCGAGGAGATAAGAAAAATGATTGTTTGAGCCCATGCCTTTGCAAGTGCTCGATTGCCATCTTTTGCAATGGTCAACGACGGGAATGCAGCGATGGCAGCACGAAGGAGCCATCGCAAGTCATCTTCGGACGTGAGCTTCGTGTAGACGCGCGCATTGAGTAGGAATGATGGCTTCGGATCAAGAGTCAAGACCTTGTCACCGACTGCGGCTTTCTTAATGGCGGCCGCATTCTTCAATGGTGTCATGCCAGGTGCTCGTGCCAGTAAAACCGCAGTTGCCGCGGCTGCCACCGAGACCTGACCACTCTGTACCGCCGGCAGAGGATTAGCATTCACCTCATGAAATATGTCAATGAGCTTGACAATCGACGCGTCAAGGAACGCAGCAGTGCCCTGTTTACCAATCGCTTCAGGCTGGACGTTCCATATTGCATCTGCAAGATGAAGGGCCCACAGTCGCCGTTTGGGCAAGTTCTTTTCGCCCAAGCCCTTCGCAAAGGCGTCGATGGTGGCCGTCTCAAGCTTCACATCTTGGTCAAGTGCAAAAGTGACATATTTTGCTATGCAGCTGATCTCAGCCGAAGCAGCGGGCTCATTGGCCTCCTTCGTCGCAACAGGTGCAAGACCTTGCGGCAGGCTTGACGCAAGAGAGGCGGATGGGTGCAAAGCAGCAAGCATGTTAGCATGTATCACTCTCTGCTCAGCGGCAGTGACTTTGTTGGTCTTCAGTGGCGTCAAAATCTCGTCTGCAGTCTTGCCCACAAGCTTTCCATCTCTTGAGCGTGCGGCAACAGCACAGAAAGTGCGCAACGCGCCATCTCTCGTCTCCACCTTCGTTGACTTGATGTTTGAAAGCAAGGGCTTGACAAGGTTGGACGCCAAGATATCGGACAAGTCCAGGTCTGGTGGGAGAGCTTTGATCATTGGCGCCACCAGATCGTTCAGCACAACTTCAGGCGCTCGCAGCAGAGATTTCTCCACTGCTGGTATCAGCTCCTTCTTCAGCTCTTCGCCCGTCACGTACGCCGAAAAGAAGTCCCGCAGGGCATTTGCGATGTATGCTGGGAGGACCGTCTTCGATCCGAGGAATTCCCGAAGGTAGAATGCATAGTACTCTGCTTTCTTGTCTGCGACCACAGAAGTCCGGTCGGGCAATCTGCTGCAGCATGCTGCAATGATACCGAGGGGCAATGCATTTTTCGGAAGCGGCGAGGGCCCTTTGGCAGCAAGTGTGGATATGCAAGCGCCCATGGCATCTGGCCCAAACTCGCTCTTCAGCACCGTTCGAAATGCACGTCTGCTCACGCGTAATGCCGTCGCCGTTGTGCTGTCCCTCGGCTTCGAGGAGAAAAGAATGTCCATGGCGTTGGTCAAGATGGCAACTGTTCTCATTCCCCATAGACGCCACAATGTCTGGTCTCTCGCAGACTGCTGAATGAGCAGTGATGACCACCTGAGCAGAACAAATGCATTTCCCGGGGCAATAGCCGCCTTCTTGGTCTCGGCTTCAAGCTCCTTGACAAAGGCCGGTAGAGAATTGGGGGCGTCTGGGGATGATGCGATGGCCGCCAGACAGCTCTCGACTGCCTGTCTCGATCGCGGGTCGATGTATAGGGGATATGTATCGAAGAGGGAACGTAGGAGGGCGGGCACCTGAGCGAGTGGGATAGCTAGATAGACGGTCAGATTCTGTACGCATCGTCGAAGGCAACGGACCATGCTCAGCCTGGCCTACCTCCATTCTCCAGCTTGTCCTTGATGCGGTGAAGCTCGGCAGTGCGGCGCTTGGTGGAATTGGACAGCAATGCTTGCCGCATCTGCCACATGTCTAGGCCGTGGTCGCCATTCACCACGGGCACTGGCGCCTCTTCCGCCATCGCACACGCTCTTTCTGACTGTCATGCGCTGCTTGGTGAAAACATCAGGTCTCGAAGATGTTCCACGCGCACAGCTGAGCGATTGCTGCTTCACTGTGGACGATGGCGATTCATGCAGTGCAGTGACTGGGAGACACTCCGCGCCTATATAGCGATGCAATAAGACGCTCCAAATGGCATGCAAGTGACTGGAGGCTGCGGTGTCCTGCACTCGGCTCTGCGACTCTTGGCAATCTTCAACTTTCTGCGCTAGGGAGGCCCATACATACCAGATTGTCAATGGAGGTTCTCACCGCCTCTACCAACCCACCTCTACGACCAACTTTCTATATTTGCCCTCGCACTATACTCGCTATTGACTCGCAAAATGCCTCTACGTATCGATCTTTCGCTATAGAGGGCTTAGATAACCTTATAGGTTAATAGCGGTACTATATAAGGCGAAATCCTATAGCACCTTATATAAGAGACTAGTTACTAGATAGCTCTTTCTACGCTTTATCGGAGGCTTAAGGAATAGGGGGTTAATTATAGCTATTACGCTTACTATAACCGAGTTAATAATGTCGAGGCACTAAAGATCCGAGTCGTATATACCTTCTCCGCTTTACGCTTAACTAATAAAGAAGCGGTTAAAGTACTAAAGATAGATAGATTTAATATTAGCTAGCGGAGATATTAACGGATATATTAAGAGCTTAGATTAAAGAAGGCATTATTACGAGATAGATAGATAGAAGCGGAAAAGAAGATAGTAGAGGTCTTATAGGAAGAGCTCGAGAAGTCTACGGTAGAGTCCTTCGGCCGACGGCACCTATATACCTATATTAGGTCTAAATACAATATTATTAGTAGAGATCGGCTATATCGTATAGCTTGCTTACTAAATCCTAAAGAGTTACGAGTCCGCCGCGAGCGGGCGCGAGAGTACTATAAAGCGATTATTATACTAGGCCCTAGCTACGCAATATTAATAGATGCTTACTATAAATTCGAGCATTAGGGGATACAGATCTATACAGCTATTAATGTCTACTCGCGTTACATTATCTAGGTCTACGTAGGGATTACTAGCCGTATAGCTATATCCGTACTCGCTTAATATATTATAACGATTAAGAATAGTAGTATAATGCTACAAATTATCCGATTAGACTATAGGGCGGAAACGATTCTAGCCGCGGACGCTTACTATACGACTCGCCTTACGACTCGTAGTAACCTAGAACCGGAACTAGAACTAGAACTACTAGCTTTCGAAGACTACTTTAAATACGGTACAAGTAAGATAAACTAGCGGATCGAGGCATAGTAGCGCTAGCAAGCACCCGTATTAAATAGCTAGAGGGGCTATTTTTACGAGTTGCTACGCGAGTTACTATACGATACTAAATTGCTAGCCGATCGGATTGCCTTCCTTATAGTCTATATACTAATTATACGCTATAAAGTCCTCGAATTTGTTTACCTCTAGAACAGCTATCGGATTAGGAAGTAGGCTAATCGACTATACGTCGTACTAGGTATTCCGCATATTCTATACTATTATCTAGAGCTAAGCGGGCATTCTTATTAAGGTATTCCTATGCCTAATAGCGCACTTAATAATATAGAGCAAGACCTTTAAGGATTCGGTATGTATTAGATTCTATAGTACTCGCTATAGACTCGCTATAGACTCGCTAATAGACTCGCTAATTCCTAGATCTTAAAGCCTACCTGCCCGAGGCTACGCTTACTTAGTATTAGATAGCATTGTAGACTCGCGGCTTCTCGTATCTAGTTAGTAGTAGCGAGAATAATAGCGATAGAGAGCGAGTTTACCGCTAGGTATACTTACTTCTTCGATAGCTAATTGCCGAGTATATAGCTATAGGGTTAGGGCCTAAACTAATAGAGTTAGACAAGCTATTAGCAGCTCGTAATTAGACGTTAGGTAGGGCGAATACCGGGGCTAGATTGATTGAGTTTGCAAATAATATATACTAATCTAAAATAAGGGATTTGCGAGCTAGCCGCGAGCCGGCCGCGAGTCGCTTATTTTAGTTCTATTTCCTTCTTAATCTTTCAATTCCTATCTTGTTCTACCTCTACACTACTGCTATAGTTCTACCTTAGTTCTACTACTAACAATACCTATTTAGGGTACCTTTTATACTATTACCGGCGCTAACTATATAATACTATTAAAAGTATACGCATTCTGTAACTAATATAGTCTTAAGAACCCTAATCTACTAACCGAGCGATTTGTACGCGAGCCGTTAGTAGCAGCCGCTGCTACTGCCGCTACTGCTACGAGTTTAACTACGAGTATAGTACGAGGCTTTAATGCGTTCCCTTCTCTACCTAAGGCGGCGAATACTATACGTAATGCTACTATTTAGCAGTATAAGCCAACTTCTCGACTAAATACTAGATCTTAGAGCCTCTCGCAATGTCTACTAACACCTATACAACTATTAAAGGAGCTAACAAAGGTATTATTTACCTACCGCTATTTAGTTTTTAGCTAGCGAGTAGAGGTTTCTCGTAGGGGTAGAGTCGACCTATAGGAATATAATCCGCTAGTCCTATAGACTTCTATTACTAATATCTAGTCTAACAAAGACTTCGAAGAAGCTAATATATTACTTATAGACTAGGTTCTTAGTCGGATTAACGCTAAGGACCTACCGTAAGGTAGCGTCTATTAGGTCGACGACTATATAGACTACTTCTTCTATACTAATTTCGATAATAAGCGCTTATTATTAGAGAAAGTCGCTTCTAAAGTACTTGGCCTAGGACTAGTTAAAGAGGCTCTTATGCTCTTTAAACCGCAAATAGGAGGGAAAGCAACAAAGCAGCTACTAATCTATTACCTTAAAATCTGTATCTAATAATAGCGGAAGCTATAGTAATAAAGGCAACTAAAGCGGAAGCACCGGCTAAGTACTCCTACTACGAGTAGTAGCGCGAGTGCTATAGCGAGTTAGGACGGGGTTGTTCTATTTATAGAGATTAAGCAAGAGAAGCTATAGAAGGAGAAGGTAATCGATACTAAAAAGCCGCCTAAGTTTATTAACCTAAGCGGCGAGGACACCGCGAGGCTACCGCGAGTTACGCCTATTCTAAAAGAATCGAGCGAAGCTAAGGACTAGTAAGATAGTTAGCAAGATAGTTAGTAAGAAGGTTAGCAAGGTTAGCAAGGTTAGCAAGGTTAGTAAGATAGCTAGTAAGATAGCTAGCAAGATAGCTAGCAAGATAGCTAGTAAGATAGTTAGTAAGATAGTTAGAGCGGATAGAAGAGTTAGAAGCTAAAGCGTGCTTAGAAGCTAGTTAATCTATTATCTATAGAGATACGATCGAAGAAGAAAGGAAATTGAAATATAGACTCGCTATAGACTCGCTATAGACTCGCTCCTTAAACATTATCTACTAGTAGCTCGCGATCGCTATTTAGCTATAGCTCCTTCTATATCGTATACACATCCTTAGACTTAATAATAGCCTTATTCTTAAGCTATTTGAACTACGAGAGGCAATATCCTTCTAACTTATCGAACCTAGCTTCTAATACCTTAATCTTTGCCTCTAGTTTAGTATTCTTTACCTCTGCGGCCTCGACTCGCGCCTATATCGCGGCTAGCTCGCTATTTCTATCGTCTTCTTTAACCTCTTCTATACTAGCTATATAGCTAGACTTGCCCTTATACTTATAATAAGCGTAGACACGCTCGCCCTTAGTATTAAGTATACGACACTCAAAGTTATTAGAGCGTATATAGTAGTAGTATAGCGCTAGTATAAGCTTGCTAGAGTCCGTTTCTATAATAATTCTAGTAGCCTTATATTTCCGCAGTCTATTTAATACCGCCTTCTTCTTATCTAGTATCGCTATCTAATCGAGCAGCTCTTACTATATCTACGCGCTGTAGTACTAGAAATCGTAGGTGTTTATAGTCGTAGGGCGTCGAAGTCTAGAGCGAGTTAGTAGCGAGTCTATAGCGATACGCCTCGTAACTTACGATAAATATTCTCCTCCTCCTACTAGTAAGTGCGCTACTAGTAAGTACGCTACTAAAGTTGAAGCTAAAGCTACTAAAGCTACGCTAAGAATAAGGTCTCGCGGAATACTAGTTATAGCGGCTGCTACTATCGGTATCGGTATCGCTATCGGTATTATCGATAGAAGAAGAATATTATAAGGCAAGGCGCGAAAGTATAGCGAGTCTAAGTAAGGTTTATCGCGATAATAGGCATAGTAAGGTTAGTAAGGAAGGCGCAATAGGACAATAGACTAAAGTGAAGCCAACCCTCCATTAACAATCTGGTATATATGGAGCTCCGTCCTGCGCCGGCCCCCACGCCACGCTGCGTCACAAATCAACAGAGAGGCTCGACAGGGCAACGGCAACGGCAGCTTCATCCCTTTGTCACAACACTTCCGTCGCCCGATAGCTCCGCTCGCGCCCATCCCCATGTACGTGCTGTAAGGAGTCATGGCAGGCGGAAACAAGAAGAAAAAGACCAAGCCCGCAGCCAATCCTGCCCGAGGGTTTGCCACGACCTCCGTGGCCTCAAAACCCAAGTCCGAAACTGCTTCGGAGGGAAACAGTAAGGCGCCGTCGGGCACGGCCACCCCATCAGACCCGCAGGATGTTGTCGACTCCACGAAATCAGAGCCATCCTCCAGTGGAGTATCTGGACCATCGACCGCGAGAGAACTGCGCGAGCTGAGCCCAGAAGAGCTGGAGGCGCAACTCGAGGCCTCTGAACTGCAGCATTTTGTTGAGAAACACGCAGCCAAGGTCAAGAAAGACATCACGCGGCAGGTGGCGCGTCTTGAGACAGACAGGCGCTTGCTCCGAGCCCAGGCAGACTACCTATCGGTCAAAGACTGGCTGCCCCAAGAGATCATGCAGCAAATCCTTGACTTGACCCTCGCAGATGTAGCCCGGCATTCGGATGCGAGGAAGAAGGGCATCTTGCCGTCTGGCGATGACCTTGTTGCAAAGGTATGGCAGTTGCGCCAAACTCTCCTATATCTCGCCATTCCTTCATCTCGTGTAAACGAAGCACTTGGCTGGGTGATTTCGAATCCGCCATTGGATAGTGCAGGCTCGGCTTGGGGTCTTGATGAGTGTTTCGATTGGCTGTCGTTGCATTGCGGGCCTGCAGAGCTTGATGACTACGAATTTCAAAAGCCCAAGCCAATTGCTCTCGCGAGTGATCCAGGCGACATCGCATCGGATGTCGACGAAAGGCCTGACACCCCGTCAAACAAGATCGAACAGCGCACGACAGATAGTGATAAAGAGAATCAAGCAACTGACTCTGGTCCGAACATCGATGTTAGCGATGTCGAAAGCGATCTGGAGCCCGATGAACTTTTGTCAGTCTACTTGAGAACAAAATCAACGCTCTACGACTTGAATCCTGAAATGGACAGTCAGCCAGGCCGGAGCAAGAAATCTGCCAAGACATCACGTCACCAACCCGAAAGTGTATCAGAACGGAAATTGAAGCAGAAGTTAAGGAAAATCGAGTCGGACGTGCTATTTGATCAACGTAGCGCCGACGCACACTGGGCTGGGCAGAAGATTGAGCTCGCTCGAAATGCTGCAGAACGTAGAAGATTGCGACTTCAAGACAACAGCACCTCAGCCTCAGCGCCATCGACTACACCAGCTGATCTCGATAATGCAGTGAATGAGGAGGCAGAGAAACTCGGACGGGAATTGCTGAAAGAGGCCGAAGCAGAAGATGATGATCTCCTCAGCGGCATGTTCGACGCCCTGCCTGGTGTTAGCGAAGAATCATCCAAAGGAGATGCTGCATCAGGAATCCAGGTTACGATGCGAGACTTTGGCAGACTCACCGGCATGAACCCAAAGCGTGTGTTGGAGGAAAGTTGTAAAGCGCGCGACAGCCGGTGCCGAGTCAATTACAAGATGGTATCGCCGACTACATATTCCAGTCGACATAGCGTAACCGTCCAGTGGAGCAAGGAACAAGATGCTGTCGAGTCGTCCTTCTTACCTATGATAGCAGTGACGCAGAAAGCGACGAGCCTGGTTGTTACTATGACTGGCGTAGCGACCCCGGAAGTGGCGCAGAGCGAGGCATATGTTGCGACATCGGCACTATTTCTGATTTTCTCAGGCTCTCCCAAGGAAGAAAAGGCTCACATGCGCTTGCCGCCAGCCTACCGCGATCTCTGGACCGAATTTGCACATGCGAAACAGGAACATTTCCTTGCCGTGGATGGCGCGGCAGTGAAAGAAATTCGAACCCTAATAGAACAGCACAGGAGCTCCGAGGATGACAGCGACGATGAAGTCGTCTTCGATGCCAGCATCAGACGGCGGCTTGATGGCGCCAGCGGGACATCCACACCTGTTCCGCGCGGCGAAGGGACTCGATCTGCAGGGCTTGATTTCTCTCCTGAAATTCAGCAAATGTGGCAAAGGAAAGTCAGCACCTCAAAATATCAGCAAATGCTCATTGCACGCATGAATCTGCCGATGTTTCACTTCCGCGATGCAGCCCTGGAAACTATACAAAAACATCAGGTCACAATACTTTGTGGCGAGACGGGATGCGGCAAAAGCACTCAATTACCTGCTTTCATCTTGGAGAACGAATTAGCGCATGGGCGATCCTGTAAAATATACTGTACAGAACCACGACGCATCTCCGCTATCTCGTTGGCTCAAAGAGTAAGCGAGGAGATGGGCGAAAGCAAGGGAGAACTGGGTACACCTCGATCACTTGTTGGATATGCCATTCGACTGGAGTCGCAGACGGCTGCGACCACTCGCCTGGTATATGCAACCGTCGGTATCGTACTGCGAATGCTGGAGAACGCAGATGGTTTATCTGAGATCACGCACCTGGTCATCGACGAAGTACATGAGCGGAGTATCGATACGGATTTCCTGCTGATTGTCTTGCGCTCTCTTATGTTCAGGCGGCCCGATCTGAAAGTTGTACTGATGTCTGCCACTGTTGACGCACAAAAGTTCTCTCAATACCTCGACGGAGCTCCAATCATAAATGTGCCCGGACGTACCTTCCCTGTCGAAGCTAGATTCCTCGAGGATGCCATTGAGCTTACAGGCCATACCAACGAAGATGCTGCCGACCGGGCTTTCGACGAGGAAAGCACCGAAGATGAAGAGCAAAAAGGGACCGACGCGCAGCAGCTCATTGGCTATAGCAAGCAGACTCGTCAAACGCTTGCAAGTTATGACGAGTACCGCATTGACTACAGCTTGATCGTGAAGCTGCTGGAGAAGATCTCACACCAGGCAGAATACCGCGACTACAGCAAGGCTATTCTTGTCTTTCTGCCGGGTATCGCAGAGATCCGACAGCTCAACGACATGCTCGTTGGTCATCCAAAGTTTAGCAAAGCCTGGCAAATATTTCCGCTCCATTCCTCGTTCTCGAGCGAGGATCAGCAAGCGGCATTCGAGATTCCTCCCAGAGGCGTTCGCAAAATCGTTTTGGCCACCAATATCGCCGAGACTGGTATCACCATCCCAGATGTGACTTGCGTGATCGACACGGGCAAGCACAAGGAGATGCGCTTCGATGAGCGCCGGCAAATGTCAAGACTGATACAGAGTTTCATCGCAAAGGCAAATGCAAAGCAACGTCGAGGTCGCGCAGGTCGTGTACAACAAGGTCTTTGCTTTCATCTCTTTACCAAGCATCGCTTTGAACACATGATGGTGGAGCAGCAGACGCCAGAAATGCTTCGCTTGTCTTTGCAAGATCTTGTCATGAGGGTGAAGATATGCAAGCTCGGTGACATCGAGAAGGCACTTTCCGAAGCACTTGATCCTCCCTCAGCTCGGAACATCCGAAGAGCTATCGATGCTCTAGTCGAAGTCGGTGCTTTGACAGCCAACGAAGAGCTGACATCACTTGGCATGCAGCTGGCAAAATTGCCTCTTGATGCTCAACTTGGCAAGTTGATCTTGCTTGGAAGCACCTTCGGCTGTCTGGACTTCGCTCTGACAGCCGCAGCAACACTGTCTTCGAAATCACCTTTCCTGTCACCAATGCACGCAAAGAAGCAAGCCGACACAGTCCGCCTTGGTTTCCAGCGAGGTGACTCTGACCTCCTAACAGTCTTCAATGCATATTCTTCCTGGCGCAAGGTCTGTACCACATCTGGTCTCTCGGAATTTCAGTTCTGCAACAAGAACTTCTTGAGTCCCCAGAATCTTGCCAACATTGAAGATCTCAAAGCACAGCTGTTGAATTCTCTTGCAGACGCAGGTTTCGTCCACCTTGGCCCAGAGGAGAAACAAGCGATCTCGAAGATGCGACACAATCACCGTCATCGGAATTTTGTCCTCATACCACCTCACTTCGCTCGAGCGGAATCCAACGACACCGTTGCCAATTCCGTCGTAGCTTGGTCCTTCTATCCCAAGGTCATCAAAGCATACGGCAAAGGCTGGCGCAACATCGCCAACAACCAATCTCTCGGCCTCCATCCTACTTCCGTCAACAAGGGCAACCACAACCACGACATCAAATACTTATCCTTCTACAGCATCATGCAATCTTCTTCTCGCTTCACTAATGCCCAAGAGACATCTCCAGTCGCAGAGATTCCTCTCATATTGATGGCGGGTGAGGTCAAATTCGAGATGTTCGCTGGCGTGATCGTGGTTGATGGGAATCGGCTGAGATTCAAAGTCAGAGATTGGAGGACTATGATTGTACTGAAGACGTTGAGAACTAAAGTCAAGGAGGTCATGGGCAAGGTTTTCAAAAGCCCTGGTCGAGATCTTGGAGATAGGCCGAGGAGGTGGATGTCCGTGCTGGAGAAGATCTTTGAAATGCAGGGCGAGTTGCAGAGTCGGAAGGCTGGATTGGAGAAGAGGTTCTAGGGCATTATCTCTCTCTCTCTCAGCCACCTGTCTTGGTATGTTCCAGAAACTCTGGGTATCGGCTCACGGGTCACAGCAGCTCGAGCTAGCAACCTATTCAATCACCGTCACGATTTGGATTGATGCGGTGTGCATTAAGCAACGCGACTTCGCTGAAAGATGGACGCAGGCGGTACGTATGGCAGATGAGACGTTAGTGTAAATGGCGGCCGAAGTTGGCACCCCTTCGATGCAGAGATATCTTCTGAGGAGTGGCGTTCGCTTCTGAATCGGCGTTGGTTCTCAAGAACTTGGGGGAACCAGGGTTTACTTCTGTCCAGAAAGTGGCCTTGATGAGGCAAGCGATTGTCCGGCGCAGAAGGAACTTGGAAAACGTTGCCAGAGATTCTCACTGCTTGTGAGTGGTGGGACAGCGTGTGTATTCTCTCGCAGGTTACGAGCTTCCGATGGGGATGAGAAAGCGGAATAGGCATTAGCTACAAGCTGGAGCAAGAGTAGTCACATGGTTTGCGCAATGACCGTCAGAGATACAGATATCGAAAAGATGCAGAGTGAGCCATGTTGACTAATGTACTCTCAAGTTCTGTCTCTGTGCGGGAGTTGCGTTGGAGCTGAGCTAAGAGGAGCGGTCCATCCCGTAGCGCCAAGACACGCTAAACCGAATTAGCGCACACGATCGAAATCTGAGAGCGCACCTCAGCATCACCACTTCTACTCCTTCAGCCCGTTGTACCGCTCAAGAACCATCACCGCCAACACCCAGCGACAGCAAGATGTAAGTGCACCGCATCTACATCGTCTTCCCGCACACTCCGAAATGCAATACCCACCCATTGGACTCCCACGACACCAACGATTCCCAACCGCGCCTCTCGGCCACGAGACTCCGCCGTACAGCAGTATACTGACATTCTCCCTCCCACAGGGTCAACCTCCGCACCCAGAAGCGCCTCGCGGCGTCTGTCGCAAACTGCGGAAAGCGCAAGATCTGGCTCGACCCTAACGAGACCAACGAGATCTCCAATGCCAACTCCCGCCAGACCGTCCGCAAGCTCATCGCCGATGGCCTCATCATCCGCAAGCCAGTCACCATGCACTCGCGTGCCCGTGCCCGAGAGCTGACCGCCGCCCGCCGCATTGGAAGACACCGTGGCTTCGGTAAGAGAAAGGGTACTGCTGATGCGCGTATGCCAACGTAAGTGCACACTGCCAAGACTCGGCCCGCCGAGCAGAAGAAGAGCTGGAACATGGATACCATGGTGGGACGCGAAGGCTGAAAGACGCTGGATTTCCTCACCATGGACACTGCGGGAGCAATGAAATAGATGCTATTGAAAAGACTGTGCTGACCCCGCGCTCAGTCAGGTGATGTGGATGCGCCGTCTGCGTGTCCTCCGCCGTCTACTTGTCAAGTATCGCGCTGCCGGTAAGATCGACAAGCACCTCTACCACGAGCTGTACCACCTCAGCAAGGGTAACACCTTCAAGCACAAGCGTGCTTTGGTTGAGCATGTAAGTCTGCCCGATGAGTCGCTATGAGGACATCACGTGCCTCTTCCAACAAGTCAGTTCTGCGTGCTGACACTCTGCTCGCAGATCCACAAGGCCAAGGCCGAGAAGCTGCGTGAGGAGAAGCTTCGCGCCGAAATGGACGCCAAGCGTGCGAAGACCAAGGCCGCTCGCGAGAGGAGACAGGAGCGTATCCAGCAGAAGCGCAACGCTCTTACTGGCGAGGACGAGGAGCCAGCTGCTCAATAGATGTCGCATATCTAGATTCTCCAGTGCAGAAAGATTCGGAACGAGCGACGCATACGGCGACCAAGGAAGGGCACCAGGGAAGGTCGGTTTGCCCCAGGTCTGCCTACGAGTGGTATCATGGGGTTGTTCGGGCGTGCTGTTGGTTCTCACGGATGTTACTACGGCGTTTGCGTCTACCGTCTACTGTCATGGCCTTGATGCATGTATCTTGAGGCAACTCAAAATGAAGCGATGTCTCGAGAAACGCAACGACTTTCCCAATTCTGTTTACCGCAGCTTCTATATTTGTCAGCAGCACATGCCGTACAACGTGGCGGGGCTTCCTTCTCGACATAATATTCCATCACTGTCTTGCCAACATAACATTCCATCACTATCTTACCAACATAGCTACGAACATGGACGCTCCTGTTCTCACTACCGCCACATCCACAGCTGAAGATTACCGAAAGCTCTACCGACACTACATCTCATCCATCCAACCAGACCAAAGCTCCACCGACCTCTCAAGTATATCCTAACATCCACACCCCCTTGACAACCATCTCTAACCCTTGAAACCCACAGTCCTCGACGCCCTCATCCACCCCAAAGTAATCCACAACTCCCTCCCCCTCGGCCTCCCCGGCTACAAATCCCTCATCCACACCAACATCATCTCCACGGGCACGCGGATAAAAATCTCAAACCTCCTCGTCGATGTTGAAGAGCGAACGGTATGCGCGAGGTTGGTGTTTTCTGTGCCTGAGAGTTGTAAGTTTGTGAATTTCGGGGTCTGGAGATTTTTTTTTTCATTAGATTTTCTGATATTGTGCGTGCGTGCTTAGGTGAGGAGTTGATTGGGTATAGACTTAAGGGGAAGGGACGAAGGGAGGAGGTTGTGGAGGTTGTGGAACATGTGATTTATAGGTTTGATGGGGATGAGGATGACACGGATGGGAGGTTGAAGATTGGGGAGGTTTGGAGTGTTGTTGATGAGGGGAGTTTGAGGAGGAATGCGGTGGAGGGGGGATGAGAGTGCGGTTTAGGATTATGTGTTGTTGAGGCAGGCTCATGCAGAGGTTTCGTCTCTATTATAACGTCTCATCTCTAGAAATGGGCGGGTTGGATCAGGCCAGAGCAGATTAAAGCTGGTACGGCCTGAATTTCTGTCCATTCTGTGCATTTGATGAGCTTGGGTCTTGATTCGTCAGAGGTGTAGAATGTGCCGTCTGGTTTTACTGGTTCGGTGCGCATGGTTTTGGGGCTGAAGGCCTTCTGCCTTGGTGGTGGAGGAAGTGCTTGGCATGTTCTTGTGAAGGCATGTGGATGATCAGACTCCTCTGCTGTTCCGAGAAGCTCTTTGCTATGATACTGCCTTGTGTCATCCAGCTCCGGCTTGGAAGCTATGGCGCATTCGTATCTCATCCCTGATACGAGATCGCCAGTGACGTGGTGGATGTAGCCTGCGCCATTGGCATCTGTCTCAACAAAGACAGCAGTGTGGAACCTGATATCTGGCATGTCCGGATCAGGTAGAACAGGGCCATAGCGGACTTTGAAGACCTTGAGTCTGTCGTCGATATCGCGATCGTGTGAGATTGAGAGTCAGAAACCTCGACCAAGTCTGATCGTCTCGCCGCCACTCCCATACCACAGTGTTCCTTTCCGGAAGTCAAGACCTGACTCTTCGCCCACTGTCCACTCATCCTCGCAGTCTTGAAGCCATGTGTTGATCTCCTCGATCTTCTGAATGAGCTTGGCGATTGCTTCATGGTTGCCATCTGGTGTGTCTTCTTTGTTGGTGAAACGCCCGATCGTCAGATGTGCCGAAGGAATGACATATCGAGAGGCCACCTTGACACCTGTCTTTGAAGCAAGCGTGAACAAATCCCTTCGAAGATGGTGGTATGTGTAGTCATCGCCGTCTTCTCCAGTGGCAGGTAGCCAGGATAGCGCCAACGCTTGAGCATCAAAGCTTACAATGGGTCTCACCAGTCGCGGATGGTGAGTAAGAGTGTAATCCGTGATTGCTTCAGCATGGGGCTTGATCTGTTCTGCCAGTGCATCTATTTCAGGTGCGGTAAGGGAGTGGGTGATCTCGAGCGCGGTCATGTGAAGGCTGTCCTGTGGCATGATCCAAAGATTCGGGACCACTTCTTGGAGTCTTCTTTGCACCTCTACTATGAGCTTCTTGACGCGCGCTGTCGGTCTGGCCCAGAAAACCAGGCAGTTCCGTGGGTCTTCGTAGCCTGGAAACTGGTCTGGATTTTCTAGCCTCATTAGGATCTCGTCTATGGTGACACCAGGGAAGTTCTTGGCAAGGAGCCTTTCTTTCTGCTGGGCATTACGGTTGACTCGGTGTGTATTATATATTTTTTGAATCTTCGTCGGGTCGTCATTGCAGGATTCAATCAAATCGTGGTATGGGTTGTCAGTTTTCGGACCGGTGCCATTGGCTCCGGAGAGGTCTTCGAAGGTGTAGTATGCCGCCATTGCACTGAATTTTGCTCGGCTTCTGTCTGCTGTGGCAAGGAGGAAGCAGCACCTGTCAATATCGGCTCCACGTAGAGACCAGGAGTACAGTCACCCAGAGAGGTTGGGTACCGGGATGCTGCTTAGGACGGAGCTCCATACATACCAGAGGCTCAATGCAGACTTTGTACTGCAATTTTTGCCCCTACAAATTGTTTTTAATATATCTTTTTATCTAGAGGACTTATAGCTAAACAATATAAGACAAAGATACTCTAATCTAGGTCTATTTTTAGAAAAAATTAAAATTTTTAGTCGTTACCTACTAAATTAATAAGCTATATAGCCTAAAACTCTAAGTTAGACGTTTTAGGATTTAAGCGTTTTTTTAAGCCTTAGTATACTATTTTTATTAATCTAAAGTCTAGGTCTTATAGCCTTACTTTATAAGACTCTATATTAAGGTTTCTATCTTAATATAGCTACTATTAGTAATATAATCTAGAAAAGAATACTATAAAAACTTAAATTGTTCTTAGATTCTATCTTATATATCTTTTTATTTAGAAGAGTTATAGCTTAGTAATATAAGACAAAATTACTTTACTCTCTATATATATTTAGACAATAACTAGAATTATTATAGCTTTCTACTAAGATTAGCCTAAAATTCTAGAATTAAGATTTTAAGATTTTAGTATGTTTTAAGCCTTAGTATACTATTTTTAGTAATCTAAAATCAAAACCTAACAGTTTTATCTAGTAAAATTTCCTATTAGAGCTTTTACCTTTATTAGTTTATAAATAGTCTTATAACTTAAGAAAGAATATTTTTTAAAATTCTAAACTTTAAATTCTTAAGCTTATAATTCTTAAAAAATATTCGCTTTTGGATTTTAAGACTAATAGTAGGCGTATTTAGATAGGAATCTTAATATAGATTAAAACTAGGTAAAACCTTTAGTTCTAGCTTTTAGATTACTAAAAATAGTGTTATAAGGCTTAATAAATACTAAAATCTAAAAGTCTTTCTTTTAGATTTTTAGGCTAATCTTAGTAGATAACTATAACAGTTTTACTTAATTTCTAAAAATAGATAAAAAATAGAGTATCTTTGTCTTATATTATTAAAGTATAACTCTTCTATATAAAAAGATATACTAAAGAGAACCTAGTAAGAATTCAGGTTCTAATAATATTCTTTTCTAGATTATATTACTAATAGTAGCTATACTAGAATAAAAATCTAGAACTAGATTCTTTTTAAACAAAACTATAAGACCTAGATCTTGGATTACTAAAAACAGTATACTAAGGCTTAAAAAACACTAAAATTCTAAAACGTCTAACTTAGAGTTTTAAGCTATATAGCTTATTAATTTAGGAGGGAACGACTAAAAATTTTAATATTTTCTAAAAATAGACCTCAATTAGAGTATCTTTGCTATATATTGTTTAGCTATAAGTCCTCTAGATAAAAAGATACATTAAAAACAATTTGTAGGGGCAAAGATTGTACTGTATCGCTGCGGTAAGAAGTGCTGCATTGAGCCTCTGGTACGTATAGGCCTCCGTACTTAGTCATGTGGCATAATTTGGACATTGGTTCAAGCTGGCTCAGCACAGCCAACAATGCATTCATTCATTCACCCACGCCTACTTCTACTTCTGTCCTTGCATGTGATCTTGGTGGCTAGGGCAAGAGCACGGAACGAGATGAATACACCCGCAAGCAAGACGAGCCAATCGCAGGCCAACACTGGGCGGTGGGCGGCATAGAAGAGGCGGCGGCGGCGGCGGCGGCGGCGAGAATGGTGCTTCATGCGGCATCAATTCTCTCAGATATTCCGGGGACATGGCAGAGTGAGGCAAACTTCGTGTCACGCATGCTTAACGCCAGCCAGACGACGAGGCTTTCACGCGTCTGAGGCTTCTGGACCGCGTACTCACACGCTCCCCGCTCTATGCGCAAGTTTGGCGACTGGTCCGGGATGATCTGGTCGTGCAAACTAATATGAATGTGAAGTGCAAATATATTGATGCTGCAGCATTTCATTGGAAACCAGCATTGAAGGAATTCTCCGTTGGGCTCTGCTCCTTATGCATGCGCGGAGGAAGGTTTTCGCTCCCGGAGAACGCCATATTGCCGCTATGGCGTTGTGACACAACACGCCGTCGATTTTGACAGTTGGCTAGAGGTCGGAAACTGACCAAGATCGCCCTTGACAGCTCCAGCCGGTGCCAAAACGCACTCCTCCTCATCAGGTTGATGGGATCACTCGAGCGGCCCTTAGGATTGAGAACAGGTGGGTCTACTCGTGACTATCTAATGCAGGTCTGTTCCTTCGCACGAGGTATAATTTTCACCTCACCCCTCTGCAGCTACACAGACATCTTTCAGCGATAGCATTAGCATGAACAATATCTGTGGAAATCGAAGCTCGTGTTCATGCCAAACTCATGAACGCTAACATCATCTTTCTTGCTCACGATGAACATGACGACCAGGATGTTCGCAGAACCGTTCGTGTAAGGGCTGCGGAATACAGTCACCGCCAGGGTGATCGAAAACCGAAAGCAGGCAAAAAGCCAAATACCATGAAGCGAAAACCGAAACAAAGCGATCCCAATGAAGGCTCCTCACAACCTCAATCGACACGAAACTCAACACCAAGCAATGCAGCTTCCGCGGCCTCAGGAACACAGGCTGGTGAGACTGATTCTGGGCTGGCACTTTCGCGGTCACAGAGTCCCGCTACGGGCACGGTCGGTAATCAGAGGGAAAATTCTTTTGTGCAGTATCCGGTGGAGGCGCAGCCTTGGTTTGAAAGGCTGCTAGACTGGAGTGAGTCTGCTTTCACAGAGTCGTTTCACACGATAAGAGCTAATGTGCTGTAGTGTGGCCATTCATGTTGAGAGGCTGGTCTGCGCTAGACACCACGCACGCACAGCGCCAAGAGGCATTGCCATGGGTCCAGCGTCTGACTATGTCTAGCCCCTGCTACTTCTACATGAACATGCTCTCCGTCTCAAGTGACTTGGTTTCGCGAGGCTCTTTGAACCAGCAGATGGTTCCTTGGCATTCGTCGCAAGTCGTCAAGTCCATCAACGAAGCTCTGAATGACCGAGAAAAGGCTTTGGCAGTTGGCACCATCCTAGCAGTGGGACGCATAGCTTTGCACGAAATCATGCTTGGGGACATTTCAGCTGGAAATCAATTCCATCGACCCGCTTGGGCACGGTACGTGCGTCTCAGCTGGTTTTCGGGATCGCACTGGCTAATTTGCAGCCAGCATGATTGTAATGGCCGGAGGCCTGGATGCACTTAAACTTCCCTCGCTCGTGCGATCTCATCTTGGCTGGGCGAACAGGCTAATGACGATGAAGACTGGAATCAGTATTTTCGATCTCGAACCTGCCCTGAAGCACGAGCCGACTTTCCTGCTGGAACGGCAAGTGAGCGAAGACGTCGCTGTGCTTCATCAGTACATGCCATTCTCTGCTGCGAAGCTCTGCGACAAATTCGAAGCTGAAGTTCTCGACGGCATCCTCGCCAACGGGAAAGCGAGCCATGCGCGAGGCCTCTCCTGAAGCATGCTTCACAACAAAGCAGATATTTGGCTGATTGGAAACGATGTCGAACGGTCATCGATGAACGCAGGAAAAGCTACGTCGCCTCTAGGCTGATCTAGCTACGACGAGAAATTCAGTCAAGAGACAGTGAAGCTGAACGAGAACATACGGTGGTGAGCAGATGAGGCAGAAGACGCTGCGTAGATCAAATGTCAGCCATCATATCTTGTACTACCTTTATACAACTTCAAAGGCTATCATTGATCACAAAGTGTTGGTTCTCCCAGCCGCTCGACCGACTGCAATCAACAACCCAGGCATCTGGCATCACCATACTGAGCACCTGCCATCATCCGAGAAAGAGCTTCTGATCCAGATTCACGGACTTCCACTCTCAAAGGACTCTGAACTGTAACCTAGTCTGATGCTGCCAGATATGTCTGATGTTGTTGAGCGTCAAGGTCGAGCGGCTTTGAATATTCCATCTTCAAGCTTTCCCAAAACACCTTTGTTTCCAACTCCTCCTCCTCCTTTCATCGTCTTGCATCCGGATCTCCTCCATCTCAAAATGAAAGTTCTCAAACCACGGTTTCGATTGACGGCAGAGCCGGCAGGCTGCGTACAGATCAAAAGTGGCGAGATTTTCATGATGGGAAGATTTTGTTGTCTCTTGTGTCTATGAATCGAGTCTCTCTTCAGCATTGGTTGTCAAATCTTCCACGACACCATTCTGTGCTTGGCTCAAGCAGGGCGTGAGTCGCATGTACAGGAATGATCAATACTCGGAAAGGAAGACTGGAAGAGAGTAGTCGGCGTCTCAGTTTTCTATGCGCTTCCGCCGTATTGCGTGTCCAGACGACCATGCCATGTGGTATTGTCGGTGAAAGGCTGGAACAACTGCGGATCGAGAACATGCGGATTGGAAAAGTTTTGATCATAGAGCTCTTCATCTTGCTCCAGATCAATGGTGTCGTCAGATCCGAATTGTGTCTGGTCTCGCTGCAGATTCTGCATCAGCTGCTCTCTGGGAAAATTAGGGCCTGGAGCCGCAGGAGCACCGAACGAGGCAGCGCCGCCATATGCCCTTGGAGGAGCATGCTGTTGCAGATCGAAGCCGGCGAGGTCTGCGACTGATGCTCGAGCTCGAGCAAGTTGTGATGCGCGCTGCGGTGAAGCGACACGCTCGGCGTCGACGGTCTTCTTCCGACGGTCCTTCGAGACGCCAGCTGAGGTCGACTTGAGGGCTCCATTCGTTACGGACATGGGAGCAGCAGCTCTGCCACGCCGAGCGAATGTGTCGGCCTTCGTCGGGTCTCCATGCTTTGTCCTATTCCACTGCGAGAGCGCTGCTGGATCGACAGGCTGCGTCGCCCGAGCAGGCTGGCCTTGAGAAGCGTCGCCATCAATGGCCTCTGGACGAGAAGGCTGATTGTAATATGTCTTTTGCTGTGCTTGTAGCACATGCCGGACGTTCTTGGCTCGGCCGTTCTCAAACTGTGATGGCAGCGCATGGGCGACCGCGTGATTGATGCCACCGTTTATGTTTTGCGCGATGCCGCTGACCTCAGCATTTGCGTAGCCCTGCTGGTGCATGTAGGCATGATAAAGGCCGTGTGGATCTCGCTGGAAGGAAGAAGTGCGAGCTTGTGTCTGAACCTTCTGGACACCTGCCCGCGAGACCATCGAACCACCGCTATTGCTCGCCACCGGCTTCGTAGCCCTACTGGACGGAGCAGGCCCGACGCCGCGACTCGATTGTGGAGGCAACTGAGACTGCTGGTAGTAGTCTTGAGCGTTCCAAGCGTTCCGACCATTGAAGTCTTGAGCGCCGAGAGCCTGGGTTGCAAGGCTCGATCCGCCAGAATTGGGGAGAGCTTGAACCTGTTGAATCTGCTGTCCGTGTGCATTCGGAACCTGCAATCCAGCTTGCCGTAGCGCATCGAGGACCGTTTGATTGTTGAAAATCTTGGTCGTCAGCTGGGGCTTCGTGATATCGCGACGGAATTGCTCGCCAAGAACGTCTTTCACGAAGTTCTTCAGATTGTTCTTTAGCATTGGTGGCTGGAATTGTACAGGCGTGCGAGCTTTGACCCATCGAACTATATCCTGCAATGTCGGCGTCGACATGTTCGGAGCATTCGGCAAAGTTGGGCCAAATTGCTGGTGGCCCTGAGGGATATTGCTCTGGCCAGAGACATGACCACCAGATGGAGGAGCAGACACCTGTTGTGCTACTGTTCCTGCAGGCAGCGACAAGGGAATACCAGGACCGTAGTAGTTATCCTCAAAACGCTCCAGTCGCTGAAGATAGTCCAATACCAATCGAGCGGTCTCGTCAGGACTGGACATCATCGCATCTCGATGGATTCGGGCGTGAATCTTCAGCCAGTACACCATACCCATAGGGTTTTCGTGGACCAGCTTGTTCTGAAGAGTGCCAGCCTGATAATGCTCCTGGACGTCTTTGTTCATCGGGACTTTCGTGCCTGTAGGATAACGGTATGCATCCCAGTTTGCGTTGCCCTTGTAAAGGTCGTGGGAGTCTCCATAGGACTTATCTGATGCTGTGCCATCACTTGTATGCGAACTCTCTGATGTTGCTCTCAGCGTGGAAGCATTGCCAGTACGACGAGATTCCCCATAAGTGCCATCGGAGGCACTTGAGGCGCGAGAAGATGACGCGATGCCGCGAGCCTGCACGACAGGTGACGCCTGCTCGCTCGACTGTGTTGCTACGGGCACAGGAGCTTGGTAATGGTCATCACCAGGCCCAACATGCGGCGCACCGGCGAAGTGGTTTAGACCCGTCTTGTGGAACTTGGTCGGCCGAAGCGGAGTCGACTGCGAGTGCACCTCACCGTCTGCCAAAGGCTCTTCTTGTGCCTTACGCTTGTTTTTGTGTGACTGGTGTGTGGCACGCATCGCTCCTGCAGCTTTGGAAGAGCTGGCATTGTCATTGTCACTCTTGTGAGGTGAAGGCGTGTCCTTATCACCATGGCTGGTCGGTCGACCCGACTGCTCTGGCAGATCGTAGCTCGGTTGGAATGGCACTTCTGGCCGCGCTGGTTGCGACGCCGAATCACTCGCTGTAGTCATATCTGCGAGCTCCTTCGTCCTGTTGGGATCGTTGGCGGTTTGCTCGGAAGACTCAGTATCTGATTCTGATGGCCCATCGGCCGCTGGCTCGGTCTCAGTATCTGCCGTTGGCTTTTGTGGTTGATCATCCTGCAGGCCCGCTGCCAGCGCCGCAACTTCACGCCATTTGGCTTGCAAACGCCTCGCGAGTTTGGGTGCTTGATGCTGCCAGAGCAAGCCATTGAGCTCTATCCGCTTTGACTCGTCTGCGTCATTCTCGAAGGCACTAAAAGGTTCAAAGGTGCTCTTCATGTTGTCGGCTGTGATCTCTTCCTCGAGGGTGTGGCGGATCATCGGTCGTAGCGTATCGTAAAAGCTATCATCAAAAGACTTATTGAATTTCTTGACATGGCGACGTACAGCATCCGCCACGGCAAGGCCATCTGTCTTGAGCTTCACATCCTCGTAGGTGATCTCTCTCAGCCCATTCTCGTCTTCGTTTTGCTGAAAGCTATCGTAAGTCAGGGTTTGAAGTACTGCATCGACCTGCGGCCCATATGCAAATGCTTCTTGGGTGTCGTGTGCTGGAGGAACCAGGTCGCGGAAGTGAGAAATGCTGTCATCCGAAGCTTCCTCATTGATCACATCTCCCACAGAAAGCTGCCCGAGCTGATCTGCGACAAGAACAGCTCGAGAATCGCGCTCACGATTGCTGCCCTGAAGGCTGGCGTAGCCATCGACCTTGACAGTGATCTTGCCGTGCACAGAGCGTAGGTGCAGAATCCGAGTCGGCTCTTCAATCAGGCAGTACAGCAAGGTACCGCCCAAAGGAGGGCCGGACAAATCTTGATATCCGAAGGGCTCTCGTTCGGATCGCAGTGATGGTGTAGTCGAGGCTGGAGTCTTTGTGGGAACGGCCTCTTCCTCTGTGGTGACGGCAGGCTCGTCCTCAGAGCTTGGGGCCTTACCCATAAGCATGAGTGTGACTGTTGCGCTGAAGCTCTCAAGTTCGGCTGGGGGCAAATGGCTGAGGAGGCCGTGAAGGAGCTGCGTAGGAGGCAGTTTCATATGAACCGCGGACGAAGGGGGTGTCAGGCCCATCAGATGAATGTCCAAGAACTGCTTCGCGACGACTTGCGCATAGTGCTTTTCGGATGGTAACAGATTTTCCAGGATCTTCACAGCATGTTCTAAAATGGTTGCCATGGCTGCTGTGTCTTCGTATTACAAGGGTCGCAGTGTGAGGTTCTGAGCTTTGGCTTTGACGGCGGGAGTTTTATGCGCTCGTGTGGGTGTCGGCGGAAGGTTTAGAAGGGGTTGCGTGGTTGACAGCAGATGTATCGCCGTATCGCTTGAGAGAGTCGAGGCGCGGTGTATGCGAGAAGAGGTGAGTTATGCGTTGTTGGTGCGTTGCTGGGGCTGAATGTAGAGTCCAGGACACAGTGTGATGTTGGCGACCTTACTGAACGTAATGCGAACGCGGCGACAGTGTGGTGTGTGTTTTCGTTCGAACGAAAGTTGTGTTATGTCGCAAGTCTGGGTTGTGGTCGAGGGTGGAAGTAGGCTAGAGTTCGGGACGTGACGCAATATTTCCGGGACTAGCGCGTTTTGTAAGTGAATGTGCTCATACTTCACCCTTCGCTCCTCACGCTGCTGTTCCATCGTCGCATGAAGCCTTGCTCTAAGCATTACCTGAGCTATGGTCGAATGCTAGAGTGCAAATGGATCCCGATCCAGAGCGTGGGAAGAAGTACGGAGTGAAAGAATAAAAATCTCTATTTAATCGAGCCACTTTCCACTGAATCTGCTCGGCGAGACCCTCCAGACTATGCATAGGATCCATTCTGGCCGTTCAGATTTGCTCGTGCATCCTGATACATTGCCATTTGTGCGCGCTGTAGCTCCGCACGTTCCCCCTCGTCTGTGATGGCATCGACTTTGACAACGTCCTTCTTCTTACGCCTCTGTTTTGGCTTTGAAGCCACAGGAATCGAAGCGTCAGTTATTGAAATGCCGATAGGATGCGACGCCTGTGATGCGCGACCTGCTGCTGGAGCGTTGGAGAATCTGGAAGAATGTTTTCCGTTCTTGCCAAAAGATCCACGCAAGGCTTGTCGTACTCGCTCGTGCTCCTCTTCAGAGAGTGCTGGCGGTGCGCTGTCGTCATCATCGTCATCGTCGTCGAGCACTATGACTGTCTTTCCATCGACGTTGAGCGTGCTCTGGTAGTTACCCGAAGCTTTTCGCGCAGCCAGCTTGGCACGTCGCTTCGCCTTTCGCTCCTCGTAAGGTCGGTTCGCGGCTAGGTAAGGCTCATAAGAGTGGTGATACCATTTCCTGATCTCCGCTTCCAGGTCTTCTTTTTTGAGCTTGTATAGGCTCTGACCAGTCTTCCGTCTGAGGAAAGCTCTCTTCTCTTCGTTGCTGTACTGTCGCTCGAATGAACTTGACCGCACGGCCTGAGCCATTCCTGCGTCGCTGAGACGATCAAGACCAGTGTCTTCAGGAGTTTGATATGGGAGCGGCGCTTTACTCTGCTGTGCTTCAGGCGCAGGTTTCGAGCAAGTGGGATTGTAGCTACCATTGTGAAGTATGGGGTCGATAGCGTCTGGCTTCGATGCATGTTCAGAGAGCGACAGGTTGCCATTCGCAAACAGACCATCAAGATCAAATTGCGGCGGAGCTTCTGCAGACGAGGTGATGGGGGTTCCAGCAGGCATCCTCGGGCTTTTCTTCAATGCTTTAATCTTCCGTCCTTTGTGAACTTCAGTATCATCTTTCTCACTTGCGTCGAGCTCATGCTCAGCTTTGCGCTTTAGCGAGCCTGACTTAGAGGAAGGTCGCTGAGTGGATGACGTCGAAACGGAGCGAGCCTCTCCAGCAAGAAGGTAGCGCTGCGACAAGTCCTGTTGAACATCCCCCTCAAGTTCTGCAAGCAAGAGGGCATCTAAGTCACCCTCCGCGGCATCCTCGTCGTCTTCGCGCTCGAGTTCCGCAAGCAAGAGGTCGCCCAGATTGTCATCCTCTGCGCCCTCCTCGTTGACCGAGGCGTCAAACTCCTCCTCAGATTCAACTAGATATTGGTCTAGTTCATCGTCATATTTGTCGTCATCGACATGTGCTGGAAGCTGTGGTGCTCGCTCTGCGAACCATGCCTCCTCGTCGACGAGATCCAGCTCGCCGTCGTCGTGGTAAAGGTTGGTGAATCTGTCCAAGAAACCCATCTTGAATGATTCGAGGTAGGAAGGTGGTGTTACAAAGAGCAGTGCAAGAAATCGCTCCGTCAAGTCGGCGGTGCAGGAAGTGCAATGTGTGATGGAAGGATAGAGAGGATGATACTCTCGAGATGGAAGTTAGGTGTAGACAAGACAATGTTAATGTCAGCGCCAGTGAAGAAAGCTCAAAGGGATTGTGTTTAGTGAATTTGGATAGCACAATGCTTTTTGATGCTGCAACGCGTTTCGAAGTTGAATCAAAAGTCGCAGAAGCAGAAGCGGAACCGGTGTTACAGGAATGGCTGGCTGCTGCTCAATTCTGTTCGTAGTCGCCAACAATAGCACGCTTCAATAGTCCGGTAAGCGTGTCGTTGCGGGTGCTGTTTTTGTCGAAATGGTGAGCTGCTGACCGCACGCTAGGGGCGGGATTTCAAGCGAATGACATAAGTATGCCTTTACTTGCAGGCTGCCAGTGAAGTGCCAGCAAGTGAAGTCCTCGCGGATCATACCAAGACAACACTTACCACTCCATGTCTGGGAGGCATGACGAGAGACGAAAGGACGTGCTCTCACTGCCGAGTGAAGAGAGTTAGTCCTGAACGCCAAGCTGTTCGCGACTTCCTCGCGCAATTCTAGTTACTTCTCCTCATCAACAGGCCAGCAAGTCGCAGAGAATACCTGTAAACTCCATGGTCGCATCGACTGTGGTCATTGACCCGTGCCTGAGACTGTTAGGAGATCCAGCATAATCTTCAAAGCTACATTAGCTCCATGCTCTGCACTGCTCATGGTAGACCTGCGAATGATGGAGTTTGCAGTATCTTGACCGCATAGGGAAGATAAAGTGCCTAAAGAGCGTCTGAGTATTTAGGTGTTTGATTAATGATCTGAGTATATCGTGCTTCCGGTATCTCTCTATGGTGAGCGTAGTTCCGTAAGCGGCTGGGTTTCGCTAATGAATGATCGCACGAATGATAGGTGTCGGCGTCGGCGCTGAGAGGACACAAGTATAGCGCCTCGCATCGCATCGAAGCCTTGGAGGTGATCTGAGGCATTGAATCCCCCTTCGCTCGTCGATATTTTGGGAAACACGTAGTGAGTTGGAGGGTCAATTAAGTGCTTGGCCGCGAACATGATGCTGCAGTCACGGCGAGACAGAGGCTCACGCCACTTGCATGAGCAATAATGTCTCGGTCGGTGAGACCAAAGATGATACAATGGACAAAGAAGTGCTTCGAGACAAGAACGACAATGGAGACGCGTGAGATCAAGCTTTCCGCACCATACCGCTTTCGGATGCACAGCCATTTGATGCCAAGAATTGCCTTGTGCAGGCCACCTGGCAGGGTACTTTGATGGAGCGAAGAAGAATATCATTTGATTTGAGAGTACATTGATAGCTCCTCCACTCCCACTAATGCTCCCAGACATCATGGATATATTCTCCAATTGATATTCTACGAAGCTGACTAGCGTCTGAGACAATCTTCGCCGCCTCGTCATCTTCGAAGACACGGTGTGCTTCATGAAGCCTGCCTGCATTCCGCAATTCTGTATCGATGAGCCTGCCATCGTCGTGCACGAGCTGTGTATAGTCGGTCAGAGATGGGGATGGGAAGTGTGTAGTGTCATTCCATAGCTGGGCAGGAAAACGCCGACAAGCAGCGAACGCGATGGTGCTGAGCATTGAGAATATCGTGCGAGCGAAGTAGACCTATATCATCAATGTTATCTGCAGTATAAGGCTCGATGCATTGCAGTCCATTATCTTCCACGCTCTTGCATATTTCCTCGGGCGGTACACGCCTCGAGGTCGCGGTATGTGGATGGCCATTCGGGCAGCACGTTTGATGTAGGTGGAAGAGGCCAGACTGAAGGACTACTTGATTCTATTGCAGAACGAGATGTCAAGCAAGTTTGTACTTGACCACGCTAAGAGCGGGGTTGACCAAGGTCCGGTCCGATCCCACACTAGCGGCTACGGATCCGCAAAGTGGATGGTCAACTCCGCTTTTAGCGTGGTCGACCGAGCTAACCACGAGCTTACATCATTATAAGGGTAGTCTGTATTCTGCTAACAGATCTGTTTAAGCGAGGTAGGGCAATTACGTCTTTCCCGCTAAGACCCTATTTTACTATATTATCTCGCTTAATTTCCGGGCCTCGCGTATAGCCTATTCTCTGCTAATAGTACTACTAACATATATCGTCGATTAGTCGATATATTAATAAAGCCAAAGTTTATATATAGTATAGCCGTTATGTTACATTCTAAGGTATTACTATCTACGCCTACCTATTACTTATTCTCGCTGCCTCTTCCTTACTTACTTACTATCGCTATTGCTAAATAGCGACTAATATAGCGACTAATATAGGATTATCTTCTCGAGCGCGTATATATAGATATTATAGCGTAGACCTATTGCCCTATTAAACTCGATAACCTATAAATCGAGTACTTAGTACTAAGGTCGACCTACGCTATAAAATAAGCCTACTAGAAGACCTATTAGAAACAGTAACTCGCTTAGTATTAGTATAGTCGCCGCTATATCTCGAAAACGAGGTAGTATAGCATAGACAACGTATCTACGAGGCGTGTATTATAGGTCTTGTATTATAGTAGTTACCTTCTTATTAGACTACTTACTTATTCTATCTCTTGCCGCTAGTAGGTTGTCTATATTGTCCTTATCTACTATATTAATATCTTCCGTCTCTTCCTCTTCTACGCCTATAGCGCGTATATTAAAGACTGTCTCCGGTATATAGGCTATCTCGTCGGTAGCTTCCTACGGCGGCTATTATTATAGTTATAAGAACTCGTCGGCGGCTTGCTATAGCGGCTATTATTATAGTTGTAAGAACTCGTTAATAGATAGAAGTAACGATATTCTTACTGCCTTAGCGGCATAATTAGACGATAGCTAGTTTATAAAGGAACGATATTATAGCGCTAAGAGTCGCGTTCTTACCTCGTCTAACTTCTTATAGAAGTTAATTTTAACGTTCTTAAGAAGCGAGTATAGTTATAGGTAATTAGTCCGCTCGAGAGCGCCTATATTGTCGCTATTACACCGAGACAGAAGAAATACCTTATCGTCGTCCTTAATAGCTAGTATAATCGCCTATTGCTATTTATAGTAGATACTAGTCGCTTTAAGGCTACCTGCCTCTTCAAACCGCCGTACGTAGGTCTTAGTAACACCCTTACTAATAGGGTTGTTTTTAAACTCGGCATTAATCTAGATGTACTAGTAAGGTAGATAATAAGTCGCCTAGAAATAGTATATATACTCTACTAGTAGGTCGTAGATCTTGTAACGCTTAAATCGGCTCTATTATAGTATACCGAGTTTAACGTAAGCTAAAGCCTTCGAGTACTACTTAGCTAGAAGGACCTAGACTAAATATAGCAGTTGCTAGAAGACCTCTATACTACTAATAGTGCGTCGGAAGAGAGGTAATTGCTAGCTCTTATTAGCCGCCTTAATAGCTCTATTATGCTACTTCTTATTAGTCTTAATTGCGTAGACAATAATACTAGAGAGCGAGAAGTTAGCCTTAGCTACCTTCTTAACTTTAGCCTTGTATTTAGAGTGCTAGCCTTTAACGGGCCTAGTAGTGCGGTTCTATACGAAGGTTAGCAACTAGTATACCTATATAGGAAGAAACGGCTAGTTTTACCTATATAAGCAAGGGATTGTCCTGCCTTAAGTAAGTATACTATATGCTAGCGTACTAGAAACCCTATTCCTTCCTTAAATAGCTAGCTAGAGGGTCGTTATTGCCTTCTAGCAAAGCCCTCTCGGCATTAGCAAGCGCTTAAATACACTCTTTATTATTCTTAACGTTATAAAGTGCCCTTAGCAAGCACCTATAGACCTTCTTATATAGTGAATTAAGTAGAAACTTCTTCCGAATAATCTCTAACTAATAGCGTTAACAAAGCCTTAGTTAGACCTCTAGAAATACGGTTGTAATAGCCGCTTGCTCGCTAGCTAAGTCGTTAGTTACTATCTATTATAGTAACTAGCCGCTAATCTCGCTATAACCGGCCTAATAAGCTAGGTGTCGAAGACCTATAGTATACATAACACTATGCTTGCTTTCTAAGGCTATATAAGCTATAGGTCGCTATTTTAGATAGTCGTTAGGCACTATAAGGTTGCAGAGGTAGAAGCTAGTCTTATAGGTGTCGTATATGTCGTCTATTAGTATAATACGACTATATTTCCGAAGCAATTTAATGCTAGCTAGCTCGGCAAATACAAAGCCTCTTCGGAGGCTATTAGGAGTTATTATTCCGAAGCTATAGAAGTGTAGACCTAGCTTAGTAGCCTTATTATAAGCGGCCTCTAATTGGACTAGAATATTGCCTCTTATTTGCTATATAACTTGTCTCTTGTTACGGTTATAGTATAGCGAAGAACGACCTAGGTTATAGGCGTCTTAGTACGCGTTTTAGCTACTAAATAGTCGCCTACTTCTAAGTTGTCTATTTAAGGCATTACTAACACGGTTAATAACGCGTCTAGCTCTCGGAGAGTTGTTTATATTAGTCTTAATTATATTCCGGACGTATTTGTTTAACTTCCGGCTATTAAGAAGGTCTAGGTCGTATATATGTCTGCTATCGAATTAGCCTCTCGTAATATATATAGGTTCTTATCGAATACCTTCTAGCCGATATATTATTATAATAAAGGACACTTTATAGGGCGCAACTAGCTTGAATTTAGGCTTCTAACGTTATCTAATAAAGGTTTCTTCTTTAGAGGCGCTCTTGTCCTGTTTTTCCTTGCTTTTGCTCTTGCTATTACTATTGCTTTTGCCTTTACTATTACTATTACGTCGTCGTTTAATATAGCCGAAGTACTGCTTCTTAGTTGTCCGGCCTTGTATATCTAAACCCTTACCTAAACGCGATGCAATCGTACGCGAGTATATATTACTTAAAACAGCCTATATCGTTTCCTATTGCGATAGGGAAAGTTTAAATAGTTTAGTAAGGTTAAAGAACAGTTGCTAAAGTCGTTCTAGCTCCGTAATATCGTCTATTGTAGTAGTATATAGTATATTACAAAACGAGAGGTTTGGGATTTCCGCTTGCTTAGTATAGGTGTGCCAAGCTTTATCTCGAAATACGCGAAGCCCGGAAATTAAGCGAAATAATATGGGGAAACAGGGTCTTGGCGGGATCTACGTAATTACACGGGAAGCCCCACCTCGCTAATCGAGGTGTTGGCAGAATACAGACCACTATCATGAGTATGTATCACAGTTCAGATCCTCCCGTGCTCCATTCTCTCTTGCAACCCATTTGGAGCCACAAATTGCCGGCATCTGCGTATCGAGACATCCTTCTAGTCATCGGTCAGCCGTCGCATCATGCCCCGAGACAGACTATACTCTCCTGGGAGGTATTGCTGCTTCATGAATGCTCGAATAGCTCGGTCAACGGACTGCATCGCTCCATGGCCAGACTCTGCCTGGCTGGTGCGAAAGCCGACCGGAGAGAACACTGATTTGACCATGCCATCCTGCAAGTCATCCGTGTCGCATACTTCATCGTCAAGGCTGTACCGATCACACATACCCATCATTTCGGCCGAACCTTGAGCACAGCCTTCCTCGGCTTGACCTCGATCATGAAGTTCTCGTCAATCTCTCCTCGACCGTTCATCTCCAACGCGCCACTCTTGTCTTCCTCTTGACCAACAGCGCCAGCCATCTCGTCTGGCCGCCCTTCCCCTGCCTTAGCGACATCCATGCTCATCTCCTGCTCCAACTCCAACTCCAACGCCTTCGCCATCTCCTCCTCTTCTTCCGCATCTCTCCGCTTCCGTGTCGCCTCTTCCATCTTCCTGCAATACTCCTTCTCGTCAGGCTCAAGCGCACCCTCGGTCTCTCTGTACACCTTCGTGATAGCACCCTTCACAATCCTGTAAAAGTCTTCGGGTAGCACCAAATTCCTGATTGAAACGGTGAGGAATCCCGTGTGTGACACGGATACCAGAGCGCGCACTTGCCCGTCGTGCTCTCGAGTTGGTGTCAGCTCGTGTAGTTGGCCGAGCATCATTTTCGCCTCTTTGCCGTAGCAAGTTGCAGTGTAGGACTTGCTCGTTCTTAACCTCTAAATAGCCGAGTTATATAGGCTATATCCTAAGTACCTTATTATCGACGATCTTGAGTGGTGAGACGCCGAAACGAGGGACCCCGTTGCGGTCAGAGATCGGTGTGACGCCAGCGTTGGTGAGGGTGCCGTCGACACGATTGCGCAGCTCGTCGCAGTAATGCTTTGCGTTGGAATATCCAGTCGCCTCAGCCGTGATCGCGCCTGTGTTGCTTCGAGTGATTTTCAACTGCATGGTTGGTAGGCAGATCCCGAGGGCTTTGATGGTACCGAACGCAGCGATACCGCGAGCTGTGAAGCGCTTGTCGTGGTACGGAATGGGGTTCTTCTTGAGACTCTCAAGATGGACCGCCACCTCGCTCATTTCTGAAGACTTCTGGCGGTTTTTGGCGTCTTCTGCCGCGTCTGCCTCAGCTTTGGCGCGCGCAGTCTCAGCCTGGGTACGTCGGAAGGTGATGTAAGTGAGCTGGTCTTGAGTCGCCTGCTCTTGTTCAAACTGGACATCGAATACATCTGCCTCTTCGATCACACAATGAACCTCGGTCTCGCCATCAGGATGTTGGTACACTGTTGCGGTTCTTACTTCAATTGCATCGCAAAAGAACTCCACAAGCTGACCATAGGTGTACGCTTCAATCTCGGCATGTCGGCCTTGCGAAGGGATGAATGTGGACAGCGCAAATCTCGTGAACATCGCATTAGTCTCATCTATGAGCTTCTGTGGTATGCGTCCACCAATTTCGCCCTGCAGCAGATTTTTTGCGATGGTGCAGACTCGATGCTGGAAGTTCTCGGAGTGCTGTGACCCACGAACGTAGCCACCGAGCCTGCAAGTGTCTTCGCCGACATCACTCCGCTGCATCACTAATGATGCCGAGAGTGGATTGATGTTCGAGTCGGCGTAGATCTTTGAGAGAAGAGTGTATTCGTACATCGCAATGGCCCCTTCCCCTGCGGGAGTTGTTGTCTTGATTGCTGCGGCAGCTTCATTTCTGGCGCGAGCCGCCGAGGTCGCAGCCTCAATTGTGGCTCGAGTACGAGAAGTCTTCGCTCGTTTCTGTGGTCGCTGCATGTTGCGAGACCGAACGACGAAAGGATTGCATTTGGCGTGGATGCTGCACAGAAAGTTGAAGGCTTCCGAGAAGCTGCCTTAGGCATGGCCGTTTCGGGCTGTTCCGGTGATGCGCTTCACTAGCGTGGGGTTGAGTGAATGGTTTTACGCTGCTGGGTTCGCTTCATCCCGACACTTCTGCGGGAATTCATACGCCTCTGGAGGTACTCTAGTACTATTCTCTCAGTCGTAAGGGCGACGTATGGATTACTGTTTTTAGACTAGACCAAGAAGGTAGCACACACCAGGTGTTGGTGAAAGCCTGTTCGGTCATGGAGAACTCCAAATACCACAGCGAGGCCAGACACCAATATGACGCGTGCATCGCAGTACTTGCTCAGAGTGCGAAGACATAGACAGGAAGGTGATTTACTCGTACTGCGCTCCAGAAAGCACAATAGGGCCACAGAGGCGATTCGCGACGTAAACACTGTAGTACTTAGAACCAAAACAGGAAGCCGGCACAGGGAGAGGCGGAATGCAGCTCGAAATCGCTTGTCATTCGGTCCAGCTAAGTACAGATTCCAGACGCCCGAAGGAAGAAGAGACACCAGCAGCACCGCAACGACCTCTAGTCCAGAACGATTGGCTCCTTATCCGAGACACTGCCACCTAGGACTGGTGACTTGGGCCGGTACCCACCAGCCGCATCTCCATTCTGGCCACGACCATTGGCAGCTGCGGATCTCGCGCCAGGACCACGGCAGACCTCCTCGCCATACACCTCCGCAAACCAAACCTTCTTCTTGATGTAGCCATACCACATTATGATGTGATGGATGCTCTGCTCCTTCTTATCTTTTGACGTGGCTTCGCGAGCGTCGAGCACGAAACGGGCAAACTCTCGAAGAGAAGGAGCGCTGAAAGAGCCCAAATTGTTGCGCTGGATGGCCTGGACGACGGCCTTTGCGCTGGGAGTACCCGCTTTAGCCATTGAGGGGACGGTGAGGAGCGGCTCGTCCCACTTGGCGGCGTTGTTGGCGTGCACGGCGTCTTCCATGGCGGCTGCTGGGGGTAGAGAGCGCTCCGTGGGAGCTGTCTGCGGTGAAGCAGTGAGTACGGAAGCGGGCGGCGTAGAGGTCATGGTTGGCGCAGAAGCAGAAGCGACAGCGAGTGGAGTGACAGGCTTCTGCTTCGTCTCGACCTTGACCTTCTTGGCGACGTACTTCTTCTCGGCCATGGCGGCAGTGCCGTACCTATCATCGAGTTCGGAGCCATGCTCGGACAAGAAGATGTCGATGGCGCCCTCGATGTGGATTTTGGTGCCAGTGGTCGGTTGACCTTGGATTCTAAGCCAAGCTTTGAGAACTTGCAGGTCGTAGTGATCGACGTTTCCATTCTTATTGGCATGGATGACCTCCTTGTTGAATGGAATCTCCTTGGAGTTGTTCTGGAGGTCGTAGCGACGCAGATTGGCATTCTCGCTGATCTGGTATGGAGCGTAGTGCGGTGGAGGAATGAAGTTTTTGGTTTCCTGGCGACGCTTAGCGTCATTCTTCTGCCAGACTGTAGTAGGATTAGGTAGTATTGCGCCTGGTGGAGCAGGGTTGGCAATGCGGCCCTTGTAGCCAGAGAGGATGCTGTTTACTGAGGAGACGGTTCCTGGACGAACACCGAGCACATCTGGGGCAGCAAAGTAATCAGGGTTGGTGAGGCGAGGGTCCTTGTTGGTGGAAGCTGCAAAGTCCGACTTGTCTGTGGGTATAGCATTCGACATATTGGGTTGACGTGAAGTGGAAGAAGGGCCAGACTCGTGCTTGACGAGGCTTGCATTCTTAGACGAGGCGATTGACTTGGGCGGCAAAGCGAGACCGATAGGCTTCTTGACCGGCTGTACAGCGTGATTGTTGGCGTAGGAGAAGTGCTTTGGGGCTTGGCGCAAGTTGTGCAAGATCTTGTTGCACTCGCGCTGCGTTCGATTGGCTTCTTTCTGCTTGACTGCCAGCAACTTTGCTCTAGCAGCTTCGACATCAGGATCATCATCGTCGAAGAGGCCAGCGTCGAGGGCGACATCCACGTCATTTTCGTAGCCGACTTGCCGCATCAACTCCATTCGGCTACTCTCCTCGGCGGCGAGGTCATTTTCGATGATGTCGTCGGCGACGCCTTGAAAATCCTCATGGTCCAAGTCGACACCATATTGCTGAGTCTGCGTTGGTGCTTTCTTGAGAAGCGCAATTTTGCGATGCTTAGGCTGATTGGTGCCGGCCCTCGAGTCTTGGCGTTCAGCCTTGCGCTTGAGAGTGCTCTGCTCGGAGCGCTTGGAGCCGAAGTCGATAGGTCCGGAGAGAGGAGGCATAGTGAGTGAGTGGAGTCGGCGTCGGCGTCGGCGGCCTCCACTGTGTTCAGAAATCGTATTCGTGGTATCTGTCACGGGAATTTGTGTTCAGGTTCTGGTATGCTGAGCAGGTGTTTGGAGATGTCTCAGTTTGTATATGCAGAATAGCGGTCGTGTTGTCTCGAGGTTGTTGATGTCGAAGCTGAAAGAAAAGGAGAGTCTTCTGGCAGAAGTCGCGTTCAAGATGTAGTTTCGAGCGGTCGGGAAAATGAATTGACGCCACAGTCATAGAATAAGTACTAACTCTCGCCAGTGCATAGCGCAGTTGGCGCAACAATAGCAGGCAATACGGCGAACAATAGAGCGGTTGTCCGATCATATTGAATCCGTGAATGAGGAACTGTAACAATAGAGCGATTGATCGAGAATGGCAGCTATTGTTATCGCGATGTAGAGGGAGATCGAGGTGAAACAGTAGCAGAGGCTAGCAAGTTCAATATTCGCTTCCAGGTGCATGCTTATAACGAGCAACTGGGTACCGGAATGTGTCCAAATGGTCTGTATCAACCATTCGAGCTGAGGAACATGTACTCAAATGGGATGAAACGAGGCCGATGGTCCCGCAGAGTGAGCGAGCACGAGCAGCACCGAGCGGGAACATCGGCCGCCACATTCTCTTGTCGAGTTTTGTGCACCTTCGCCGCAGTCCTGAGGAGCCTCAAGCATACTGAGACCGCCTGAACAGTAAGGCATATGGCCTGATCATCTGGAAGAACGTCGTGAAGGCTAAGAATTGATTGATCAGTCACGTGACATATCGAGGCTACAAGGCTACTTACATATGCCTTCACGATCGTTATTCGAGATGTCATATCGATGTCAAGCCTGTGCAATTCCAGAGACACCTTTCTACGCCATCGGCCATGTGTCCCGTGGTCCGGCCTAAACCTGCTCTCCCCACGTCTTCTGCGGCTGGGTCTCGTTGTGATATCGGATGCTTTTTCATGCTCATTGATCGCCAAAGGCTTTTTGCTCCATACCCATTGAATCATCTCATTTCTTCTCCTCTGTTGCAGCTTTTTTACCCTTCTTTTTACTCTTGGCCTTCTTCCTATCTCTCTTCTTCAGGCTCTGCATGCCAGCCTTGCATACCTCAGCATATCTGGTGAAGAATATGTCGAGATCGTCGGGCTGCACTATGGTCGAGAGCTTGACTTTGTTCTTGTTCTTGATGCGCTCTTCCGATCGCGACTTGCCATCAGTCGCCCGGATGATGATTGGCAGTGGGTTCGGAGGATTCAGGTCCCATAGCGGGTCATCTGCGACTTTCTGGCCTAGTGGTGGACTTGACACCGATGTGTTGAATGTTACTGGCCATGTCAGAATTCATTTTTGCAGGTTTATGACTCCACCTCCATACATCTCTTCTGTGTCAGGAAGACTGAGCCGTGGCCTTTCTGTTGTGTCTTCTCGATGAGCGATGTGAGTTGGACGAAGAACTGTTTCAAATTAGATATGGGCATACAAATGCTAACTCCTATCAGCCTCACTTCGTCATTGCTTAGGTGTTCCTTAGGCATTTTGGCGATATACGTGAAATCGTCAGAACGTGGTGTCGTCGTGGTGTGTCGTTGGAATTGAGTGCGGTTCCGTCCCCCGCATGTGACGCCGATCGCCGAAATCTCCACTAAAATTTCATTAATCGTGATTTCTTCGTACTCTTTTCGCGGCAACAACATCGACATGCCACGATGAGCCGATTTCCAGGCCCAAAGCTGCCGAAACAGCTGCTGGAACAAGTTACAGACGGCCGAATAGGGAAGCGAAACCACCAGCAAGCCAGGAAAGACAGGCGGAAACAAGAACGTACACAGAAGAAGCTGGCGCGAGCGGAGCCTAGAGATCGCAATGCTACGAGGACGCGCGAGTATCAGGTGACTCCGGCGGTGAAAGCGCCTCCGCGAGTACTGGAACCGAAAGTGGTGCCGCAGAAGCCTGTTCGGAAACAAAAGGAGCAATCTCCAGCACGGGAACAAACCCCAGAATCCGAGGAGAGTGAGGGGGAGGAGGAAGTTTCCGAAGACAGCGATGACGAGGACAACGATTATGCTCGAGCTCCGGTGGTATCCAAAGCCGTAAAGGCAAAGTTGGATGAGGATGATGACGAGATCGCAAGGCTCGAGAAAAAGCTTGGCATCAAGAAGGGCAGGAAGAAGGTTGGTGACGACGAGCTAGATTGGCTAGTTGGTGGGGGCGGCTCCAGCGACGAGGATGGTGCTGCAACGCCAGGCAAGAAGAAGAGGGCGGCTCCAGAAGACGACGACTGGCTGAAGCAGAAACGACTGAAGGCCAGCCACTCGGCAACGCAGGTCCAGAAGGTTGACGCTGACACTGAACTCGCCTGCGACGAAGACGTCGAGGACAGCGCTTCCGAGTTGCTACCCAATCCGTTTTCTGACGATGAGATTTCGGAAGGCGACTTTGAGGGCTTCGAGGAAGATGATGAGGATGAGGATGGTGACGAGGAGGCAGAGGCAGAGGCACAGGTGCCCGTAACAAAAAAACGTGAAAACCCATACGTCGCGCCAGTCGCACCTTCCGCAGCCAAATACGTACCTCCTTCGCTCCGGAAAGGGACGACTTCAGATGAAGAAACGCTCAAAAAGCTGCGTCGCCAAATGCAGGGAAACCTGAATCGCCTTTCAGAAACAAACATCATTTCCATTCTCGCGAGCATTCAAGAGATATACGCAAAAAACGCTCGGCAGCATTGTACTACAGTTCTTGTGGAGTTGTTCCGAGAGCGGGTGGCCGATCCCTCAGATCCAGGCGATAATGCCCTGATCTTGTTCGCTGGCTTCGCAACAGCTCTTTACCGGGTTATCGGCACTGACTTCGCTGCGCAGCTGCTGGAGAGCCTCGTTCACGAATTTGACAGGAGTCAACGAGAGGCTGCGGAGGGCAAACAGATGATGAATATTTTGTCCTTCCTCAGTAATCTATATGTTTTACAGACGATTGGCTGCGAGATCGTCTTCGAGTATGTCAAGCTCCTGCTTGGCGATTTCACTGAGGCAAACACTGTGCTGTTGCTCAGAATCGTGAGAATAGCTGGCCAGCAGTTAAGACAAGATGACCCCTCGGCGCTGAAAGACATAGTCCTGCTCTTGAACCGGAATGTGACTGCTGCTGGCGGCGTTGAGAAGTTGAGTCAAAGGACCAGAGTCATGATCGACTTCATTCATGATCTCAAGAATAACCGGGTTAAAGCGAATCGAGGACCGGATGCCACTGCTCAAGACCACATGCAACGTATGAAGAAGACGCTCAGCACAATCAAAAACGCGAAAACGAGCGAGCCACTGCGCATTGGCTTAGCAGATATTCGAGATGCCGAGAAGAAAGGCAAGTGGTGGCTGGTAGGTGCGAGCTGGAAAGACCCTGCAAAGATGGCAAATGGCGGCAACGCTTCCACGAAGCAGGCGGGCACTGAGCCCTCGAATTCGATCGCTGACGGTCCACACGAGAGCGACGATCCAGAAGCAGGTGTTGACTTGAACGCCCTTGCCAAGGCTCAAGGCATGAACACTGATGTACGAAAAGCCATATTTGTGTCGGTCGCAGGCGCGGTCGACCCACAGCATGCACAACTTCGACTCCTGAAACTCAACCTGAAGAATAAGCAAATGCTCGAAATACCTCGGGTTATCATACACTGCGTTGGTGCAGAACCTGTGTACAACCATTTCTACACTCTGGTTGGGCTCAAATTCTGCTCAGACCGCCGCATGAAGAAAGCTTGGCAATTTGCCCTCCTCGATGTGCTTCGACGATGCGGCGAAGACTCTGCTGTTGAGGAGGACGACGATCGGCCTGCAGATGAGCTAAGTGTGAGACAAGTCTACAACATTGCAAAGCTGTACGCCACTCTGATCTCGGAGGGTCTTCTGCGCATCTCAATTCTCAAGCCAATGCGTTTCGCAACACTTCAGCCGAAGAGTCAAATCTTCGCAGAAGTCCTGATCACGACTTTGTTCGTCCTTTTGCGGAAAAGGGCCGGTAAAGAGAAGTTCGGTAGCTCAGTGGAACAAGCATTTGGTGATGCGCATTATGTGCAGGGGTTGGTCAAAGGCTTGGCCTATTTTGTCGAAACAGTGATGCCAGGATCGGAGGTACCTACCAAGAAGGAAAAGAAGGTCGTTGACGCAGGATGCGAGTACGCCAGCTCCGCGCTCCACGATGAGACCAAGCAGTCGAAAGCGATGTCCGGTGCAGATGGTGACGATAGTGATGTGGAAGGAAGCATTGAGGTAGATTGGGACTGATAGGTAGAGTCAGCAAATACCACGCTTTCCCTCACAGTCGCACGCGCGACATGGCCATTCGAATATGGAACGAGAAACTGTTTGAGCCGACACTGTGGATAAAAGTCATGTCACGAGACCTGTCGTCGGGATACCTTGCAATGCCAAGCGGCGTGGCGGACCAAAGCAACCACCAAGCAGCAGTGGAGCAGAGAGGTCGGCAGACCCTGCTTTGTACAGCAACGAGAGGTAAAAGAGTCCCAACCGCTGGATCGATCGCACCTACTCTCAGAGACATGACTTCAGCCGCCCTTCCGAGGATGAGAGGGAAGTGTCCTGAAATCGAGAATACCATTGCCCTGCATACCATGAAGTGATCAAGCACGCATGAGAAAAGCTTACGAATGCTTTGAAAAGGTTCCATTTCCAAGACTGCCTCAAAAGCGTCAAGAATGTTCTTGATCGGAAGCGAATTTCTCAATACGGCGCCGCCAGAACCACGAGTCTTGCACCTACGACGTGAGGGAGTTCGCAATTGCCAAAGAGACAGATCGCTCTGGATGCTGCTCTCTTATACAACGCCGCCCCCTGGGAGTCAAAGTTCATCGCTGCCCAGATTCTCAACCACCACAACTTTCTTCCCTCAGCCTAGAAATCCATTTTGGTACCGTACTGAAATTTTTGATGCCCACAGAGCCGATCCCTTGCTTGAGAGACTCATTCTTCAGAGGTAGTAAGTTTTCTTGTATGCAGAGTCGCGGGACTCCGCAAGCTCGCACAAGACCGCGAAGTAAGAATGCTGAAAGCCGTCTCTCTCATAATGGTCGAACTCGAGGAAAGGGCTGATGCCGCCCAAGATTGCGAATCTCTCGCCCTTGCAATCCATCCAACGAAAAGGCGATTGTAGCGCTGCAAGGATGTCTTCGAGTGGATCACCGTCGTGTTGCTTCTCCACCACCATCCTATCAACGTGTTTCTTCGCCGCAGCCAACTTCAGCTCGTGCTCAACAACGTCAATCTTGACGTCCTCAGAGTCACGAAGAAGATCTCCTTCGACGGCATTGAGTGTCCATGTGCTTGTGCCTTGCTCGTTGCTGCGTTTCGTGTACCGGAATCTTCCATACCAGCAGTCGTGTCCACCAACAGACTCATAGTCGTTGCGATATGCCATGCCTTTCTTCTTCCAGAAGGGGTCATCAGGTTCGGGATAGTCCTCCTGGGTGATGAATGGCGTTACAAAAGTGACTGCTGCAAACCCTCCTAGAACGGCAGCATCGAGTCGTCGGATTGGATATCTGAAGAATTCCGGGCTGACAATCAGAGGTGCGTTATTGCCGACCTTCTTCATGTCAACCAGAAGAGCAGTCGCTTGTGTTTTCTTGGCGTTCGTGATCTCCTCGCTCAGCTCGTCTCGGATTTGCTTACAGACCAGCTTGACGTTCGCAAGCTACTGCCAAGAAGCTGTAGCGACAGCTTGAAGGTAAACGCCGCGCTTCATCACTTCAGACGTCTCGGGCTTCAACAAGCGGTAGTGTTGGACTTTGACTTCGAGTACAGCAGGGATGAGGTAACTGTAGATCCTGTTCCGAAGCTCTCGTGGCAGCTGCGACATCAATATTTCCTTTGGAGACGTATCAGGGGACAGCGAGGCATCGGTGCCGTTCATGTTGGGCAGACTTGCCATAGTGGACTCGAGGGCGTATTACTTGGTTGACGGACAGTACGGCTGGCGCGGCGTTGCGTGTATCATCTGGGGGCTCGTTGAATTTCGAATACAGCATGTGGCGGACGGAATGTCGATCGATACTTCAATGCGAAGGTGTGGATGTAGATGAAGTTCTGCGCTGAGCGGCGCGGCGCGCAATCGAAAGCTGTTCCGAAGTTCTTGAGCACGAGCCACATAGAGGCCTCTGCGTTCAGTCACATGCTGGCAGCCGTGCTTTCACATGCATCGATGCTTGATCACATATGCAGGCTTCGATCAAAAGCTCAAAAAGCCAAGCATACCGCAGCCTCTTCTGTACTTTGGCGCTCTCATCCATGACTGACCCGACGCCCTCCCCTCCTCTTCGTCTGCATCTCGCAGCGGTATAGTAGCCGTCCTGTCGATAAGAATGTCATGCTTGATTTCGTCCTCAACGTGCACAATTGCTCCCACAATCAAGACCAAAAGCACGAATAGCTGTGGTATGACCTCCAAAACAACTCGAAATACGATCTTGCCATAGATTGGATTGAAGTCCAGGCTTGAAGAGAAGCTGCTGAAGAGCTCGCAGACATAGCGGACCGCCAAAGCCGGGAGAGATATTATGACAGCCCAGATCAGGGCCTTGCTGCTGTCACGCATGTACAGGAACGGCAGCCAGACAGTGATACCACAGAGGACCAGGAACATGGCGAATAGGACGATCGCACCGATACGTAGCAGTGTTGGAGCGTACGCAGGTGGGCTGTTTTGCGCGGCCAGAGACGCTCCTGCTGCAATCAAGGCGACGGCAATAGTGGCTCCCACGTGGAAGACGATGCCGACGACTTGCGTCCTCTTGCTGAGGCCCGACTGAGAGCTTCGGAAGAATCTTATCGTAGCGAACCACTGATGCAGAATACCAGCAGTACCGATAAGGAGTGGTGAAAGGCCGACAGAGGCCAGGAGCGGTCCGATGTAGCTATACTCGCCATCCGGTCCAGCAGCAGCAACGATGGCGTTGCCGGCTATTTGCAGTCCCGTGTACAGACCGAGGCAGATCCAGGCTCGCAAGGCAGATCGACCTTGGGTGTAGAAGATGTACGCAATGGGTAGAAGTGCAAGCGCGTAGTATGCCAACTCCAACTCCGCGCAGGCCAGCTGCCAGTCGCTGTGAGTCCTCGGGAGCGACATTATCGATCGAGGAAGGTGGTTGTAGGGAGTCATCAGATCGATGAGGATGCCAGAATTACCATATACTTACTGTACAGAATTTTGACTTCCGTCTTCATGCTTGAAGGATGCAGATGTAGTCTCAGGTGCACAGACCGCCTTAGCACGCTATTCCCCTTCGGGGGCGATGCCGTAGGCAGTCTGAGGAAGCATCTAGGGGTTCTAGTGGATAGATCTTAGCTATATAATGAATATTATTAAAACAGCTGAAAATGGGTGTTTCTAGGAAGTCTGGCGTTATCTGATAGAGTGTCTAGTAAGTAGAATAGCGGAAAAGTGCCTCTCTATAGTAGAAATTAATACTAAAGGCATAAGGGGGTGCTAGGGCATCTAGTGATTAAATTTGAGTAGAGAGTAGCATATTTCCAAGAAAACAACGCTTTTTAGAAGCCTAGAGGGCTCTTAGATAGATTAGAAGTATGCAGTCTAAGCTAGAAAGTTAAGAAATCAAATACTAGAAGCATGCACTCTAAGCTAGAAAACTAAGAAATCAAACATTATAAACTCTAGAACAGCAAACCTAGAAGCCCTAGATGTATGCAGAAACCCCTAACCTTGCTAGACGCTAATTAGTCGCTCTTAGTGCTGCCGTATATCGCTATTATATCGCTAGAACTGTTACGCTAATAGTCTAGCTTATTAGCATCTTCTCTAGACTAATCTAGCTTACACTACTTAATAAGGGCTAAGCAGTCCTAAGAAGCTTTATTAAAAGCATACTTAAGGCGTCTAAGGACTCTAGAGCTACTATTGTCTAAATTAATAGCTATAGGAACTATTATTATTAAAGTGCGCTCCTTCTAGTAGTTAACTAAGGAGTCTAGTAGGTTAATAAAACCTATCTCCCTCGGATAGAGAGCAGGTACTAGATCTACTAGGCTCGCTAGACGCGGCAGATCGCGCACGCGATTAAGGTTAGCAGAGGAGACAGTATCTAATATACTAGATATATTAAAGGGCGCGACTAGCGCCCTTACAGACCTCCCCTCCTGCTTAGTCTTAGAGTTATGCTTGCGGCTGCTTAGAGCCGTATATTTAACCTTCGAGGCGCCGAAGACGGTAGAATTAGAGCATCTAGTAATACTACCTAGGTTTACGCAGTTTAGATAGCCGCGCTTCTAGACAAAGTCTATCTCCTCCTTATCGTCGCTAGGCTCCTTAGCTATCCGGATATAAGGGCACTCGATAAAGAGATTATTCTTCGGCTCTATCTTAGTGCCGTAGGCTATATAGCGGGCTTTAGGCGTTGTCTAGTCTTGTAAGCAGAGATCGCCCGTAGGATCTGCCGTAGGCACATAGTAGCCCTAGTAGTAGTACATTACTAGACAAGCTAGACGGTAGACTAAGGTATAGGTCTTAAAGGCAGTACCCTACCTAGAGACGAAGATTCTAGTATATATAGTAGAGCGAGGCTTGATCTTGTAGTTTTTATCTAATATCTAACAGACGTTAGCGATCGTTAGATTTAGCTTTAGGCCGTTCGGACTATTCTTCGGAAGTGTAGCATTTAGCGCCTTAACGGCCTAAATGCTAACCTAGCGGGTTCGACAGCCCTACTAGGCTCTAATCTAGCGCTTACAGAACTCGTAGTGCTCGTCCTTATCGTTAAAGCTAACGGTCGCCTTACTAAACTAGTCGTTCTAGATAGTGTCGAAGAGCCGCCGCTAGTTCTTATCTTTTATCCTACCGCTATAGTCTAGATTAGGTAGATAGGCTAGCTTAACTAGAGGGACGTATAGGGCAGCTAGAGCAGCTAAAGAAGAGGAAGCCTTCGGAGGCATAGTAACAACTTGCTAGTAATAGATTAGCTTATCTCTAAAAAAGTTAAAGTAGACTAGGCCGTTAGATAGCCCTTTAGGTAGCTTAAACTTACGAATAGAAGTAGAGATACTTTAAAAACTTAAAGTCTTAAAGAAGTGTTAGGTACTAGCGCGACTAGAGCGCTGCTAAAGCTTCTAAAGTGGCTATAACAGTATAGAGGCTAGAGGGACAGTCTAAAAAGGTATCTAAGAAGGCTAATAGTAACTAACTATGCTAAAGGTTAGTTAGTAGTAGTAGAAAGAAGAGAGGGTTAATAATCGAATTTGAGGTTCCTTAAGAACACTAGAAGTGTACCTAACCGCCTAACCGGTAAGGGCAGCTGCTAGGTAGCGGCGGCGGCGTAAAGGGGTAGTATAACGTATCTAGGTAAGCTTCGCGCTATTAGATAGGTTAGGCGGCGGTGCACGTACGCGCCTAATTAAAACCGGTAAGGGGACAAGTAAAGGAGCTAGCGGAAGGCGCTAGTAACGATCTGAAGGCAATCTAAGCTTACGGAGAGCGCTAGCGGCGATAAGATAATGCCTAGATTTGCTAGACAATAGCAGGGTATTCGCCCCGAGAGGAGCAGGTTATTAGGGAATAATTATTAAAAGTCTAGAGCTTTAGATAAATAACTAAAAGCTCCCCGTTAAACCCGGTTCTTCTAAGGACTCTCCTTCTAGTTTACGTAGTTCTAGCTCTTTATCTCGATCGAGATCGCTTCTATCGTTTGCTAGGCCTATTAGACCGGGTATAAGATCAGTCTCTATAAAGCGCTCTAGACTAGGGTTATCTAGAGGATCTAGGAGGGCACCTTCGATATTATAAAGTGCCTAATCGGGCCTAACAAGTCTTTCCCGCTGCTAGACGACGTTCTCGTTAAATCTATCTAATCTAGATACGCTATTAACCTCCTTTATAAGATTCGTAACGCTAGTTGTAATCAAATCTATAGCGTAGAAAGGAAATTCCTAATATTCTAGAACCTAGAGCCTAGTCTAGAGCGTCTCCTAATGCAGGATATTTGCTAGATCGTAGATTTCTTCTATCGCCTTTCGTAAGGCGTGTTTCGTATCCGTTCTCTTACTAAACCCAGCCTCTATCTAGTTACGCAGATAGCTAGTAAAATTGGCTAGAAGGGCACATTCTTCTAGATTCTGCTCGATGCTAAATGCTCTATTTCGCCTAGAATTTAGCAGATTCTTTAGAAACAAGTTCAGCTGTTCGTTAGCTCGATTAATCTTAAACTAGCTGTCTTCTCTCCCTACAAAATTGACTAACCTATTAGCTAGGATTGCCCTCTAAAGCTGCTAATCTGCTGCTAGACCGTCTAATAACTACTTTATTTATAGCATAATAAAAGCGTAGTTTTTGTGTGATCTAGCGTAGAAGATAAGGATACAGCGGTCGATAACCCGCCTAAGAAGGCCAATATTAGCGTACTTAATAGCATAGCACAGTAGTTAATATATCTTAGCAACCTAGATAAACCTAATGTTCGTCTAGCGCTCCTTATTACCTCGTAGATCCGGGCGCTATATAGGCTTCCTCTTCTTCTTCTTCTCTAGCTTGTCGGACGTATATCTAATAGGCTGCTAGCAGTACTTCGCTTTAGCTAGGTCTTCTACGGGATCGGTCGTCTAGGAGGTCTAGGCGGCCTTAGAAAACGCTAGTTTATATATCTTATCGACTAGGCGAAGGAAGGATTCTACGTTATATTGGCCTAGAAGCTTACTAACTTCCTCTCTAGAGGCATTCTAGACACCTAGGATCTTATATAGGAATGCTAGTATTCGAGCCGTAAAGCTATCTATTGCTAGACGCTCTAGATGGCTATATAGTAGCTAAAATAAAGGGCAGATCTTCCTTTCTATTAATTTGCGGTATATAGAAAGTATAGACTTGCTCTCCGTACTATCTAGTCTATTAAAGTTATTACAGATAGCCTATATTAGACACATTTTCAGATAGAATAGTCCTAGTATTAGTAGTAGCTATATTAACTTATCGAATTCGTCGTCGTTCTGTATAGCGTCTTTCCGGAAAACTCGTACGTTCTAAATAGATTTCTAATCGCTATAAACTAATCTAACGTATCTAGATTAGTTGTATAGTAGAATATTATATCCTTTATTAAGCGAGCGGTAGTAAAGAATTTCAGCACTCTTAGCCGCTTTAGTCTACCTAGTACGTATGTCTATAGCTCCTCTACTATTCCTAGCTAGAATTTCTGTATAGCCTCCGGCTTCCTTAGCTTCTCTAGCTTGCCTAGCCTACCTTTCCTCTAGTGCTCTACTATACCTAGCCTTCGAAGCTTTAGATCCTCTAGCCTACCTAGCCTTAGGTCTCTAAGCTCCTCCCTCCCTAATAGCTTAACTTTCGGCTACTCGGCTACTCCTAGCTCTAGGCGGTATAGATACTTTAGCTGCTATAGCTCTTACTCGCTCTTTTTTTTTAACTTGCTTAGTTATACTCTTTAGATGTAGCTAGCTTTCTAGAATATGCTCTAGAACCCTATATGTTCCGTTATGCGATCCCTCGTTTTTAAATATTAGCTATAAAGACGTATAAATAGACTTCTAGGGCTTTAGTCGATCGATAGCGGGCATCTAGGGGAATTCCGGTACTTTAGACTAATCTAGATCCTCGTTATAAAGCTTATATATCCTCGCAACCGCTTCCTAGTAGACTCTAGCAATGCTAGAGGCAATAAAGTGCTTCGAGATCTTTATAGCAGTATCGTCGTATTTGTTTCTATCTATACCGAGAATATAGTATAGCTAGAGCTTCTAGTCCTCGTATAGTATATCTATAGATAAGCTAGATCGCGGCATTTTAATAGATTTGAATAGTTTTCTAGTCGTAAAGTGCATTAGATTGTCTTTCTAACTATATCTATACTCTCTAGATCGCATATAAGCGTCGTAGTTGTTAAACACGATATAATAGCTCGGGTCCTAGCTAAACTAGGTAATCTAGCGCTTTGCGAGATTATGCAGCTTCTTATTTATAGTATAAATCGTCTATAGAAGTGCGCAGATCCCTAGACCTGCTAGTGTGCTTAAGATACGACGTTTCGTACCCTGCGACTAGAGATATATACTAATCTAGTACGGCATTGCATTCGCAGATCGCGTACTAACGTGTCTAGCGAGCGTAGACGTAAGTATAACTATCTTCCTATTAATTATCCGCGCCGATGCTATCTAACGTGCCTAGAGGATTCTACGGAAGAATCTGTTTATCTAGGGCGTATAGCACTCTATAGCCTTCTATATATACCGATAGTTTAGATCTTTAGATAGCGTATCGCAGTTCTAGTAGCTAAATTCCTACTAGTAGTGTTAAACGGCGTCTATAATCGTCTAAGTAGGTACTAGCTCGCCTACCTTCGTTTAGTTACTTAGCAACCGCATTTCTTTCCTTAGAGTGCTCTAATAGAGCTAGGTTCTATCTGAAATCTACGCCGCTACTCGTTTTACTACTTCTAGGTCCTATAGAATATTCGCTAACTTCCTCGCTCTTATAGACGCTATCTCCGCTTACTAGGAGAGATCCGGGGTCTTTTCTATATAGATATACTATTTAATAAAGTCTAATATTAACAGATTTATCCGAGAAGCCTGCCTAACGACCTCGTCTACCTTCTAGCGAAGCGATCGACTAACGATCTCTCTATTTTTCCTAGTTTTGCTAGCATATCGATAGACCTGTGTCTAGCCTAGTCTAGCGGCGTTTGCGGTCGATTTAATAAACTTCGCGATATAGAGAGTAGGCGGCTGTATCTTTGTGCTCTAGCGGCGTCTAGATTGCTCTAGAACTAGCGTCTAGGACATATTTGCTAGTATATAGCATATCGCGATGTTGTTAGGGGGCGCGTCTAATATTGCTAGGTTACTAAGACGCTAGTCTTAGCAAACAACAACATTACTAGACAACTTAAACTATTAAAACAAACAACATTATTATTAGTAAAGCGCTTAGACTACGCAGATAGTATTAGGAAAGCATTCTACGCGTAGGAAGTAAGGAAAACACGTCTGCTAAGCTATCCGGTATGTTAGAAAATACGCTAGTAAGCGACGCGACTCTAGACGATCTACGAACATGCCTAGACTACTTATCTACTACTAGATCCGATCTAATATCGAAGAGACGCCTAATTTCCCTTTCTCCTCCTTCCGCTTAGACTTACTATCTATATAGCTTCTTCTAGCTCGACTAGCGGGTTTCTAGGCGACTTTTAAGCTACTAGAGATAATGCTTTCCGCTTCCTTCCTCTCTAAGCATTTAGCGCTATATCTGTAAGTGCTAGCCGCGGCACTAGTAGTCTAACTTTATACTAAGACTTCGGAGATCTAGCTAGCGATTAAACTAGTATTAACAAAGGCGTAGTTAGGTCTAAATAGAATAATAGCTCGCTTCCTCGCAATTAGGGGCTTTGTTTAGATACTACCTAGCGCGATACAGATATTCTAGCTGCGGCTAGCAACTTATCTGCCTTATCTCTCTCCGCCCGCTTTGTAGCTCGCTCTACCTCTCTCTTAGCTTCTCTAGCGGCTCTAATTCTTTTAGCTTCTTCTTCCTACTGCCTTCGAAAGCTAATTGTAAGGCGTCTAGCAATCCCTAGGCTCTATAGCAGCTTACGTAATGTTGCCTAAGTAGTCTAGAACTGTCGCCTCTATAATAGCTTTCTTAACTGCTCTATCGAACCTAGAATAGCTAGGGAAGAATCTGTACTATACTCTTATATAAGCTAACCTAGGATTCTATATAGAACGACCGAGCCTAGAATAGCTAGGAAGACTGAATCCTTCTAGACGGTTCTAGCCTATTTAGACTCCTAGCTAATTAGCTTAGTTTTAATGTCCTTCTTTAACGGCGTAAAATCGGGATAAATACCTAGTACGCTAGCCTACTACTAGATATAGAGCCCTACTAGCATTCGATCTAGGGAGCAGATATTACAGTATACTTAGACTAACTAATCTAGCTCCTAGTTAAACATCTAAAGGGTAATCTTACGCCGGCAGTCCCTAGGCTTAGTATTAATAAAGCGTCGAAGAGTACGCTCTAGCGTAGCTCGCTTATCTAACCGTAACTTCGGGCGCTTGTTAGCTGTTTTAGACAGCTTAGCTTACGTCGAGGGCTTATCCTACGAGATCTCCTATATACGTGCTAGGCTAGGTCGATTAGATAGCCTCGCCTAGGTTTTAGACTCGCTCTAGCCTAAAGTCTAATCTTCGATTAGTAGAGTAAACACTCCTTTACTATAACAGTTAGATGCTCTAACTATACGCCTAGCTCGCTAGAATATCGTTCTTATACTGCTATTCCGAGGCAATCGATACTATACAATTCGCTTAATATCTAGAATATCTACCCTAAGCTCTAGAGCTTTAGTAGCGAATAGAATGCGAATCTAGGAGTCTAGCTACTAGAATTCCCGTATAATATTCGCCTAAGTTCGCCTAGCTGTTCTGCTATAGTAGACACGACAAATCTAATAGAGCTATCGAGTACTGAACTTGCCTAGCTATCTATGTTAGATAAACTAGCGTATCTAATTAGTAGCAGCGCCTAGACTAGGCCGGCTATTAATGAAAACGACGGTCTTCTGCAACTGCTAGGGCACTACTAGACTATCCTAAGACACAATTCCCTTAGTTAACTAATTTAGTGTACTATAATTTACTAAACTGCTATTAGGGATTATATAGACTCTTATTAGAATCTCTAGACGATTAATCGAATGCTGTAGTATATAGGTCCCTTTAGCAACTCGAAATCTAGCTCCCTCTCTAGCGTATCTAAGCGTTATCGGGTCTAGTGTCGCTAAGTAGCTAAACATCTTTACTAAGCTTCCTACTAGACTCCTTAGCTGCTTTAATTAAGCATATTCCTTCCGAAATGTACTACCCTCTACGCCCTATTGCTATATAAGATAAAATTCATCTATAGCTATTAGACCTAGCGTCTAGCGAAATCTAGCCTTGCTCTAAAGCTTCCTAAACTAGTTCTAGAGCGCTATTTCCGGACTAAGTATAATATAAGTAAATTTCCCTATATAGAGGTCCTTCTAGTCTCGTCTAGAGAGCGTAGCTTTAGTATCTAATATAAATAAGAGTAGATTTCTACTAAGTCGCTAGATGCGTTTAGATTGCTCTAGACTAATCTAGTTTAATAGTAAAATAATAATTACTGTCCTCTGCATTATTAACGGCTACGCCTAGAACGCTAGACTCTTTCTAGCTAAGGTCTTCGCAATCCAGACGGTGTTAGTAACCTTATAGACAAGCTAATATAGCGCCTCTACCTGCTCTACTCTTAGTACGAATAGATATATCTAGCGATATACTAGCCTAATTAGACGCTCTTTACTCGATCCTGCTATTAGTTTCTACGCGATACCTTCGACTCTCTTTAACTAGATATGCTCCTAAAGCTCCTTCCGGGCCTTTAGAAAGGTCTAGCCTTTAGCTAGACGGAACAGCTAGTCTTATATATTAGCTAAGAACATTTCGATTCTAGCACTCTCTACTAAGGCCTAGTCGATCTAGTTATCGCTAATACTAAGGGCGGATTGAACCTTACGACGACAAACCTCCTTCTAAAAGATCTAATATACTAACTAATGCCTCTTAACCTCCGCTATATTGTTATCTATACGCGCTAAAGCGTCGCGCATTTAATCGTATAGGCGTCGTCTATATTCCTAGTCTTCTGTAGTATCTAGTCTACTAAAAAGTGTCTATAGCCCTATCTAGTTACTCTACCTACCGCCGTCGTCGAGAGACCGTACTAGCGTAGCTAGATCGCTATCTAATATATCGCTTAGTAGGTCCTCGTCGCCGGAATCGATTAAAATAGGACCTAATATCTCTCCTTCTAGATAGTGTTTGTCTAGCGGCTCTAACCCTTTTCCTCTGCTCTTCTAATATCCTATATCGTTCTTTAGCGTTACTAGATAAGCCTAATCGATCTACGCTAACTCTAGTATATATACTAACGTTACTAACTTATCTCGAAACGACGACTAACGCGTAATGCTAGCGCGTGCCCTCTGCTTCTAAAACGGTATCTAAAAAAACGGAAAACATTAGTTTATAGGCAATCTTAGCAGCTTTCGAATGTATCTAGTAGCGTCTAGATTAGTTTAGGTAGGTAGGCTGCTTATAGTTTAGAAGATTTATATATAAATCGACGCGTCGCGACTAGACGGCTTTTAGGTCTTCTAGATAACGCGCATTCGCGAAATTTATTAATATTTTATTAGAAGCTTGTAGTAAACATTAAATAGAACAGATTATATAAGATAATTTCTTTAGATAGTATATCGTCGTCGTCTAGCAGCTATCTAGCCGTTCCTAAAGCTAGATTGTATAATAGTGTAAAACGCGCCTAAAGCTAAGATATATCCACTAGAATCCCTAGATGCTTCCTTAGACCTCCTCCAGTAGGAGAGCCCGCGGAGCGCTTGATTGGCTCCCTACGCGAGGTGGTCTGAGCGTCCCCTGAGACTAATGCAGATGCTGTGTCGGCTTGCCGATCTCGAAATGCTCCGCCTCAATATGGAAGAATTCATTCACCGTTCACGCTTTCCCAGAACAGTTCTAGTAGGAACTGAAGAGGCAGCGTTCAGTCAGTGGAGCTGTCCATGTCATACAGCTCGTTTCAATACAGTAGAACTATGCCGACGTGTGTCCGCAACGCCGCTGCCGTAGAATAGGATCTTTTTGCTTTGGATTTTTGATTCCTCCATGAGGGGATAGTGAGTGGCTTTGACATTGATTCGCATTTTCCACGCGCCATGGAATCGTGAGGCCATTGAGTATGCACCAATGGGTGGTATTAAATAGCACATCAAATACTTTGGCAGAAGCATTCGGTGCCTGACGGAAGACTCAAGAGGAACTGTTGGTGAGCTGAGGCAACAAGGCATCACCGGAGCGGAAGCATCCGCAAGCCGATCTAAAGCTTGGCACTCACCCACGAAAGGCACGAATCTCTGCTCCAGAATGGACTTTGCGACTGCACGACTTCACGACAAGCAACGAACGTACTAACCACGCAGCAAAAATGGTTAAGTGTGGGTACTGATAGACGTATTTCCCCGTGCGACAATGCTAACAGTATTGTAGTCCTCAAGGTCGGCCGAGTGGTACGCGCGCACACATTTCTCCCATCGCCAATCCCGTACTAACAGCTCTTCAAGGCCATCATCTCTCGCGGTCGTTACGCCGGAAAGAAGGTCGTCATCATCCAGCCACAGGACAACGGCAGCAAGGCGCACCCATTCCCACACGCACTCGTCGCCGGTATCGAGCGCTACCCACAGCAAATCACCCGCCGCATGTCCAAGACGCGCCAGAACAAGCGCAGCAAGGTCAAGCCATTCATCAAGGTCATCAACTACAACCACTTGATGCCAACACGATACACTCTCGAGCTCGAGGGTCTCAAGGGCGTTGTCACCAACGAGACCTTCACTGAGGTCAGCCAGCGTGAGGAGGCCAAGAAGACGGTCAAGAAGGCTCTTGAGGAGCGCTACTCGAGCGGAAAGAACAGATGGTTCTTCACCCCTCTGCGTATGTTGAGATTCAGCCCCGAAAACTTTGACGGTGTGATGGAGAACTCATACTGACTTGCGTGATACAGGCTTCTAAACGCATCGCATGGCGTTGGGGAAGAACAGGATGTGCATTGAGCTCGCACTCTTTTCAGAGTAGCATTCGGCGTTTACGTGACTGTCAATCGCAGTCTACGGAGCACTGCAAATCACTATCAATTTGATAGCTGCAAAAGCTTTTCGCCTTCCAGTCTTCGTGACTGTTTCTATCTGCACATTCCTCGATTCTTTTCGATTCGCCAACTCCGCGTCCAAACCCGCCCTTCATACTGGCACCCAAGCCACGCCGACATTGGTGCCACTGCGTCGTAAGCTGCAGCCGACGGCGTCGCATCCCCACTTGTTCCATCCGTCCTTGGCAACTGCGTAGGAGAAGAGGTGAGTCTGTCGCCAGCACATGGTGATCGCTTGACAGCAGAACAACCACGCGGTGATGGTAAAACAAGCTGGAGTACGTGAATTCTACCTGTATGCTATTGGCGCATTGTGCGACTCCGCCGTGAAAAGTCTGCCAAGGTTCTGCTCGATTCAGTGCAGTGGCAAGCCAAATCCAATGCACCCTCGCACAAATATATTGCCGACGCATAACACAACGATGATGAATCCTCCTGAAAGGCCGCGTAATGAAGTGACATTTATAGGTACTTTATGTGGTGCGACATTTGCAAAGACTTTGACTTAGATAGCTGGTGTCTTTCCCAAACCCCATCGGCGTAAGTAGCATTACTCAACCAAACCATTCCGCGCACAAATGCGCTTCACGCATCTCATCCGGCTGCCAAGCCACCTCCTACTACTGATCGCAACTATATCACCTCGGACTTTCGCATCACCAACCACATCATCCTCAAACAGCACAACATCATGGTGTCTCTCCACAACAACCGGCACCGGCCCTCTCTACCTCTTCAACCCCGCTAAATCCTGTTCCGACCAAATCGTTACTTTCACCCCCGAAATCATGCAAGCGACAGATATATGCCGGGCCGGGTATCAAAAATATCATTTCAAGATGTGCGGAAAGAATGTCACTCTGAGCGTGAATGCTGGTCCGAAGAGCCTGGTCGGTGTGAAGCAGATGGGTTGCGGACTTGTTTTCGATGTTGAGGGGCAGAGCTTTCAGGGTTCGCCGACGAGTGAGACGGAGACTGATGGCAGGTGTTACAGTAAGAGTTGTGGGAATGAGAAGAAGGGGATTAGAGAAGTGTATGGGGTCTTTGAGTGGACGAATTTGCCGATTTGTGGGGATTGAGGGTGAGAAGGGAACGAGAGAGGGACAAATGATGGACTTGAAGCAAGCATGGCACGTTTGCATGGAAAGACTCAAATCGCTTGGAGTGGCCTCTGTCGCACGGCAAACGGTGTTCGCGAGTGCAATGATTCGATCCCAAGAGGCTCAGCCAAAACCAGTCATCCAACATCTTCCCGCCGACATAGCGCTAGCAATGTGTCAGGACCTCGATTTGGACAGCCCCAGAAATCTCCGCCTCTCAGGCAAAGCGCTTTGCATATGTGCGACAGAAGCTCTGTTCAGCCACATCGCCATTGTGTCATCGCCCGCTGAGTCAATAGTGCCGGCAATGAAGCTGTGGAAGAGAGCGAAGAGGAAATTGCTAGGCGAGAGGAAGAAGAGGGGCAACAGAAGGCTGCCCGGGAACAGAATGGGCTGCCTTTTGCAAGACTTGTCCAAGTGCATAAGCAAAGTCATGAAAAGCGAGCAGTCGATTACCGATATCGACTCCGCAATAAGTTGAAAGGCGGTCTTTGGACTGGCAGGTCCAGCTATGAAAGTATGCCTATGTCCACCGGAGACTTTGCTCCATGGAATAAGGATCGGAAAGAGGCCACTGTATGACCAAATGCGCCGCTCAGAAGTGTGTCTTGGGCTTGTCGAACGAGTGCAATGCATGAACGTGTCTTTCGCCGCGAGCATCCTCACTCACCAAATGTCTGTGCGCATGTCAACGCGCTAACACGGCAGGAGCCTAGCGCTGCCTATCTCAACCCAAACTTTTCAGTCGCTCCGGTGGCTTGGAAAACTTGGAGTGTGTGGTGGTGTCAGGGTTCATCACGTGCCTGATGCCTGAGGCTGTAACTGCCACACTTCATCTTTAGGCTTTCTGTAATTAGCCCTTCTTCTAAATACAATCATTAGTTATATTAAGTAGTTATAAGCCCCCTGCGTTTTTTTAACGCATATAATACGTATTCTAATAGTTACTCCGATAGCTACGTAGCTAGCGCTTATTACTAAAAATTGCGCTAATACTAATATTATCGCCGCTATCGTTACCGCCGCTCTCGAGTATTCTAGTAGGTACTAGCCCGACTCGAGTTAGTTACCTAACATTAGTATTAGCTGTCCGCTATACTAGAATATAGGCGCGCCTATTAGCGGCCTCTTAAAACAAGTCTATAGTCTCTTTCTATATTATCGCCGTCGCTATCTATAATAGCTCCCTCTATAACCTCTAGCGCTTATATAAGCAACATTCCTAAGCTAAAGAATAAGGAGAATTACCTATTATAGTCGTACGCCGCTAAAGGCGCCCTTAAAGGTATATCGGTCTAGCGCTATATATAAGGCACCCGCTAGCGACCCCTTTCTAAGGCCTCTAGTAAGTCTTCTAAGGAGTTTAAAGACCGCTAAAATAAATAGGACTCTAAAGATTAAACGGCACGTACCTAGATCTTTGCTAATTATATTAGTAACATTTAATAATTACTGCTTAGTCTATCTATATCCTAGGAAGTATAGGACTTCCTTAAGAAGAAATATACTAGTAAAGGTAGGTCTACTGAATTTATACTCTACTAGGAATATATTACCCTTCGCTACGATAGCAAGGACGTTAAGAAGTTCTATAATAAGTACAAGAAGAAGCTTAGTGCCTTAAAGGATACTAAGTTAGCTATTAGCTAGTATTAGGCTGTCTATATATTTATTATATAGATCTCTCTATTCTACGAGGCTTTTATATAGATGCGACGTAAGTAGATACGCGCCTCGGAATATACTATTAACGATAACACCCTTAACAACATTATTAGCGCGTTGCTTAATAAGAATGTAGCTTAACTAAACTAGGCCTAATATAATAGTTTCTTTAGTCTCTAGCGCTAACAACTATAAGGTAGCAATAGTAATAACAACAGTCGAGGTAACTCGAACCGTAGCGGTCGTAGTAGCCGCGGAAGCAATAACAATAGTCGTAGTCGTAGTAGAAACAGCTAGAATAGTTAGAATCGCGAGAAGTGCTCGCACTACTAAGGCACTTACCCTTCCGACCGCTGCTATACTAAATACTCTTATCTAAAGGAGGAAGACCGACTACGTCGTAAACAGTAGAAGGCTAAGAAGAAGGGGGTATAGTAATAGCAATAGTAGCAGCGTAGACTAACTGCTTAGCAGTAACAGCAGCCGTCTAGTTAGGGTAGCTAGAATAGTGCTTAGGGGCTATATACGGCTAATGCTACCCCGGGGGTATTATTAGACCTAAACTACAATTACGCCTTTACTGCAAACACTATAGTTACTGTTAGCGACTAGGTGTCTACGGCTCTTACTGCTAGTACTCGGACTACTAATTAGGTTGTCGACTTAGGTACTAGTATATATATAGTTAACGACCCCTCGCTACTTATTAAATATAAAGGCTGCTATATCCCTGTCCGGTTTAGAGGCAATACGAAGCACGCTACGATAGTTAGTATAGCTTAGATAGAGGTTGTTAATAAGCGTAGTATAAGCAATATAAAGTTGTCTAATATACTATATATACCTAGTCTAGTAGCTAACCTTCTATCTACTAAGAAGCTTGCCGATAAGGGTTGTTTCTACCGTAATAACAAGCGTGTGCTATTTACGATAGTAGAGGGCAATAAGGTCACTATCGCTTAGATATACCGTAAGAATAGTCTCCCCTACCTCTATATACTAACCTCTAGTCTAGATAGTAAAGTAGTTGCCCTTTTGTTAAAGAAGGGGGTGCCTATAGGTACTATAGATAAATAGCATTTGCGATATAGCTATATTCATTACCTTAAGCTACTAAGAATAGAATCTAAGGGTTAGATTGTTATTACTAGTACTAAGAAGGACTTCCGTAACTGCATTGCCTATTGTATAGCTATATTATATAAGGAATACAATCGGCTACCGCGCGTACGACTGTCTACGATCTATTACATTGTCTGTATAGATATAGTTACTATTACTAACCCTAGTCTGTTATAGGAACGCTACTTTACGCTATTTACATGCACTAAGTTAGGCTATCGTTACGAGTATGCTAGCTTACTCAAGTTAGGGGCTATAGTAGCTATTAAGGAACATCGTATATACGTCCGTATATAAACTAGCTATTCGATCCCGATCTACCGACTCGATAGAGAGAGTAAATACGGCGGAAATTAGTTGTTAAGTTAGGCTCGTAATTAGGGTATTATACTACAAGTTATAGCACCTTACTCTTCGACTTAGAATAGCCTTGCTAAGGTTAGCAATTACATCGTATATACGACTACGAGAAAGATAATACTATAGGCCAACCTTCCTAAGTTCCTATAGCTATATACTATTGCCTCCGCTATATAGGTCCTTAATATTATACTAACCGCTAACGGAGGAAGCCTATATACTATTGTCGCTAAGGAGCTTAATTAGTTACGAACATAGCCGCGTCTTTAGCACCTTCGAGCGTATAGCTATACGTTAATTGCCTACGATTACAGTATTGCTCGTAGAAAGAAGATAGACAGCAGAGGCCTAGTTAGCAAGCTAGTTGGCTATACTAAGGGCTCTATAGACTCCGGAAAATACATAATTTACCTGCCTAATTAGTACAAGGTTATCGCTTCTAAGGACGTCTAGTTTATTAAGTTAGGGGGTGACCTTAACCTCCTACTTCTAGATAGCATAAAGCTATATACTAACACTAACGACTTGTCTAAGAACGAGTTTGTTACCCTTAAGTCTATTATACCGGCTTTGTTTAATTCTATAAGTAACGAGGCTCCGTCGCCTACCGAGGCTACTAGTATAGTCTAGCGGCTTCTAGCTTAGTAGGAAGAACAGCCTATATAAGGACCTATATAGGAAATAGCTAATAAGGTCGCTAGTCTATTACCTATCGATAACGACCTTCTAGACGTTCAACTACTAGCTTTAAGTAATAAAGATAGCTTTTAGTTAGCTAAGGAAGAGCTAGCATATAATCTAAACGCTAAGAAAGGCGAGCCTAGCTAGCTGCCTAAATTTGAGCGACTAGATAACGTTAGTAGTCGTTCTATACGTAAGACACGAAGCAACAAGAGCGCTCGTAAGCTATTACGTAGCTATCTAGCCGATTATAGTATTAAGCGGTCGACTCGACGCATAATAGCTAGTATACTAATAGCCTATATTAAGGGTTTCATAGCTTCCTATTACGTTGCTAAACAGTCTAATAGAGACACTATTCCTATTCCGAAGAGCTATAAGGAGGCGACTTAGTTACTATATTAGCTATAGTAGAAGGAGGCCTATAAGGCTAAATACAAGTTACTAATCGACAACTATATATAGGTATACGTTTCTCGGCTAGAAGTGCCTAGAGGTCGTAAGGTAGTTCGTAGCCGATAGGTCTTTACTATTAAGCGAGACGCTAATAGCAAAGTAAGCCGGTTTAAGGCTCGTTAGGTCGTCCGTAGCTTTATATAGGTTAAAGGACAGGATTATAACGAGACCTATATAGCTATCGCTAAGCTGTATATACTTCGAGCCTTATTTAGCCTAATTACATACTATAACTTAGAAGCTAAGCAGTACGATATTCTAATAGCCTTCCTTAATGCCCTAATTAGCGACAAGTATAAGATCTACGTTAAGCAGCTATATAGCTTTAAGGACCGTAGTAGTAAGGGCATAGTCTGCCTGTTGCTAAAGGCACTATATAGTCTGAAACAGTTACTAATACTATAGTATAAAGAGCTTCGGAAGTACTTAAAGAGCCTAGACTTTGTACTAATAATAACTAACGTATATGTGTTTAAACACGTTCTTAGCGGCTCGATTATTATTATTTACGTCGACGATATAATTATTATCGCCTACAGCCTATTAGCACTAGAGGCCGTTGCTTAGTTACTAAAGGACCGTTTCTATATACGAGAACTAGGCGACCTGCACTACTATCTCGGTATACGGATTATCCGTAACCGCGGTTAGCGCACTATTTACGTCGTTTAAGATGCCTATTTAAATAGGCTTAGTAAGAAATATAGTATACGTAGCCGTATCGGTCTAGCTACTCTAATAGTACCTCGCTATATTAAGACGTCTATTTAACGCGCACCTAAGGGCTATATAGCTAGTACCGCCTTTAAGACCTAGTATTAAGAAGGTGTTAGCGAGGCGCTATAGCTAGCTATAATTACACGACCTAATGCTTGCTATACTGCGGGCCTATTGTCCCGATTTATCTCTAACCTAACTAAAGAATATTATACCGTACTCCTTTAGCTAATTAAGTACCTAGTTAGTACCCTTAGTCGTAGCATGCGTTTCTAAGGTATATAGAACGATAAGCTAAGCTTTGCTAGATACTGTAACGCCTCGTAGGCTAATAATCTAGTTACTCGACGTTCTACTAGCGGATTCTACTTTACTATTATAGGCGGACCTCTATTATATAAGTCCAGACGCTAGACGCTTGTTATACTGTCGTTAACTAAAGCTAAGTATATCTAACTTACTATAGGCGCTAAGGAGGCGATTGCCTTAGCTCGTTCCTTAAAGGAAATCGGCTATAAGGGCTACATTTTTCTAGTTACGCTCTACGAGGACAATTAGTCGGCTATTACTATTACTAAGTCGACTAGTATTAATAGCCGTACGAAGTATATAGATGCTCGTGTCTACTATATACGAGAGAAGATTGCTAATAGCTCTATTGTCGTTTAATAGGTTAGTATATACGATTAGATTGCTAATAGCTTTACTAAGCTACTTAATAAGATTAAGTATAGCCGCTTTATTAAATAACTAAACCTAGTGGATTACAAGGCTACTATTAAGAGCGCTGCAAAGCTAGCTGCTAAGTACTAAGGAGGGTCTTGTTTGCTCTTGTTTGCTTTGTTTAAATAGCCTAGTCTAGTTGTTCCTACTTACCTAGTACCCCTTGTTTGCTTTGCTAACTAAATAGCTATTGTGTTTCCTTCATTCTATAGCGATATATACGTACTAAGGGGGTGACTTGGAGTGTATAGTAGTGTTAGGGTTCATTACGTGCCTGATGCCTAAGGCTGTAACTGCCACACTTCATCTTTGGGCTTTCTGTAATTAGCCCTTCTTCTGAATACAATCATCAGTTACATCAAGTGGAAACTCATAAATAGCATCAACACTTGACACTCAGCCTCCTTTCGTCCTCAACAACATCACTGATCATGGTTCGTTCGACAGATGGCGATCCTACAGCCACAATCGAAGATGTTCCTCAGGAACTCATTGACCGATTCTGCATGTTTGCAGATGTAGCAACTCTGAAAGTATAAACCATTGCACTAAACCACTGTGCCGCATGATTCTAATTCACCACAGTCACTTCGCCTGACGAGCAAGAATCTCGAATCCGCCGCTACAAGGTCCTTGTTCGGCCATGTCGAAGTTCTTCCTACTGAAGACAGCTCAGAGAAGTGTCTGAAGCTCATGAAGAGCTCTCGGCTCAGCAGTCTGGTGAAGAATCTGGCATTTCGTACTGCGATCGATCCAGCTGGCGACAATGAAGACGGCGAGCACAACCACGGAGACTCAATGTACGCTGGTCTGATCGAAGGCGAGAATTACGAATACTTCTTGCCAAGTCCCTGCTACGATGTGCTATCAGGCCTTGCCGCCTTCCAGGAGCTTCAACATGTGGCTCTGACGTTTTCAGAGCATGTCCATGGTATAGCCTCTTTGAATTGAAGCGTATTTCGTCGCACTAATATCAACTAGGCGATTCCCTCGACTTCGCTTCCTCCGCTCGTGAAAGTATGGAATTTCGCGATCGAGTAATATCCCATCTCCTACGCTCATTCACCAACCCAAAAAATCTCACAAAGTTCCATCGCTTATCCCTCAAAAATCTCCAAGACGCTTTACACCCATCAATCAAAAAAGGCCCCAAGTTCAAAACCCTTCTCCTCTCACGACTCGACTCCCTAGCCCTACAAATCGCAACAGAAACCCACGAGGCAGCCCCAGAACTTGAAGCAGAAATGGACGAACGCCACGAATTCTTCAACACAACTCTCAAAAAATCCTTCCTGGCCCCAATCGCCGCAGATCTCCGCGAGCTCAAACTCTTCACGACCGTAGGCCTCAACACACACGTCTACTGGGGCGAATATCCACAATGCGATCTCCGAAACCTCCACTCTCCAAAACTCGAGGTGTTAGCACTAGGAAACTTCGCCTTCGCATATGAATGGCAATTGGACTGGATTCTTTCACATGCCGAGACATTACACACGCTTGTGCTAGATGATTGTCCCATCGTAATTGCAGGCAAGACGTCTGAAGACATGGAACATGCCCACGCCGTTCCTGGAACGCATGACGAAGACGAAGAAACCTTTTGGACCTACAACGCCCGCTGGCATTCATACCTCACACGTCTCAAAACCACAATGACGAAACTCAACCATTTCGGTCTCGGCTTTGAAATTCGCGGAAGAGATTTTGAGGATGAGCAGCATGATGCTTTTAGAATATATGAAGTTGGGGCTGAGTTGTCGGTCTATCGGTATCGTGTGTTCAATGGGGAGGGTTTGTGGGATGCTGGTGGGTCAAATACAAAATTTTCTGCAGATGTGGGTGATGATGGGAAAGTTCCGGAGTTTGAGCTTGATTGGGATGGTGATGGGGAGAAGGGGGTTGAGTTTCCTGATTGTTGGAAGGAGGATCGGGCGGCTTGGGAGGAGTTGATTGGGGTTGTTGCTTTGCGTCGTTGAGCTGAGCGTGAGGCACAAGCGTGAGCTCTCACAGAAGTGTTCTCGTTCTAAAAGGTGAACTGAGACCGACATCGCAAGGAAGTGTCGAAGGTCATTATCATGCAAATCATTGAATTGCGCCTATAAAATCGATCTCCCCCGGAAATCTAATACCACAATCCAGTGTTGACCTTCAAATTATTCTCCTTGCAGTGCTCCTCATACATTCTCCAAAAAGAGAAGCCATCCATAGTCTCCCGGAGCGTATTATCATCATTGAAGAACTCAATCGACCCGGTAACATCAAAGATGACCTCGGAATTCTCACCCATGTACAAAGTATGGATGGTGCCTGGCATCTCAGTCACGTAGTCGCCTGGCTTGCCCTGCAGTTGGATGTCAGCATGATGAGTCAATTTATGTACGTTCATCACATCGACCCACCTTCCAGCTATACTCATGATATCCCCAATTCCCAGCAATGGTGTATGCGCGGACCTCATCACGGTGTCTGTGCTTTCCGAGCTCGGCATGCGGTCCGGTCTTCAGCTTGATGATGTAGCATCCCTTTCGATTCTCCATGCGCAGGATCTTGACGTAGATCCTGCCAGTCCAGTGGTACCAGCATGTGTCATCCTCCCCATTGATGTAGACGTCTGTCCGTGGTTCTAGCATTGCGGGGGCAAGGGTGCCAGAACATTATCGTCTCAGAGGTAAGTTCTGGGGATCAGGCAAATGATTTTGGACTAATCCAGTAGGTATCGCAACGAAGGAGAGAGTTTGCGAAGACATTTGGCGCCCATCATGCCATTGATCCAACATCAGATGATGTGCCGCAGAAAGTCAAGGATCTGACAGGAGGCGAGGGGGTGGATGTGTGCTTTGATGCTGCTGGAGTTCAGATTGGAGTCGACTCCGGGCTGAAAGCAGTGACGGCTCGTGGAACATTTGTGAACATCGCACTTTGGGGCGATAGAAGACCGTCGCTGGATATGATCGATATGGTGTTTTGTGAGAGAAAGTACATGGCCGGCAAGTCCTCAGGTGAGCTGAACCAGCACAGAATCAATGCTGACTCGTTCGAGTGGTGACGTATATTGCCGGCGACTTTGAGGCTGTCATCGATGCTGTCCATACCGGCAAGCTGAAGCCAGAAGGCATGATCACGAAAGTGATTGTGAGTGGAATGGGTATCAATTCGAAATTTATAGCTGACGAGCCACAGGGACCGCACGAAGTGGCCGAAGAGGGCTTCAAGGCGCTGACAGATGATAAAGACAACCAGGTGAAGATCTTGGTCGACATGTCGAGACTGACCGGAGTCGAGGCCGATGCGTAGGTGTTGATGGTTGAATGTGATGGGCCCCCTGGTCCGCCAAGACATCAGACTCTGACATCCACAACGACCTACAAACCTCCTTTCTTTTCCATCACACAACATCTGGCTTTCTCGATACAGTAATTTGTTGTGCTCAGTGCGTAGAACTCGCCATATGACGCGTGATATAACGTTCTGCCGACCGAAGATCGAGCCAGAGCGCTGGGAAACACGAGTCGCAAGCAGGCAGGAGCTTCATTCACTCGGCCAGTCGATCAAGATAAGCTTCAAACCCACCACGACAGCTTTTGCAGTGTCGATGTTGAATCGTATGGGTTGGTTGATATGGTTGCACGGTCCTTATTTTCCTTGTAGTCCTACAGACTGCACTATTCTATCCACAGTTCGGCGGGCGATCGCACATTGACAGATTCCTTAGAGTGCGTTTACCTCGCCGCCGGTGGATCGGTGGAATAACGATACCTTGAAAGATGCTACCGGTTTTTATTCTTCTTCTTAACCGCTTTTTAAGGTAAGCAAATCGGTGGATAACTCGGTGGATTAGAAAGACCGTACATCGGTAGTATCCGCCTTAGTAATACGCGCGCACTTCGTATATCTAGCCTCGTAGATAGGTTATTATTATTATTAATTAAAGGCCGCTCTATAGGTCGATATTATTGCTTGTTCTACTCGTTCAAATAGCGCCGAAGAAGTCCACTACGATACCTGCTAAACGGAAGGCCGCTATAAAGAAGACGCCTACTAAGAAGGCGAAGAAGTCGAAGCTAGCTAAAGAGGGTACTAATAAGGATATAGGCTATAAGTTTCTAGAGGTTGTCCGCTAGTAAGAAGAATATAAGGTATACTTCTTAAAGGAGGTAAAGAAGCTAAAGGATAAGCAGTTATTAAACTATAGCAATAGCTTCTACGTCCGACTTTATCGTAGAATAGCTACGTAAATAAGTATAACCTTTAAGCTGTATTTTAAGCCGGAAGGACTAAAGGCTCGGTAGCGCGCGTTTAAGGAGAAATATTATCCTTATACTACTTACTTAAAGCATATAAGCGGTTAGAATAGCTATCTAGCAAAGCTAGGGAATAAGGAGGTTGCTAATAAGCACTTCCGGAAGTATCTAGAGTGTAAGTAATAGCGCGACGAGTATCCGGAGTTTGCAAGCGAGCTCTTTAAGATTATCGAGTTAAATATTGCGAGCGGCTACGAGGCTAGTACTAGCAATAATTTAGCGTAGGATAGCGATGCGGATATAGATAATAAGGACGATAAGGACGACGGCGAAGGCGAAGAAGAGGCAGAGTCGGACGAGTTGCCGCTACCTAATAGTATAACAATAGAAGAACGAGACTCGCTCGTAAAGGCGGATATTAATAGTAAGATAGACCTATTAATTATATTAGAAATAGAGCGTTAGGTCCTTATTGCTACGCGCTACGCGAATACTAATATTACGAAGAAAGAAGCCGCTTAGAAGCAAGCCGCCTTAGACGCTGCCTCGAAGGGTAGAAAGGATAATAATATCCTTCTCGATATAATTAAGAAGAGCTAAATTCTACTATAGTAGACATTCTCGGCCTTCTTAAAGGCTTCTCGAGATAATGCTAAAGCGGTACGAGAAGATGCTATTACTAAGCGAGAGCGAGAGCGTACGGAGCGAGCTACTAAGAAGATTGAAGCCGAGAAGAAGCGCTTCGATTATAGGTACGATATTAACGCTAGTAATATCGCTAATCGCCTTATAGACGATAATATCCTATAGGGCATTAGTATAGCAGACCGCGCGCTGCTTACAATAGAAGTAGGCAAGCCTAATAAAGGCTATATCGCCGTCGTAAGGAAATAGGTACGCGATAAGAAGAAGAAGGAGCATCTAGATTAATACTTCCGCTAAGTACTATAGGATATTAAACCTAGACCGGCGCCTATTGCAGGCATGAATAACTATTATTATACTAAGTATACGCCGTCGGGGAGCTTCCAAATACCGCATAGATATAGTCGGCAGTAGGTTATTGTATTATTATTAAGGAGAGGGTTTGTAATAGTAGAAGAGATAGGTTTCGAGTTCTCGAAGTCTAACTTTTAGTAGAGGGTTCCGATAGTTAGGGCCATTTTTCGCCTGAAATGTAGCTTAGGGTCTATACTATTAATTTACGTAAAGGTGTTGTTAGCTTTTACTAGCAAAATCGATGTTACGTACAGGGTAGAACATATATAGCGAAAAGATATCCTAATAGCTCGAACTCTAGTTTAAGGCAACAGAGTGCTAAGAAGCCGGATATTTAGACGCATAGCAATATTAAAGAAGTTAAGCTAGATACTAGAAGTGCTAGAATATAGCAGACAGAGCAGACAAGCCTATTCCTTACTAAATTCCTTATACAAATTAATGCGGTCTCCTCGCTACTATATATTGCTAGCATAGTAGCTATCGCTTCTAACCTCTATGCCTAAAACTCGGCTTCTTAGACCTCCCTCTTATCTATACTATTGTCTTCTAGATATTGCTTATAATTATCCTATATAAACTGCGAAAACCGCTTACGATAGCGCTAGTAAGGGTCGTTACTATCGGCAATAGTATCTAGTAGTCTATCGTCGTCGTCCTTAATCTTAGAAGGGTAGACTTTAGTAATTTCAAGCTCTTGCGAGAGAGGCTGCGCTCTATAGCGAAGGATGAAGTTATAGAGTACAAAATAGGATATAATAAACCTCGACTGCGAGCGTATCGAATAGTATTTATAGGGACCTTGTTTAATAAGTGCGAAGCGCTTCTATATTACCCTAAATAACCTCTCGACAACGTTGCGAAGCTAAGCGTAACGGAGGTTATATAACTCTTCCTTATTAATAGAGCGCCTACTAGTAGCGGCCTATTCTCGAAGGTAGTATCGAGTCCTTTCGTATAGTACGAGAAGCCGCTTATCCTTAAAGGTGTAACCGCCGTCTGCTAAATACTTCTTGCTAGCAGTTACCTCAAATCCCTTCGAATACGCCTTCTTTAATACCTAACCGTCGTTTCTAGCTCCCTCGTAACCGATAAGAACGTAGTAAACAACTATATCAAATCTATAGGCCGCTATTACATTCTACGTAATAAAGTTCTTCCTATAACGATATAGACCTTGTTCTAAATACGGCACACTTACTAGAATAAGCGTACTATTAATCGCTCCTAGACAATCCGCGAAGTATCTAAACTTTCCGGCATCTTTTCTAGTTATAAGCCTAGGGTAAGTCGCTAACTCCGGCTCTTATATATATTCGTCCGCTAGTTAATAGAGCGCCTTACTAACTTCCTTTATTACTAGATAAAAGGTCCGTAACGAGTGCTAATAGTGCCTTCTTAGGTCTATTATCGTACGGTTATAGTATACGAAGTTATAATAGATTATTACCTTCTTAGCGACCGTTAAATCGTCCTTCCTCCTGCGATAACGTACTAATAGCTTCTCGTCTAATTTATTAATTAAACTCCTTAATACTACCTACCGCAGGCCTATTACATCGTAGCTCTCCTTCGGCGGTCTGAATAGTACTCGAAACACCTTATATCGACCCTTCTTCGCCTATATAAGCGTCTATACTACGCCCGCTAGTTTATACTACTTTTTATATTATTTCCGGCGTAGGAGGGCGGTAAGTATTGCATTCTAATAGCCGGCTATTATACAAAGTAAGAGACCGATACGGTGGCGCGTATTAGAGTCTATAGCAATAGCAAGCGATAAAATATTACGATATAGTACTATATTCGAGGACGCGTGCTATCTACCGAATACGCGCTTTTAAACTGGGTTTTCGGTAGACGCTTATACCTACTAGATATAGCATACCGCGCTCGGACGACGCTATAGTAATTAATTACAATCTACCGACTATATCCACCTAAATAGTATATAAACAGCTCGGTGGAAAAGCGGTGGAAGACAAGAGGTGGAATAATCGGTAGATTAGCCTATACAAACGATATCCACCGGCGGCGAGGTAAACGCACTCTTAGTGAACGACGACCACAAGAGAAGACATTGCGTTCCATGCTTCGAACCCCCAATTCGTGGGCTCTGATCCAACCTCAAAAGGAACGAGTTCCCAGAAAAGACATTCATAATAATCCTCCGTATACCTCACGTGGCTGTCTTGGCGACGTCAAGACAGTTGCGGGGATTGCCCCATTTCGTTCATCTGGATCTACGACTGTGAGGGGAGTTTGGCAATGGAAAGCTGTATGACAATTTGCATGCCTGACTGCACTTCATGCCATCTATACAGCGCCGGACTCCTCGACCGACCGCACCCTCTAACATCACGAGACGCCGCACAGGATGCATTCCCTGCCGTGAGAAGCACGTGCGCTGCGATGAACAGAAGCCAAATCGCCGCAGATGTGAGCGGAACTCAGGCGAGTGCTACTGGACTAGGGACGTTCGCATAGTTTTCCATACTCCACAAGGACCGGGCATCACCCGCAGGAGGAACTCCTCAATTCAGCTCGACACATGGTCACTTCCACTAAGCACACCTTCCCAGCTAGAGACGCCGTCTGTGGAGCAGGATGGCTTCCATACAGAGTAGTACCCAACGCCTGAGCCCGATCTGGCTTCTTTGCGGCCAGTTGAGCACATCTCGCCCTCACACACGGAGCACTTCACGGATTGGGCCACGTTAGAGGCATCTGAACTTGTACAAAGTGCGCTCCGGACCGAGCTGGAGGTGGAGTTGATGCACAACTATCTGACGGAATGCGCTCCGTGGTTTGATGCACATTCTGCGCAACAGCATTACTCGCGAGCATCTGTGACAAGAATGAAGCGATGCCCACCATGGCGAGCGGCAGCCCTCGCGATCTCGGCGAAGAATATCGAACTACGAGAGCGCCGTGCACTATCGAGTGGGCCTGAATCACTTCCGCTGCATTTGTACCAGCTGGCTGTGCGTTTGGCGATCGACTCGATGTCCGGGAAGTACGAAGTCGTCGGCACACTGGCTGGTTGTGTACTTTTATGTGTCTACGAGATGATGACGGTGACATATACCGACTGGCGACGGCATGTGGAAGGCTGTGCGAGCATATATACCCACAATCGCTGGAATGGTTCGACCGGTGGTCTAATCAGTGGCAGCTTCTGGGACTACGCCAGGATCGGTGAGCAGATTCGTTCGTGTTCTCTTCTTAGCGCTAATTCCGTCAGACATTTGGGCAGCTTTCTCTGCATCGACCAAGACAATTCTACCTCCAGCAACTTACTTCGACCATCCAGAGACGATTGTCACCTTAAGAGACATAGACGAGGACCTGCATGCCCAGATCGCCATATGGCTGACAGCAGGGGTTGTAAACCTCGTCTCTGAGAACCGGCCTGCATCTCAGAGTCCTGACTACCTCTCGTTGAGTGCGGCCATGCGAACTTGGGAAGACATGGGCGCTGAAGCCACTCGTCCGGTAGTTGAAAGAGCTGCAAATATCGAGGCCGACCACCCATTTCCCCAAATTTTATTCTCAACGCACAGCTCCAGTATGTAAAATGCTTTCGGCAACATTTTTTGAGACTCCCGCTGATGAGAGGTCTAGCGATCGGTCACACTCAATTTCACACAGCCATGTGTCTTTTGCTTGAGTACGAAATGGCTCAGCCTGGCGCTGATATCGTGTCCTTGAAGGACTTGGCATACGATCATGCTCTTAAATGTGCCGGGATCATCGAGACGAATAATCATACGTGAGTTGGCCCATCCATGTTTGCATTCGCAGGGTTTCGCTAACAAGGTACTCAATCTCCAGGGCGTGTCTCGTCAATTCTTTGCAACCTGCGTATGTTGCAGGAAAGCATATGAAGAAGAAGTACGAGAAGTTCGCCATTCTGGAGCTGCTGGCACAGATCCAGAAAAAGACGGGCTGGAAGTGCGAGTGGCGGAGTGACGGCTTGCGCGAGTTTTGGAGTTTGTGTTGAAGCCTTATCAGAGATACCGACAGCGCGTTCGATTCGAGTTTCTTTGATAGCAGTCCTGATTTCGACCACGCTGAAGTGCAAGACGCAAACACAGCCGTTGCGATGGCGGCGAGATCATCGAACATTTCATTGATGATCCGCGCCTATCTTTGCATCCTCAGTGCTGTCCTGTGCCCAGGTCGAGGTGGGACTTGTCCTTCGACTTTCGCTGTCGGCAACACTGGACGTCGGAGTGCTCTCGGGCGACACAATGTAGAGATGGTCGTAGTTGCCCAAGAACAGCCGACTCCAATACGCGGTCGACGGAATCTTGATAGCGGCCAACGACGAGTCGAAGTTGGGCAGGTCGCTGTACATCTCTTTCTCTTCGGGCAGATACAGGTCATGGCGCTTGACGTCGACGAATGACTGCAATCGTGGGATCTGCTTCTTGGTGACGCGGAGCTTCTCGTCCTGTGAATGCATCCAAGTTAGTACATGGTCGCTGTAGGCTTTTGCGAGACGGAGCACTCACCTTGTCGAGCCACTGACACAGGTCCTTCTGCGACGAGGTCTGCAGGCCTCCCCTGTATCGATACAGCAGGATGGGCCCTTCGTCGAACTCATCTAACTGGTATCTCTCCGCGCTGCTAGACGAACTGCTGTGTGTAGAGTCCGTCAAGCCAGTCGCGTTCCGATTTGCGCCCGCTTCTGCTTGTGTGGCCATCTTGAGCGTGACCAGCGTTGCGGCCTCCAGGCACGGAACGTAATGAGTCACTGCGCTGTTATCGTTGTTTTGAGAGGCGACCGTTGTTGTCGTCAATTCGACAGCCTGAGACAGGGCGAATATGGGTAGGTGAACGGGACAAACTGTTGTCAGCTGAAGAGTCAGGCAAGCAAGGCACGAGTCTCGGGGTGAGGGTGAGCGAGAACGAGCGCAGCAAGATCTCGCCTGTGTCTTTGGCATGTGACTGCACAAGCTGCGCCTGAGCAAATGACGACGTTTGTCTCAAAGCTTGTGCCAAGCCTGGTCTGTGCTGTGAGTGAACAGTGGCGGTGCAGCCGCACAGCACCTCTCGACGTGCACGACGACGACGACGATTGATGTACCGCCACCAACGCATCTCTTGTGGAACCGTAAAACCATTGGGTCAACATGCTGTGGAACTTCGGCTATGAGAGATCTCGGTGCGTGCCTGGGTCACAAGCATCACGATCTCCTGTCAGGCACATTCCGGAATGATCTGACTAGGCGAGAAGATCGTAGCGGTGTCTACTCATAGCCCGGAGTGGCACATCGAGACGGAGACTTGGAGCACGCCGCCCGCTTGCCTTTGATATTGATTTCGAACATCTGATCATGCAAGCATAGCATACCGTCTGCCTGAGGCTTGGTGGAAGGCCGTCTACAAATTGGAACGAGTTCCTGCAGCCAAAAATGCCGGGCCCACGAGCTAGCCTTGAGGAGAATAGAATGGCTCCTTCGGTGCGGGTCGTGGAAGATCAACCCGATCACATGCACGAGGCCGCTCAGTGTTTCTAAAGAGCGCTGCCTCACAGAGGACGAATGCTGGCGTATGTTTAGCATCGAGTCTTGATCATCTACAGCTCACCGTACCTGCAGGTCCCCTCCCATTCTCAGTGAATCACAGGACCAGCAGACCTCGAAGCCGCTCTTTTGATCTCAAAAATCTCCGGCACCTCGTTGTTTATACCACCCGAGACAAAAGCTCCTCGTGACTGCCTCACACTGAGCTTTGCGTACTCCCCTTACATACCCTCCGACCCGGCCGTACATCACTGCACCTGTTCGCCTGACGACTTACGACCAGACTCCATTCCAACCACGACTCGCTTTGTCTGTACATCAACGTATATACATTTCTTGCGGAAAGAGAAGAAATCTGCCCAAGGTGGCGCCGCGAAAGTGGATTCGCTACCAGTGAGACCGTGGGAATTCCTGCGGTCTTCGCCGGAAGCTATGGAGGCGAGCGTTGGTACACTGTCTGCTCCGGATGGCTCGCAGACTCGCAGCTCAAGCCGAGCACCAAGTGCACCACGAAGAGAAGAGACAAGCGACTCAGAGAAAGCAGGGAGAGTCTGGGCGCGAACGGTGAAGGATCCATGGGATCCTTGCATCCTGACCTTGGACGGCGGAGGCATTCGCGGCTACAGCAGTCTACTCATCCTGAAAGAGCTGATGCATGAGGTGTGGGAATGGGAGAAGTATTACGACGAACATTCAACAGTAGAGATGAGAACAGACAGTCCTACAGAATACTTCGGGGGTGACGGCGACGAACAAGCAGAGGCTGGTGCGGCCAGGGGGCGTCATGGCCACCATCGCAAGCTTGGAAACGATCCTGATCAGGCAGAGGCTCAACATGGAGTCAACACTGATCTCCCAGAGACGAAGACGGCCCCTGCAGCTGCATTGGAGACGATTCTCAAGGATGAACGCACGGCGGACCTTTCAACTCGAATCGCCGCAAGCGAGGAAGAACTTCTTCCTTGCCACTATTTCGACTTCATGTATGGAACGTCTACCGGCGGTCTCATTGCCACTATTCTCGGCAGACTGCGCATGACTGTGACGGAAGGTCTGGAGCTTTACAGGAAAGTCGGAGACGATCTGTTTGGGAGAAGACGAAGCAGAGTGCCTTTGATGACAAAGTATTACCACGAGCCCCTTGAGAAAGCCGTTCGTGAGATCGTGAGCAGTCGCTGTCACGAGCATGAAAACTGCGACGGGAACGATCTTCATCCGTGGGAAGCAGATCGCTTCGACGAACTTCTTGCCAAGCCAATACCATTCGACGTTGACCAGCCGCGAGTCTGCCAGTCATGCTGCTTGACCGCAACGCATAACGAAAACATCTCTGAGGCTTACCTGTTGAGATCTTATCCGCATTACTATTCTGAGAGCGCGCCTAATTGGATCACAAGATACAATGAAGGTGAGTGAATGCTTAGCCCGCCCCATAGAGCAAGCTCGGCATGAGAGGCATTGCCGTGCTAGCACGTTCTTGTGGGACACGACATGCTCAATTGATGCATTCGAGCGCAGGCTAATGGTGAACAGGTGCGGATGCGATTCCGATCTGGCAAGTGACTCGAGCGACTACTGCAGCACCGTTCTACTTCGAAATGCTTGGGGCCATGGTCAACAACGAGTTGAAGTCCTTCAAAGACGGCGGCATTCGCGAGAACAATCCAAGCGGTGCAGCCCTGAGCGAATTCCATGCTCTCTACGAAGGCCGAGCAAGTGATCCAGCATTGATGCTTAGCATCGGCACCGGACGTCCCAATCAGTCTCACGATGGTTTTGCCGCGGCGTGGCCATCATCCTTTGGACGCCTGGCGATCGTCAGCAAATTCCTAGAAAAGCGTGCCGTAATCCAGAATCTGTTGATCAAGTACACGGAAGGTGAAAAGCAACACAAACAGATGCGCGAGCACGCTCATGGCGAGCACACATGGTACAAACGCTTGAATGTTTCCGAGGGGCTTGAGAGCATGCCGCTCGATCTTTGGGAGAAGGGGGACTGGACTGATCCTAAGACCGGCGAGACGAAGTCGAATATCCCAGGAGGTGCAAGTCTTACGCGTATGGAAGAGGCAACTGAGGAGTATCTGGAGCGACCATTCAATCCCGACATTGACTCGTATGCGCCACCCAAGACGATGCTTAGGCAGGCTGCGCAGAAATTGGTGCTCCAGCGCCGGAAAAGAGCTGAAGAAGGCGGCGAAAGATGGGACACTTTCATTGGAAAGCACTTGCATAGACCAAAGAGTGTACCACTGAAATCGAACGGGCAGGCTGGCTGAAGATTTGGTGCATTTATTTACGCACGCAGTCCACGGTCGATCGTGTAGCTCGCTGCCCACCAGCAAGGCAGCAAATTCGTCTCAGTCTGGGATACAAGAACAACCAAAAAGACTCGACAGAAGATTTGGCGCATTTTCCTATTAAGCGCTGTTCCCATGAGAGAAAAGTGGGACCGTGGTCGTATCCGTGTTGGGTCTCAACCCTCGCGTATGGATTACCAACAAGCGTAGGGATTACCAAAAGGCGGCTGATGGATTCAAGTCCATATGCATCAGCGCCAGCACGCACTAGGGCTCTGTTGCTCGGCTGCGCCTATGGACATTCATCCAGATACAAAAGAATGGCATGGCCGATGTTTGCGCTTCGATAAGGACTACATCACTGCTGCCATATCGATAATCATTTGAAACGTTTGCCGGCTTCAAGCGAATTTGCCGCATGATAATTCAGGAAGGCCTTACAAACATGGCTATCAATAAAGATGTTGTCTGCTTGACTGGTTCCACTGGCTTTCTCGGATTTCGCACTCTTCGATACGCACTCGATGCCGGATACAAAGTTCGTTCTGTTGTCCGCAGTGAAGCCAAAGCACAGCTCATCCGTTCCAACTCCGCTTTGAAGTTCAAGGATGGGCAACTCGACTTCATCATCGTCCCAGATATGTCTGTGCCAGGAGCTTTCGACGAAGCATTCCAAGGCGTGAAGTATATCATTCACATTGCTTCGCCCATCAGTACAAAGGCCGACGATGCCGATACTGATCTGGAGAAGGCGTTTGTCACAGCTGCCATCGACATGACAAGAGAGCTGTTCAAGTCTGCGGGCAAGGCCGACACAGTAAAACGGATCGTTGTTACATCTTCAGCTGGCGCTATCGTGCCAATGTCCGCATTTTTCGAGCCCACCAATACTCCCTTCTCGGCTGAGCTCCGGCAGCCTGAGCTTCCCGGTCCACACGACAATGCTATGAGTGCCTACCTTGCTTCGAAGATCGCGGCTCTGAATCGTGCTGAAGAATGGGTCACAGAGCACAAACCGAACTTCGATGTCATTCAAGTCCATCCCAGCTTCATCCTTGGCCGAGACGACCTGTGCAAGACAAAAGAAACCTTCCAAACAGGCACAAATCGATTAGTGCTCAATCACGCTCTAGGCGTGACGGACTCGCAGGTGCCCGTCCGACCTCCGACTTTCAATTCGGTACACGACTGTGCTATGGTTCATGTCAAAGCACTCGATCCCAGCGTGGCAGGGAATCAGAGCTTTATTGTTTCCAGCGCCGGCGGTGATGGTTTCGAGTGGAATCAAGCCAACGAGATCATATTGAAAACCTTTCCCGATGCCGTGAAAAATGGCGTCTTGCCCAACAATGGATTCACTGCGACCTTGCCTTGCTTGCTCGACGTGGCGAAGACGGAGCAAACTTTCAATTTCAGGCATTCTGCATTTGAGCCTCTCGTGGCGGAAGTGGTCGGACACTATCTTGAGGTCTTGGAAACAGAGAAGAAGGCTAGTGAGAAGGCATAAATCTAAGGCTTTAGACCTCAAGTCATCCACGACTACAATCTAGAGGTAGACGTCTGCCAGGGACATCGAGGCTCGTGTCCATCACAAGCGGTTTGCTTAGAGGCTGAACTGTTGGTTTCAGCGCTACGAAAAGCGGGCAATATTGTATAAGGACTTCGGCGGCGAGCACTTCAGCCTAGAAATGCGCCGCTCGCTTCAAGTATAAGCAAATCGAGCAGGACCCACAACCTCAATCAAGCTTGCATACTCATTCTGATCATGAATGACCCACCTCCACCCTACCAGAGCTTTGAAGCTTCTGCTAATCACCCTTTCACTCAAGGACCAGAAGGAATTGCTCATCATTCAAGCGAGCAGTTGCACCACTTGGCCACTGTTGTAGACGTCAATGCACAGGCCACGAATTCGTCGTTCGAATGGTTTGACCAGGAGATTCAACGCCTTGATAAGAGAGTCGGACAATTGGTGTCACTCCCATCGAGACCATGTCAGTGCTGCTCAAGAAATGCTCATGATCAGATAGTAGGTGGGAGTCACTTGAAGATTGCTAGCATTTTCGAGCAAGCAGCTATCAGAGGTGGTGATAACTGATCGCTAGCTACGATTGTTGCAATCGCGTCATAGCATATACAAGCTTGCTCGAGATCGTTTGCATTTACAGATTCAGTGCGCTCAAAGATATCATGTTGTGTGAGCGTATGTCACTACACGCATCGCCTCTGCCCTGACCTGTCCACAACGTATCAGCTTGCTTATATGGTCTCCTTTCGACTTTGGACACAGGGACAGCAAGCACCAGACCCCAATACCCAGACTTCCACGATGTGCGACTCATGATGGATATTCCCACCAACACTTGCAACACTGACCACGGCTAGGACTCACCCACCACTCTCCACGCGCTCTTCACGAACATCGCTTAGCACAATCAGCGAGCACGACAGCGACGAGCGACGACAAGAGATTCACTCGCCAGCACCAAGCAGTCCACCTACCGAAGCACCTACATATACTGCTGCTGAGATCGATGATATGCTCCAGCAAATCCACAGCCGCATCGATAATTTGCTCGTGAATATCAATACCCTGCGGCAAGAAGTCACAAGTTTGCGACGCACGTATGTGGCAAATTCCGATGATGATGATGACGACGGCGGAGAAGATCTAGGGAATTTGTTTTTGGGGTTTAGATATCGTAGCCGTAATGCGCAAACTTGAAAGGCGGATTGCTACTATGATGAGGAGGTAGAATTTTCAGAATGAGGTTGCCTCGTCATTTAATCATTCCATTTTCAATCATCACGGCCATTCACTGCACCATTCCGCTTTATTATATTCCACGAATGAATACATTGCCTAATCAGGGCTGCAAACAGCACTCACAACATCCCGAAACATCCACAACGTGTCTTCAGAAAGCTCTAGTCGTTCAAGTCAAAGTTCTGGAAGTACCAGCAGTTATCTATCGCGTTCAGAGTACCCAGTAGACTCCTGAACAGCTTCTGGCCATTCTCTTCTGCTTCCGAAACGGATCACCAGCGCGACCCAAATCCCGAGCTCGAAGAGATTCGACAACGACTCGCAGCGTTGCGACGGCGTCATGAAATGGGCAGAGACCGACGCATTGCGGTGTAGTATCGATCGGCAGCTTCAGACATTGGTGCAGAGACTACAGGCCATACTGCGAGAGCTCCAGGAATGATTGATCAATGCTAGCCTGCAGCATGCAAGACAGCTTTGAAGCAATATGGAATACTTACGAACTTTATGCCATATGTTTTTGAAAGCATAGTTCTATGCAGATGATCGAGCTCTGCTTCACTTTGCAAAAGCATGAAAAATCCTCCGACTGCGATACCTCTGCCAATAAATTCGTCAACAAATCAACATCAGGCACAAAAGATTCCATGGCTACCTACACAGCCTGGGACAATAGCTACTTGATCACTCGAGCAGCTCGAACAGCCATGTCGGACGCCAGCACGAATCGCACTTCCAGCTCAGCTCAAGATTCCGCGACATTATCAATCAACACCAACCCAGGGATCTCTCACGTTCCATCCTCCCCAGCTGCTGCAAGCCCAGAGCGCTTCTATACGGTCACGGAAATCGACGGCATGTTCTCATCGCTCGTCGATGCTATAGACAGCTTAGCTGAGAACATTGATGAGCTTCGTGCCCAGCAGACTCCGCGATCATGGCAGCATCCGGATGCTCCAATTCAGACTCGCTGCAATGATACCACTGCTCAAATCAATGATATAATTCACCGTATTTCCACAAGGGCCGATCTTGTGGCCAGAGACTTGCATGAGTTGACGAGGCGGATTGACGCCAGTGATTCTGATGACGAGACAATCCGAGGCGGCGGTGGCAGTGAACAGAGTTAGAGGCGTGGAGAATCTCCTTGATCGCCATCTTTCTGGTGGTGGCGGTGGGAGTCTGTCATCAATGGCGCGTGCAGGCAACGCTGGAGCAGTATACCATGATATCCCGACACCGTATATCATCCAAGGATGTGTTCTTCTTGCTCTCTTGTCATCACCGACCATATCCTAATCGGAATCTTCGCTCTTCTTCTTCCACCAATCTTACTCGATCAAACTTTCCAGATCTTCAAGTACCTTAGTCGCCAAGTGCCAGACGACATCTTGGCTTTCGTACGGACGGAGATACCGACACCGCCTCTGAGACCCAGAGGACACATAACGAACTGGTCCAAGACTCTGCGGTCCGGAAAGCGGTCTTCAAAGACCCCGACCTCCTCTTGCTCCACTTTCGCATCAGCAGCTACGCACATGAGCTCGATGTCGGGAACTGTGCAAAGACCTGAGAATTCGGAAGTGGCAGATCCAGTCAAATCTGCCTTGAGAAACAATCATGTCTCGCAGGATCTCAAGCAAGATACTGAGGCAAGAAACGTCAGATTCTCGCAGGCAACAGAGAACGCAAAATCTCCTCGAGCCGGTCCAGTGGTGCATAGCGGGCCTAGGTTTGCCAAAAATGTCGAGTTCAGAAGAACTGCCAGAGGACGTCTCAAACCGAAGAACGCGCCCTGGTGGAGGGGATTTGGCTGATGAAGTTGCATGGTACCTTAGTCCAGCTGTAGTGTAGCATTGTGTCAATGTAATGTGGAGACCACACTTCTTTCATGTCTATTTGGTCAGCAGACTGATATGCCACCTCAACCTCTCAACACAAGGGGTAATATCACTGATTGGACTCAGACCTTACTCTCCAGACCGCGCTCGAGGCCGCCCAGACCCTCTTGCTCGACTTTTGTAACACCAGTCACGAGCATAAGGTCATCGACAAAGGTCCAGGAGAGGTCGGCCGCCGAGGAGTCGTGGAGTCCTGCCGATCGCTGCTGGGGTGATCGCTATCTTCAAACATTGTCATCTGTTCGGGGTTGCGATGACGAGGACAGAGACTATGAGTACGAGAGCGGGCCAACGTAGCTACATCAGTCGTGAAGCAACACTCCAGGCCTGAGGCTGAGCAGGTGACATGGCCAGAATTCTCAGGCATTCACGCATGCATATCATATCACACGCCCGCCTGTGGCGCTGCAGTTAGCGGCGCCACAAATGACGATTGGAAAGTCGCAGGCTATGATATACGAGTGTCATTCACCACGACAAGCTGCATGTACTTGATCTGCCATGCGCTCGAAGTCCCTTCTGAACTGCACTCATCCCGCGAACAATGCCTCTAACATTTTTCCCACCTTTTACAATGATCTCGCCTCAGCCTCCGAAGCCCAGTGCCTCTGCAGCGCCGTCGCACTCTTATCTACGACAGTTTGTGTCTGCTGAGGAGATGGAGGCCAAACATCGTGCCGCGTACATAAGGCTTGCACGAGGAGAGACCGGTTCGGATCAGGAAGAAAGTCCATTTTCTGACGAAGAAGACGAGGGTCCACATCCTCGCTGTCGCAGCTGCAGTAAGAACAATGATCGGCTTCAGAGGATAGAGGCGAAGATCGACGGGTTGGTCGAAGACGTCGAATCATGGCGTCCACGCGCAGAAGACACTGAGTCGCCTGCACCGTCCAGAGCGGATCCGTAAGATGTGTGTAAGCCAGGAAGGCTGCTGTTAAACAAAGCATGGAATTATCTGCAATGCATGGGTATCATAAATACAACTTTCGTGGTAAGCGAGCATATGCCATCGCCCCGGTATCCTGTACTAGCCAAATGAACTGCTATCAACAACATTGGCCAGAAACGCGACTCTTACTGCTCCTTTCCACCATCTTCACCAATGACCTCAGGTTTCATAGAAGAGATTTTGACCTTCTTTCCAGTCCCATTCGTGCTGGCGCCATCGCTGGCGGGTTCATCTTCGGCCTTCCTCTTACCATTTCCCTCGACCACAGAGTCCGCCGGCTTTGGCTTCTTCTTCTTGACCATGCCTGTCAGATCATTCGCCTGAGCAGTAGCCTGTTCGATGCGTTTTGCTTGATCTGCCTTGCTCTCGCCGAGTAGCGAACCAAGGATGCCGCGCATGGCATCTTCCTCGGAGCCTGGAGCACCTGTTGGACCAAGATTTTGCAAAGCCGAGAGGCTGGCTGCCGGAGCTTGAAGATCCTTAAGCCGCTGCTCCATCTCTGCTATGATCTCCTTGGCGTTCGTGACTTCCTTCTTGACCTGCTCTGCTTCTGCACCCGATGAAGTTGAGAGCTTGGACTCTTCTTTCGTAAGCTTCGCTCGACAACTAGTAATAGCAAGCTCCATTTCCTTCGCAGCATCTTTTCGCATCTCCTCGTCGACTTGGGCGACTGTCGATTGCCCCTGTGCATCCTCTTGTGTTGATGTGACTGATGCGAACTCCAAGGCAAGCGAGAGTTTGTAGTGTGCTTCAGTGACCAGAGGGTCTTCAGTCGGGTAAAGCTCCAGCTTCAGTGCTAGGGCATCTCGGGTGTCCTTGATGGCGTCCTGGAAACGCTCATTCTCCAAGCTGATCTCTGCTTGCAGATCGTGTGTATCTGCCAGTCGTTCTTTTACTTGCCGCACTTCTGGATTCTCCTCTTTCGATTTGCCCTTTCCTGCACTCTGCAGCTCGTCAATCTTCCGCGACAGCAAAATGCGAGCCATATCCAGGATCTCATAGGCGGTCGCGAAGTCGTCGTCCTCTTCCTCTGCCTCGCCGTCTCCTCCGTCTTCGTCCTCGGAGTCGGTAAAATTGTCGTCGCCTGTGATCTGGAAGAATGGATTGCTCGGTTCTGCAGGCTTCTCTTCTTTAATGTCGCCCTTCTGCTCTACTACAGCCTCCACGACGTTCTCTGCCAACTTCTGATCGGAGCTCTTGATCGCGTCGCTTATCAGGGAGCTGCTTCCTTCGCCGTTCGCACTGCTCTCGGCCTTTGCGACCTTGCGTTTCTTTCTCTTTGGCTCAGAAGGGCCAGCGACCTTGCCGCCTAGTACATCAGAGCTGGCGACTGCGACCTTGTATAAGCATCGACCATATTGGTAGAGCAAATCAGCGTTCTCCGTAGACATCTCGCCATTGATCTGATCTTGCACCTCTGCCGCCTCACTGTAGTATTCGGCAGCGGCATTGTAGTTTTTCAGCGAGTACTCTTTCGTCGCCGACGCCTTGAGCTTCTCGAGCTTGGCTGGCAGCTGTTCTGGCGGTGTTTCTTCCGGGATGGCGGCCATATCGACGGTGCTGTCTTGGAAAGATATCTCCGTATTCTCTGCCATGTCGATGGTATGGCGGTGTGATTGGTACAGTGTGAGTGAATGTTGAAGAAGGAAAGTGAGAGTGGAAACAAGATCTCGCCGCGAAGGAAGCGCGCTAGGGAGTGCACGGGCCCGAACGCGTTTTCCACGCGTCTCCTCCCACTCGATGCAGTGACAGATGGAGGAGTTTCTCTATCACATGCAACGACTATGGCGATACCGCAGAAGAACCCAGAGACGAATCCGTTCTCTTCATCGCCGGCATTTGGGACGCCTGTCCACCCATTCCCGAACAACCAGCAGCGACCTCCTCCTCCGCCTGCATTCAAGCCCCAGATCACGACCATCTTACCCATACTCTTGCCAGCTCCTACATTACGACCTTTGGCAGTCAGAACGTTCACAAAGAAACACAATTTGATTCTGCAATCCTCGGCATTACAGGCATTAGCGAGCTTTGTTGGCAGACATTGTGGCTCAGGATGGAGGGAGGAAGGCACGGGCGAGAAGGTCTTGGAGCAAGTTGCCAAGATATGGAAGGCTGAGAATGGGCCTGTGATTGTCGAAGATGGTGAGAGGCTGAGAACGATACTCAGGACACTGGAAAGTTGTATGAGCGGAGGTCGAATAGGCACACCCAAGGGAGCCAACAGCTTGAGCCGGCAGACGAGTTTCACATTTGCCAACGATTCTGCCGTAGACATAGCCGATCGACCTTCACTGGAACGACAAGGCAGTAGCTTTGGCATATCAGGGCTGAGAGTGCAAAGTCCTACGGCACAGGATGAGGAGCCAGAAGGGAGCCAGAGAGATCCACGAAGCTGGCTGAAGATTATATCAGCCTTCGAACAGCCACGATTCACATACAGCGTCGACAAGAAGCACTTTTTACGACTCGAAAACAAGCCAGCTCTATTTCCAAACACAAAGCAGAAGACTGCGTTGATCAAAGAACGATACAACATTATACATCAGCGATTACTACGAAACCCAGCATTCCAGGCACCGTCCTTTTCCGCACAGACGGCATCACTACGGCGATCAAATACAGTTACAGAGCGTACATTCTACAAAATCACTCCCATAGCCAACTTGCTCGGACGAGGAGGCACCAATCACTTATTGTTGGGAATGCTGGTCATCGCCCCAACCGGGACCTTGGCACTTAATGACCTCAGTGGCAGCATCAGCTTAGATCTGCAACATGCCACTTCAATGCAGGAGGTTCAGCCGTACTTTTGTCCCGGCATGATTGTTCTCGTCGACGGTGTGTACGAGGAAGATTGGGCTGGCGCCGGGTCAAGTGGGCTGGGCAACACTGGCGGCGTGGGAGGAACGATCGGAGGCAGGTTTGTTGGCTTTGAGATTGGTGGGCCACCAGTCGAGAGGCGCGACATCTCTCTCGGCATTAATGTTAAGGCTGAAGAAGTAGGAGGAGGCTTTGGCTGGACTGACTTCCTCGGGCAAGGATCGGAAAGGGCAGTTGGTCAGCGTATGAGGAAGCTGGAGCAGCGCTTGATCGGGCTGGAATCCGACATCGAGGAGAGCCAGAGGAAGATGGTCGTGCTATCACAAGTCACGTTGGATCAGCCTTCAACGCTCTCCGCATTACGGAAAGTTCTGGAACAGTATGAGGTTGCTGACTCGCCCCCTATGTCATTCGTGCTCTGCGGCGACTTCTCAAGAAAGGCTGCCATGGCAGGCGCAGGAACAGGGTCGATTGAATATAAGGAGCTCTTCAACGAGCTGGCAGCAGTCATGTCCGACTTTCCAAATCTGCTTCGGAATTGTACATGGGTATTCGTGCCTGGAGACAATGATCCTTGGGCTTCGGCTTTCAGCGCTGGTGCGAGCACAGTCCTGCCCAAAGAAGCAGTTCCAGATCTCTTCACAAGCCGCGTCAAGCGTGCTTTCGCAAACGCGAAACAGGAGATGGGGGTCAAGAAACCTGACGTGGAAGGCGAAGCTATTTGGACGTCAAACCCGGCAAGACTGAGTCTCTTCGGTGCAGCCCATGAAGTGGTCGTGTTTCGCGATGACATTTCAGCCCGAATGAGGAGGAACGCTATCAGACATGGGCAAGCAATACGTCAACAGGAATCACAACCCGACAGCGGCATTGATGTATCGACGCCGGAAGCTGGCGAGGACTTCACCATGTCTGGAGCTTTGCCCTCGACGGAGAATGACACACAAGAAGACACTCAAATGACCGATGCCATTCCTTTCGAAGATCCGCCAACGCCACTGGAGGTCAGCACTGAGTCTTACGCCACTCAGGAAGCAAAGCGCTTGATCTTGTCACTTCTTCCACAGTCGACGCTATCGCCCTTTCCACTTACTGTCCGTCCTGTGCATTGGGAATACGCGCTTTCAGCATTGAGTCTCTATCCTTTGCCACATACGTTGATAGTGGCAGACGCTGAGGCTCCTGCGTTCGCCTTGACCTACGAAGGCTGTCATGTCATCAATCCCGGTCGCCTTGTTGAAGGTGGAGGTCGCCGCAAGAAGGTACAATGGGTTGAGTACGATGTTCTGACGAAACGAGGAGGTATCAAGGAGACTTGGATGGGTTGAACTATTGTGCTGGTGACAAAAATGATCTAATGAGCAGACCTTCTGGCGTTGTCACATGAAAGTCGCACTTGCCTCTTGTGGGATGATTTGCTGAACCCTGCATACGCTTGGCAACCGTGCAGCTGGAACATGCAGCAAACGGGCAACGGTCTTCAAAACAATCATTCTAGGCGACAAGCACGCATACTGCCATCACACATCATGTTTCCAGATCATCCCCGTTCACAGGACGCGCACAAGATGAAGAAACTCGGCGCTGCATTGCAAGAGGTCAACTCCATATTCGACACGCCTACGCCAGCGACAGAAACGATGGCGCACCAACTTCGAAGTGATGCTGTTACTGGACAAGGCCTTCGCTCTCCTGACTTGCGGCCTCACAATAGCTGTGAGCAGTCACGATCTGAAAACAAACGACAATCGGGCCTGACGCCGACACCATTTATATCGTCGTTGGCGCTCGCCTCTCTGTCTGATCGTGGTGTTGATACGCTTGAATCGGAGTCGAGGGTCAACAGCGGTCATGTCAATGTCGTTCAATCCCCCGACGGCACTCGCACACCTGCTGCAGCTCGTCCACTGCTTCGGCGCAGCACCTCAGATGCTCTGCGAGCCAGTCAGCAGAAGCTTCGCCAGATTCAGGATACATCAGCAGTCACCGAACGTCCAGCAACACCAAATCTGATCTCGCCAACACCGATTCGCCGCTCACGCTCGTCAACGTACACGACTTTTTGCAACGACGAACGTGAGCCTCAAAAAGACAGATCCTCCAGCTATCTTCCACACCCAAGCCATGACCTACTACCACCAAATCCTCAGCACTCACCCTCGGTGCTCGGCCGCCATCAACCAAACCGCCCTCCTCCACCACACCGTACGCCTTCCCATGAGGTCAGACAGCGTGAGAGGGCGCTTCACGCTGAACTCGAGAGCCTGCGTGGTCAACTGAGCACTCACGAGCAACGCCGCGAGCGCGAAATGGTTGCAGTCAATTTCGCGCTCAATCGCATCGTCGAGCAGCAGAACAACCAAATGCACGTGCAACAGATGCTGCTTGAGAAGCTCGCAGGCATGGATCTACAAGCCACGCAAGGCATCCAGGAATATGCTGCTGCACACGAAGCCGATGAAGAGGGACAGCCGCTCGAGGCTGAGCAAGGCGGTTTCCGGAACGAGGAAAGTGGCGTAGGATCGACGGTGAAATGTGAGGAGAAAGAAGCAAGTCAAGCTGAGAAGTGTGTATCCGACGTCGTCACTGCTGAAGTCGAACAGGAGTGGAGCTCAAGGATGTTAGAAGGCTGATCAGGCCACGTCTAAGCATATAGTACGTACTCTCCGCTTCACTCAACCTCCGATACAATGCAAATGCAATCCCTCTTGACTTACTTCCTCCCCATTCCATCTTCAAATAGAACTCTTCCCTTCAGTCTCCACCCTCTCCGATTCTTCGCTCCGTTTCGTGAATTCTTTCGTCTCACAGAAGTTATAAATTTTTTTTTCTTTTTTCCCCTAGGTAATCAATTGACTTTTGAAGAATTTTTTTTTTCAGCTGGAGGGAATTGGAAGATGATATTTTTTTTGGCGAGATTATTTCACGATTTTTGTGGTTCTTTCGACTCGCAGTAGGACCAAGATCTTGTTGCAGTGATGGAGAAGTTCGAATCCTGATTCCATTATGGAGAATTCTTCTCTCGACAGGTACTTCTGTACACAGCTATGGGATGAGCCACCACTTTCGATTCGAAGGCGGTCTAGGTCGCTTGGGGTTACGCTGCTCTTTGGGAGTGATGGGCTTCACCGGTAGATCGACGAGGAAGAGTTTAGCGATGGGGTCTGGCATTGATCTTCTTGTCGCGGTGGACAGCTGTGAGAGGATGGATGAGCAAGGCCGGTGTGCCTATGAGTAAGATTCAACTTATATGGAATGGTGACAGCGGCGAATCACAGCGTGAATCACATGCTTCAACCACAGGGTTCTTGATCTAGATCTGTCAATCTTTGCCTTCCCTTCGACGACAATGGGCAACGCCGAACCACAATGGCCTCTTCGAGTGAAATCAGCGTTAAAAGTTTGAGCGCACATGTCGAGGAGACTTCTCTCACGCTCGCCCAGATGCAGGCTCAGCTTCAACGCTCTCGCGACGCCCTGTCACACACGGACGGCCTACACTCGCCAGATGCCCGTCTGCAGGAGGGTGCGCTCTATCAGCTACAGCAAGTTCTGAAGCATGACATGGAGAAGCGATGTGGTGAGCTTCGAGAAGGAGCACCAATTGGTAGGGTAGCTTTAGCCGACGATCATCTGAGGATGCTTCACGAAGCATACACGGGAGCGGTATCGATGTGGAAAGAAGCGTTGGTCCATGAGCTGGGCCGGGTAGAAGACGAGATGGCAGGGGTGGATTCGATGTTGATGGCGAATGTGGACGATGATGACGATGACGTTGGACGTGCGATGTCAGATGGTGGGGTCGCCGATGACGATGCCGGGAGTGGCATGAAGAGAGATGAAGGCAGTGAATGGTGTTGACCTGGACTAGATCTGGCGAAGATGGAGAGCAGTATCGCGGTCAGCTTCTCGTCTTGGCACTGTGACTCACAACGACCAATATGTCATCACGTTCTCACACTCACACTCACACCGCGCTGACAGACACGGCTCAATATTATTCAGCCATTATTCGCACAAGCGAAGACGGCACAGCTCCAGCTTCGAAGGCATTCGATTATGAGGAATATCAGTACGAGCACACGTTTCCCTTCTGTCCGTGCTGCAGCACTGATTGGCGCACATCGGCATATGATGATCGCGATCGCCACGGAGTTGAAGCATTGGAGCGACTACGGTTGCTATGGGCTGATGAACAGAATTGATGATGTCGGAGTGCGGACATGTGGTGTCACCGAGGCTGTGAGGATACATGGACAGGCAGAGAGAGTGGTGGGTGGCAGTGTGTGGACGACATTATTATTTGAGGGCAAGGTGGTCGCGGGTGGGAAGGTGATCCGTTTGTAGGATGAATTCGACGAGGAACATTTACGTTAGCTTGTTGATGTGATTGTAGGCGATCATAATTATTAGTCTCATGTGTGTCCTGGGTGCAGCCTTGCGATGATGAGACCGGAACTCGGATGTGTTCCCCGTCCAAGGCCAATCTCCATCGTCGTGGAAGGGCAGGGGGAAAATGTGTGCTCTGGTGGCGAAGTGACCTCATCATAGACAGAAGGTCCAGACCGTTCGTGGAGCATGATACAGATACGGAGCAGCAATTAATAATAATATCGAAGTGGAGGAATTTGAGCCGCGCGCGTGACCGGGTTGGGATTGATTAGGGACAGGGAGTCTTTGATGAACGTCACCCGATTGGGAAGGCCTGTCAAATGGTCACGCCGTCACGGTGCTCGAGGCATATGATTATTGTACGATTATGATAGCGGCAAGACAGCGAGCGGAGCGGTGCGGTGAGCGGTGAGCGGTGAGCGGAAGAAAGTGGCTCGCTGAGGAGAGGTGAAGATAAGAGTAGTCCTCCGTACCGGCAGGCTGAGGGGGCGTTGATGGCGTTGCTTGGCAGATGCAGAGAAGACAAGAGCCGAGCGGTTGTGGCGTTCTTCGTTCCACACCCACACAGTGCCACACACTACAGACGATAGATACAGCATGATTGCCCGAGAAGTTGCTCGCGGAAAGCTCGCCATATGTGATGCGATACGCGACGAGTCGTGGCACTAATAAGTACGGTAATAATGAAGACGCACAGCGAGCAACGATTGTGCTGCCATGCTGTTGCTGTTCCTACTTGCACCCTCTCAAGACCTTGCCAAGGTTTGGAGCAATTTCGGAAGCACTCATTTATGCTTTTCCAACTGCCGCATCCGCATCCGCATCTGGCACGGGCACGGGCACATGAGGCTCGGCGGGCGAGGCCCGGGCGCCTCAACTGTATGTATGTAGTATACTTCTAATCAGCACGCTGGCCATCTCACAACCCTCCGCTATTCTACTCCGAATCCAGCATGATATCCTATGTATAAGCTGCGGTGAACACGCGACTGACACCCGCAGGCACGAGTCCTCCGAACATCATCAATGCGCCTGCAGCCCATGAGATTATTATTGAGCGCGGCAACACCACCTCCGCTGCCCTCCATGCCTCCCCATGCCCGCCAGGCCGCACCCACGTCGTGTTGCATTGCAAGCTCTGGAGCATCGAGCATGCCATCGCCATCGCCATCGCCCCTTTCCACCCCGAAGTCGAACATGCATGGCATGGCATGGCATGGCCTCATCAAGCCTCGCTGCATTAGCGCCACGAGAAAGTCCCGTCGTCGCAGCGCCTCCCTGGCCTCAGCCTTGCCAGCAGGCCGAGTGATTGGCCGCAATCCAATTAGACCGGCCGTTCATCTCGAGCCTGTTGCTCGCAATAAGAACATGCTGCCTCCCGTTCGCGAGAAGCTCTCTCCTCCCTCTCAGCATTCGTTCCAGCAGACAACACGACCACACACCGGTGTATACCGCACCGCATTCACTCGCTTAACCCGACGCTCGACGAATCACCCGCGCAACTTCTATTCCCTCACCACCACCACTACCCGCCAAAGTCGTCAACATGCGTTTCGCTGTCGCTGCTTCCCTCGCTGGCCTCTCCGCCGTCGCCGTCGCTGATGGCGGCTGGAGTTACGGTAGCTACAGCCCCCCACCATCCAACAGCTCTACAGGCGTCACCGGCGGCACCACTGCTGCTCCCGTCTTGCCAGGCGCCCAGCCGCCATCCTACACCACCGAGGTCGTCACCCAGTTGACCACTTACTGCCCGCAAGCGACTCAGATCACCCACGGCGGAGTCACCTACACCGTGACCGAGGCCACCACACTCACCATCACCAACTGCCCGTGTACCGTGACAAAGCCAGTCTACTCGTCAGTAGTCACCTCCTGCAGCACATGGTACACAGAACGCCGTGCAAGCCCAGTCGTGTGAACACTGCTGCATATACTGACTATTTCCCAGCAGCACTGCAGTTCCACCATACCCATCAGGCAACGTCACCACCCCAGGCGTGCCCGTGAAGCCAACCGGAACCGGCGCACTCCCGCCACCAGCCGCCACCAGCCCCATCCCTCCAGCCTACACCGGAGCTGCCACCAAGGCCTCGTTCGGTGTCATTCTCGCAGCTGCTGGTTTCATCGCCGCCCTCTAAGCGTCGAGCTTGGAGCGCGGGTGATGAGGATGGGTGGCATGAACGAACAGTCTTGAATGTTGAGCTTGGGAACTCACAGCACGACAACGACAACGACAACAACAACATCGAACGAAAGACGGCATCACGCATTTTGGCTTTGGCTTCCCTCTCCTCCTCCTCCGATTCGACCTTGTAATTCAAGATCTCTCTAATGCACATTTGTCCCAAGAAGGAAGAAGAAGCGCAGAAGAATCTAACGAACAGCTGGGATACGGCGGCAGTGACTTAGGATCTTTTTTTTATCGACGACAACATCCTCCTACTTTGTCTATCTACTACCATTTTTCCTTTCGATATATTGTTGCTAGGTGTTTTTTTCGAAACGACTATCGGCGTCGAGGTGTAGCTTTGTAGATAACCATCCCCGACCATGGCCATACCCCCGACACCTACACTGCTAGCCATGGTTGAGAGAAGAAGAAGAAGAAGAAGAAGATTGTATCTAATACGCGCCGCTAGAAGATCGAGTTTCACCAAGCAACAACCCCCTTCGCTTCTTCATTTGTGCTGCTGCTACTGAATGCCCTTCCTGTCTATATGTTCATCATCCGTCGTCTACGCAATCGACGAATGTTGGACGTCGGCGGGCATGCTGCATGCATTGCATCACAACCAACCACAACACGACCGGACGAGGCTAATCATGATCTGCGACGCAAATGCACTCCACAACAAACACCGGTCGTCGACTTGCTTGTCAATCGTTTGTTTCACTGACGCAAGGAACTCTTGGTCCGTGTGCTCGTGCATTGGCGTCCCGGCCGTTCGACGAGACGACACAAATGCAGGGACACTGATTGAACGTGTAAGTCTCCCCCTCTTATTATTGTGACACTACCTCACATGCGCAACGTTTTCCGAACCTGCATAAATTAACTACTGTATGTCTGCATACATCACACTCTATCTACTAGTAGACCATTTGCTCAATACCAATCCACCACCTCACCCTGCCCTAAAGATTAATTGAATTCAGGCATATGAAGCGACTACACGGCCATGCAGCCACGCGGCCTCATCATGCAAGCAGCAAAGTGTTTCAAGTTTTACAATTTCGTTTCAATAAACTTGATCCCTAATAATAATAATAATAACGATGAGATGAGAGAGTGAATGCTAGCCGGCCAGCCCAGTTACGTATCAGGGATTTGCCAAGTTTCGAGAATTTCTGGGGTTCGCTTCATCAAAGCTTATACTGGCATTGTGGAAGGGTTGATAATAAGAGGAAGGGGGTAGTTTTTTTGATGATGATGATGATGATGTAGTTACGCGTTCGATGTCGAGCGAATGAAGAAGGAACTTAGAAGGGATTTTATTATTATAGCGAGTTAGTTTTACTCCTTCAGGTGCTGTATATGTGAGATACAATGAATTATATTTTGAGGCTCTTCGGAGTGTAGAGGTAACTTAGCTGAATCGCTCTTCTACAGCAATATGAGAAGTGTCTTCCGAAGTCACATGTTGCAGGATACAGTCTTGGTGGTCTTCACATGCTCGGCTGAGAGCGAGCTACTTATGATCCTGACTATGCTCATCTCTGGGAATTGACGCTGCACATTCATTTGCCGCCCAGTCCAGCCCATTCGCAAGAGCAAGAATATGGAGGCCATACAGGATCTTCCCTCAGCATGGCAACCTTGGCCTGGGACGGCAGGCGGCTGGAAGTGGAAGAACGGTCGTGACACGGATCGTGGCAATATGCTACCGATCGTGCGCATTGCTACGCTGCATATGCCGAATTGAATATCATGTCCGTTACGGCAGTGCAAAGCTGCGGAAATACAGTCAAGACAATCAGCGCACTCGGATATTTGCACCTCATCGCCAATATCGGGGACATCTGCCTCGAGAGATCATCGCATGCATGCTTCCCGGGAACCAGCCGCGCGACGAGTCTGCAGGAGCCCGCGCCCAACAGCGACCGGCTTGAATAATATGCCACGTGCAGAACAATGTTGACTCTATCGATGTCGGGCTCGATTGCGGAGAACCATTCTCAGACACCCAATGCCATGTGTGGTATGGATGCTGACCTGCTTTTCGCTTTGACCCGAGTCACGAAGATCCATGGCAACACTACGCTTCGACCACAGGATTGAGAAGATGGAGCAGCGAAGTACAAGGAACAGCGTAGTAGCATGCGCGCCGACTGCTTGTACCCGGTTAAGGACAACATCATGTGCCTTACTACGACTACTTCGGTCAAGCATGGAAAGCAGGCTCAGCAGGATCAATGCTGCATCCAACTCAACGCTATGGGACGCTGACGCACTTATCGTCAAAGTCAATTATTAAGCTTTGCGTAGGTGTAGGAGCGCCGCAGAAGCTGTCGTACGGTACAGCCTCAAATTCCTACGATGTGACCGAGCAAAAGCAAGCTAAGCGCCACCTGTTGATGCTTGACTAAAGCTTGCTGTTCTGGAGGGCCCTATTTCTTTCTATTTTGTGCAGTTCGTTGTATCACAGTTATACGATGCAAAATGGAGCCTTTCGACAATCCAAATCCGTTCGCCAGCGATGGCGCCAGAGATAATAATGGACCTGGAGCCGCTGTCACTGAGAATCACAACACTGGCGACAACGAGTTGCTTTCGCCTGTCTCACCGACAGTCTGTCGGACACAGAGTCAGAACCCACAAACTTTAAATGGCGATGAATTGCTACACCCACCATCACCAACAGAACACCGCCCGTCCAGCGAGGCATCGAAGCCACGCAGTCTGTCGAAGCAAAGGACCAAAAGCGACCACGGCGAGGACAATATGGAGAAGCACCATACCATGGACAAGCTCAAGTCTGCCGCAGAGGACGTCCAAGCAGGTGTTCTTGACAAAGTCAGGACTGTCCGACACAAGCTTCATATGGACAGCATGCATGCCTACGGAGTCATCCGATTCTTAAACCCCACGAACATCCGCATGCGTGTGAGATATCAGAGCGACTCTGATGAGAATGCCAGTAGAGCCGAGGAGCGAGAGCTCATCTGGCGGGCTCGAGACAATCGCAAGGGCAGGAACTCGATAGCAGTGCCGAGACTGGACCTAGACTCAGACGATGGCGACAATTCATTCTTGCCACTGCAGTTTACTCCTCGAATGTCGTCAAACCTCAAGCACATTCGGACCAATCTGTGGACCATGATCTCGACCTTCCCTTATTGGGACATGGCGTTTTGGAGCGGTTGGTCGTATACCATCGGTTCTGCCTTGTTTATCTGTGATGGCGTCCTCGCGTGGTATCCGGTAGCACACGGCGAAGACTCCATGTCCGAGACTGCGAAAAAATATGCTGGCCCACTCAGTTTCTTTTTCGGTGCAATCTTCTATCAAATCGGTGCCGTAGCAGCGTATCTTGAGGCTGTTAATGATGGCAGTTTTCATGGATCCGCTATGCGAAGGCTTCTGCATGGCCATGATGACGACAACAAGAAGCTTCTGGACGAGAAAATCCACAACTTCTTCAGCCATCTAAATCCTGCTCATCGGCATCGTGAGGAGACCTATGCTGCCATTGTTGATCCTGAAGCGGGCTGGAAGACCAAAGAAGCTCGTCATCTTCGCCCCGGTTCAATCTATCCAGATGGCACATCTCCCGCGCCTAGAAGAGGTGCAGTAGACATGGGCCGCGAGGAAGGCGACACGAGCATTTACATGTCTTGGAGATGGTGGCCAACTTGGCACGCTCTCAGGACCCATCATGTCTACGAAATTGGCTACCTGGCTTGTGCCATCCAACTCTTCGGCGTGACTCTATATGGCGTGACTGCGATTGTTGTTCTTCCTGGCATCCTCGACAGCCTCGAGTGGTGGCAAGAATTAGGAGCCTACTGGTATCCTCAAGTCATAGCAGCCGCATGTTTCCTGATCGCCAGTCTCATGTTCATGTTAGAGACCCAAGAGAAGTGGTATAAACCAGAGCCAAAAGTCTTAGGATGGTGGGTCGGTGCCTGGGCAACGGTTGGTAGTGTTGGCTTCGAGCTGATCGCCATATTCGGAATTCTAGCACATACTCGCGGCTGGGCCGAATACCAGAGTGATCTCTCCACCATCTGGGGATCAAGCGCTTATTTCATGTGTAGCGTGCTCCAATGGTACGAAGCCGTCAACAAGAATCCCATTGAGGAACTGTTCAACGAACCCGGCGAGATGAAGAGCTCCCAAGTCCACCCGATTTGATCTGGAGCCTGTTCCTTGCACGTGAAGCGACCGGATCATCATGGCGGACGGCGGACCCACGCAATAATATGATGTTGGTATCTATCTTAAGCGTCTCCTGAAAGATCTGACTATCGACCTGATAATAACGATCTTGTTGTTTCCAATTTGCGGATGCAGGGTTGCGCTGCCAGCCCGTTTGAGCAGGGAGTGCTGAATCAGCCCACACCTCCCAGATCGAAGCATTTTATGGCCGTGTTTATCTGCTACAAGCCTTGTGCCTGAATCGTTTCTTGATTTCGGCACTCATGATTCGTCTGACCGAGCGTAAGCATCAATGATACCAGCAACCTCGTGGATCGCAAGGAATGGGCGGGGATGTATGAGGCCTGGGGTACAAGTCTGGAGATTCCTAGCTGTACCGAACAAGTAATGGGTGGCATTTTCGCAAACAAGATGGAACGACTGTCAACACTTCACTTGACTTGCATGTCACACTCATCCAGATGAGCACCACTGTCGTCGAGATGGTCACAGCAGAACTTCCTGCTCACGGCCTTCCGCCAACCATAAGCAGACCCTCCTGCGCGAACCAATGGCGACACCGATGACTAGGCAGATGGCCCCAAGTCCAAATGGCCAGTGGCTCTGGACCTCGCTGGAGGAGCTACACCATGCCGAATCGAAGGCGAAGTCGCCGACCTTGTCGTTCATGGCGAAATATCCAAGGAGATTGAAGATAACTTTGACCGCGTTATATGCGATCCATGTGTGGCTCCAGATCCGAACAATGTACCCATTGCTGGAGACGGGAATGTGTCAGTCTTTCAGTTTCACAATGGGAGGGTTGATATGAAGACAAAGAATATGTTGAGACCGAGCGATTCAAGTTGCAGAGAAAGGCGAACAATGCCACTTTTTCGTCCTTTCACGCGTCATTTTTGCGTGAGGTGAGTATTGTCGAGGTACCGACTTCGTTCAGCACTGACAGTATGCAGAGCGGCAGTCGATAGCACGGCGAATATCAAGCTTGTATACTGGGCGGGTCTCCTGCTTGCTATGAAAGAAGTTGCTTCTCGGAACAAGATGCTACGATCCCTTCAAGAGCCAGATCACATCGAAGATTTTCACAGCACATCTAAAATACGATCCGATAACGGACGAGCTTGTAGTCTTTGGCTACGAAGCAAAGACACATCGATCGTAATGGAAATTGCGAGAATGGGCTCTGGAGCAACCCAGGGTTCCTACACGGCATGGCCATGACGCCAAATTCGATCACCCTGTTCGTCTGGCCCTTCGAAGCCAACGTCGCTCGAATGAAGAAAGGCGAAAACCACTGAGCCTAGGACTACACGTGAGGCGCAACATTCATATTCATTCCCCAAGACGCTACAAATCCCAACGCAGGCTGGAAACCAAACGAAGTCCGCTCATGCCCATCTCCAGACTCCCAAAGCAGATTTCGTACGCAAGAAGTTCGATCCCACCAAAAAACCCCAATCGCAGCAAAATTGAAGATTTTAAAAAAAAGTTAGTCATCTTGGACTAGTTTCCGAGACTCGGTAAAAGATTCATGACTTTGAAATATGATCTTTTTTTTCTTCCCTTCCTTTCTTTTTGCATGATTGTTTTCGTGCTACAAAGTTCGGATGGTGCGAAGAATATGTATCAGGGTTTGAATGGTTTTGGCGCAATGTTCGAATAAAACGGGAAAGAGGGCACCTACATAGGAGTGAAGATGCTCCCGAAGGAGATGGGTAGGTTATGGCTCTTATTGAAAGAGATGTAGCGAATCCTTACGACGTCGTTGAGAAGCCTGTTGCTGTGGTATAACTGCGTCTGCCTGCATATGATAGTAACTGAGACATTGTCCTTGCGAAGGATTTAGTTGGATATTATCCGAATATCCACAACCGATTCCTGATTTCCAATGTTAGTAGCGGTACGGGAGTTCTAGAACCGACATACATAGTACTCAACAAGAGAAGAAGGCCAGGATGATTTCGGTGCTACGAGGTTGCCATGTTGCATGATCACCGTCAATCTCGATACCTTGTGCATTGTCGCGTGTGAAGTTTATTTCCAAAGGATATAGACGTGATCCCCACAGATCTCCCGTCTCCACAAATCCATCGTTTCTTTCCTTGTCGTCCCTCCCCAGCCTCGAGACTCGTCTTCTCCTGAATTCTTTCTCGGACGGGATTAAATTCGAAAAAATGTTCGGCAATTGAGATCGGCAGAAAAAGAAAGGGCCGGGCCGGCAGAGCCTGGAAGAGAACAGACACAACAGACAGGATGCTGCAGCGAGATCGAATGACTTATTACTCGAGAGGTAAGTTACCAGTAGTCAGCCTGATGAATGCGGCTATACGGTGCGTTCACTAACTCCTTCGTTTCTCATAGAATTTTCACGCGAGTGTCACATATGTCAATTTTGTAAAAGCATCTATTCCAGACGCGATGCTCTCCAACGACACACCATCATCTGTTCCAAACGAGGCTCCAATCCGCTTCCAGATTTCCGCAGGGCTCGGGGTCGAGACCGACATGCTTGCAGCTCTTGTGCTACGAAGAAAATGTCATGCGACGGAGCATCCCCGTGCGGGACGTGTGTTTCACGAGGACTGTGTTGTTTGAGGGCAGGTTCTGATACTAGCTCGACGACTACATCTCCGCCTACAACTGCGGAAGTCACAGATGAAGCTGGAGAAGATCACGCCGACAAAGCTTGCTCCGTGGCGTTCTTGCTTCGTGATAGAGAGGAGGAGCTTTTCCCGCCTGGCTTCAATTTTTCTAGATGTACGCCCAGGTCATCTACGGCATCGAGAGGGCAGGTCGAAGTCTACGTGCCGTCCAAGGGGTGCGGGAATACGAACATGGGTCTCGATTTCGAGTTCCTGGAGAGTCTCCTCAATCCGTCATTCTCCGGCGCGGATGCATGGCCTGGAGGAGATGCGTCACCCTTGGAGACTGGGCTCGATGCTCCTCAGATCCCAAACGGTGATGATGACGACGATATCTATGGCGTTTCCGATAATGAAGACAAGCTGGATGTCATCATCAAGAGCATCCTTTGCGTGCCCAGTGTCACCAGAATGGGTGAAGCAGAGCAGGAGTCGGTGACGGCGCAGCTGAAGCATCTTTTCGCACCCACTTCCACGGCGAAGTTTCTTCGATATTACTTCGATTGCTGGCACCCAAACTGTCGATATGTGCATAAGCCTTCGTTCAGAGTGGATGATACGAATGAGCCTTTGTTGGCGAGTATGGCTCTGCTCGGGGCCATGTACTCCCCTGACGAGGATGAGAGGACGATGGCGAGCGAGATCATGTACCATGCGGAGAAGTATGTCTTCTTCCATGAGCCCTTGTTTGGAGAGCAAAGTGTCGGCAAGTGCAGTGCTGCGGCTCAGCATGGAGATTTCCAGACGATCCAAGCAGGACTTTGCATGCTCATCATACAGTTCTGGACTGGCGATGAAGCTGCGAAACAGAGAGCCATGGCACTTAGATTTGACCAGACCTTCAAGGCTGCGCAAGCGAGTGGCTTATTGGGGGCTAGACAGCAGCTCGACGATCGGCTTTCTGAATCATCTTGGTTGAGAAAAGAGTGTATGATTCGGTAAGCGATTCGATACCTACTACATTACGAAGGAATGCTGACGGATGAGCTGCTAGTACTGCGACATGGATCATACTTCTGGACTGCGCTTTCCTCTTCTACAAAGGTATACCTTTGCGAGTCCCAAGCTCCGAAATTGAAGGCGACTTTCCTTGCGATGAAGCAATATTCGATGCCTCACATCCCTTTACAGAGCCTGAGTTCAACTTCAGACGAACAGTATCGCCTTGCTCGGCATTTCGAGCGCTGTTTTCGAGCGAGCTATCGATGTCATTGACAATGTTGGATACATTCATTCTCGTGCATATGCTGTACCGCTATGCCAATGATCTGCTACAATTAGCTTTGTTTCGTCAAGTGATGACGCCAGTCGCAGGCATGTTAGCGGAGACGGTGAGAGCGCTCGATACATGGCATGAGCACTGGGAAGCACTGAAGGAGGAGGCCGTCAGGCGGCGAGTATGGGGAAAGATGGGCTTCTACAGGAATGGCAACCAGTATGAAGCCGCAACAAGGTTACTTCTGTCCGAGACTGCAAGACCGCATCTGACAACGCTGGTCAAGAGTCATGTGGATCGGCTGGATCTGCTGAAGAGGCTGACGTCGGCGGACTGGCAGGGTTGAGCTGCGTGGCGTGTAATGGAGACGAGAAGCTTTCTTGTGCAAGAAATCGTGCATCGGCGCACTCGATTATGATAGCATTGCGGCAGTAGCAGTGGTACCGAGACCGAAAGATATGCTTACAATCATGTGTGGAAGCACTGGAAGGGATGAGGCATTGGCATTGGTATCCTAGACCTTGAGGGCTGGCATGCTTCTTCGGCGCTTTTGAGGTTTGGGGGTCATCCCGGAACCTGTGCGCTGTGCTGCGGCGACGACATTATTGCCATGCACGAGAGAAGGCAGCGAGCATTGGTGCAGGAGTCTCGAAATCGCACGAGGTGCTCGTAGAATCAGGTTTGGATAATGAGGATGGCTTGGATGTAACGAAATGATGCGAGGGTATAATTAGGGTTGGCGCTAGCGCTCTCCGGTAGTCGGTCCACACGATTTCTTGGCACCGATTTGCAATTTGCTTCGAGACTGCGCTTCAAGACGACTTCTCCTTCCTCACGGTCGAGAACCACACAACCGCCGACAATACAGACAAGATGGGTGTCGTAAGTGCGCACGCGTGGAAGAGCACTGGAGCAGGATATGAGACATCGAGAGGCGCGCATTTGGTGCGGCAACGCGGGTGGTCTTGCGAGATTGGAGACACATTCTTTGGCCTACTCGATATCACCTATGCCGCCCAGCGCTCTCCAGTCGTCTATTGCAAGACATTTCGCTGATATCTCTGTAGGATTTGGACAAGCACCACGTGGTCTCCGGCCACCGCAAGGTACATATACCTGCTATGAGCATCGAGAATGACTGAGTTCTCTGCGAGTCGAACACATATTGACTTATGTGTTTAGGCGCCACACAGCACCAACCCATACCGAAAGTTGTTGCACAAGCTGTACACTTTCCTCAACCGCCGCACAGAGAGCAAGTTCAATGCTACTGTCTTGAGGAGGTACGTAAGAGCAGGCGCGCGCACTGGAGGACATGAAGGCCTCTCAAGATATGAGGAGCAGTGCTAATTCACAATAGACTGCGCATGTCGCGCATCAACACCCCACCTCTCTCCCTCTCCAAGATTGTCGCTGTCTCTGCCAACAAGCACAGCGCCAAGGCTCACGAGGGCAAGATCCGCGCTGTCGTCGGCACTGTCACCGATGACAACCGCCTCCTGGAGGTCCCAAAGCTGAGCATCTGCGCTCTCAAGTTCACCGCTACCGCCCGTGCTCGCATTGAGAAGGCCGGCGGTGAGTGCCTCACCTTCGATCAGCTCGCTCTCCGTGCCCCGACTGGGTCCAACGTCATCCTTCTCCGCGGTCCAAAGAACGCCCGTGAGGCTGTCAAGCACTTCGGCTTCGGCCCACACACCGACAAGAAGCCATACGTCGAGAGCAAGGGACGCAAGTTCGAGCGTGCCCGTGGTCGCAGACGATCGCGTGGTTTCAAGGTCTAAGCGACTCACTCATTTCTGGGTGTGGGCTTCTGACGGGATTATGGCATGGTGCAGGCGCATCTTTTATGATCAGCGGTCCAAAAAGGACATGAAAAGATGCATCCGGTGTTCTATGTGGTTTGGCAAGGGCTGGGAATGCGGCGTTGCACGTCGGCTATGCAGTTCGGGGAATGAAATAGCATCTGACCATCAACTCCCGATGGATCACATCATTTGAGCTCTCGTTCCGTGCCCAATCGTTCCTTCTTGTACTACGAACGTGAACGTGCCGATGACGGGTACCGGGATCTTTCCAGCCCGGATCCGTCGAAGCCCATGCGAGCAAGTGATTATTATTCTGATTAGTTCGTCCGGCAGCACCGGAAGTAACAGGCACATCCTACATTGTTTGTTCTCGCGATCGTCATAGAGCAAAGGCAGTCGGGACAATATAATCGCGCATTCCCCGAGAACGGGTGGGTTTTGGGAGGCAGCTGCCCGAACTTTATTGCTGCAATCTGAGCTCAGTGAGCTGGGCAATTTTTTGACAGACCCTTCCAAGTTCCTGTCCGCCTCACCCTCTGCACAGCTCTGTCTCGCACGTGTCACAAGCTTCCGCCACTACCAGGAGCATGCATTGAATGCAATCGCGCTTTCACGAGGAATTCATTAGCAGCACAGAGACCTGCACTACAGCGAAAGAAGCGGGCAGAATGGCCTCCGACAAAGTAGTTGGAGTTCTTGGCGGCGGCCAGCTGGGACGCATGCTGGTTGAGGCAGCAAACCTGCTCGAGATCAGAGTCAACTTCCTCGATGCCCCCGGATCGAGCGCAAAGCAGGTGGCCAACCACGACGGCCATGTTGATGGCTCTTTCAAGGACCGCAGAGCCATCCAGAAATTGGCCGCCAAGTCCGACGTCGTGACCGTGGAGATCGAGCATGTCGACACAGAAATGCTCGAAGAGATTAGCGAAACGGTCGATGTCCAACCGCACTGGAAAACGCTCCGCATGATCCAAGACAAGTACAATCAGAAGTGGCACCTGAAGAAAAACGGCGTCGCCACCACTGAGAGTCTGTCGCTGGAGGAACCCACCATCCGAGAGCTTGAGCGTGTCAGTGGCGAGCTTGGCCTGCCGCTGATGCTGAAGTCGAGAAGAGATGCATATGATGGCCGAGGAAACTTTGCTATCAAGACCAAGACCGACTTCCGGCCTGCGCTCGAAGCACTAAGCGTCAACAGAGATCTTTATGCTGAGAAATGGGCAAACTTCAAGATGGAGCTGGCCGTCATGGTTGTAAAGACGGCGAATGAGATCTTGGCCTTTCCCACTACCGAGACTGTCCACGAAGACTCAATCTGCAAGCTCACCTACACTCCTGCGCGAGGTGTAGCTCCAGAAGTGAGCAAGAAGGCTCAAGAGCTCGCCAGGCAAGCAGTGGCATGCTTTGAGGGCAAGGGTGTTTTCGGCGTCGAGATGTTTCTGCTCCTCGATGGACAGACTCTGCTCGTCAATGAAATTGCTCCTCGACCCCACAACAGCGGCCACTACACCATCGAAGGCTGTCCAGTCTCTCAGTATGAAGCGCATCTCAGAGCCATCCTTGACCTGCCTCTCCAACAAGAAGACCTGGAGTTGCGAGAGCCAAGCATCATGCTCAACATTCTCGGAGGCGATGAAGAAGACTCGCATCGCAAGATTGCACGAGCAGCTCTGGCGCAAAGAAGAACAAAGCTACACCTCTACGGCAAGGGCAAATCACGGAAAGGTCGCAAGATGGGCCACCTCACGGTCTGCGCGCCTAGCATGTCCCAAGCAGAACGTCTCATCCAGCCCATGATCGATCTCGTAGACGAAGGCAAACCTCAGACACCATCATTCGCCCACTCCCTCTCATCGGCCACCGAATCTTCTTCTCTGACAACGAGAGACGGACCAACACCCGAACAACAGCCCCTCATAGCCGTCATCATGGGCTCCGACTCCGACCTCACCGTCCTCCAACCCGGTCTCGCCATCCTCAACAAATTCGGCATCCCGTACACCACTCGCATCACATCCGCCCACCGAACTCCAACCTGGATGGCACACTTCGCCTCCCAAGCCTCACAAACCAGCATCAAAGTCATCATCGCCGCAGCAGGCGGAGCAGCTCATCTCCCAGGAATGACCGCAGCTTACACTCCTCTCCCCGTCATCGGAGTCCCCGTGAAACCCACCATCGGAGACGGAATGGACAGTCTTCTCAGCATCTGCAACATGCCTCGCGGCGTGCCGGTCGCGACCGTCAGCATCAACAATAGCGTCAACGCCGCACTCTTAGCCTCCAGAATTCTTGGAACCTACGATAACGGAGTTCGACAGGTTGTGGAGAAATACATGGCAGACTCCGAGAAAGAAGTCATTGTGAAGGATGAGAAATTGACGAAGCTTGGTCCTGATGCTTATGCCGAACAGGTCTTGAGTAAGAAATGATCCCTCTTCTTCCTCCTCCTCCCCCTAACCCCATAATCAGAATAGAAGAAGAACAGCAGCAGCAAAAAAAAGACCCCGTAGATTTACTGCAAAGAAAAATCCTGGGTCTACCTACCAACCTACCCACCTCTCATCCCCCCAAAAAAACATTCTATTCCCACTACTATGCTACTACTACTCCTACCATGATTAAAAAACATATTCTAAAATAAACATAAAAAATCCAGACCACGACTGTCCCCCCACCATCATCCAAACCAACCACGTCGCACCCAGCAAACACGTCCGGGGCTCCAAGACCTCAACACCCACCCCCAACTCGACAACCGAATACATCAACTACCCCCAACGTCGACCTTCGAGCGCAGTTTCAAGGCTTTCGCGACCACTATCCATGTTCAGTCGCAAGGAGAGTCTGGATGGAAGGGAATCGCACTCGAGTCATGGTGGTGGAAGTGGGATATATACTCCTGAAAGGTGAAATGAAACTGGAGATACCTTTTGGGGAGAAGGTTGAAGCTGACGTGATGAGAGGTGAAAAGGATCGTGTGATGTGATTGAGGATGTGATGAGCATGTCTTGGTTGTCTTGGAATGCGGGCGGCTGAATGCTACCCACATGGGCTAGAGATTCGGGTCAGGCCAGGCTAAGTTTATTTTGTGTTGGTGGGTTCATTCGGGCTGGTAGAAAGGGGGTGGTATGGTGTGGGTATGGGTAGTAGATGGTAGGGCAGTATCGGTATTCATCATTGGGAATTGGCTGAAGAGCCTTGCTTGTATTTTGCACCAGTCAATCTATCCTAGTAGATGATGACGTATCGTAAGTTGCGTAAGAAGCAGCGTGGTTGTTGTTGTTCGTGGTATCATGCTAGCTGACGAGTAAAGAAAAAAAACTGGTACATGTAGTAGTGCAAACATGCTCGCTGAATGTTTGATAAGCCGAGAGTCTGTATTCGTCTCTCACTCTAGATCCGATAGGTAGCTCTTTGCAATGAGGTGGTCCTCAGGCGCTTTGTTGCTGGGCGCCTTCCTGTTGAAAAGTAGGAGGTGGCTTCGTGAAGTTCCGATTGCATCGTGATGCATTGCTCTCTCGTCTGTGTACATGATATTGAGGCCGTTCCGACCAGCAGGGTTCCGGACGACGCGTGCGATAAGCCGTGCGATATGATGGTCTTGGTCGATGTCGGAAGACGCGGTTAGACCTCGCCCCAGCCGCCGAGTGCAGCAGATATGGCAGGTCCGCTACCGCTTCCGACGCTGTTGTTACCGATGTCCCAGTAATGGCGCGACGATGCACTTCTAGTGTGGCGACTGCGTTTCGTGCTTTCACTCGCACAGCTTTGACTGCCAGCGCGCTTGCGTTGAAGCACTTGACGCTTCAACAGGCTTTCTCGTCTTCTGGCAGTTGCAGCGCTGGCCCGTGCACGCTCCATAGCTCTTTCCGCGGCTTTGGACACAAGAGGATGCTGTTGCCGAATGATCTCTTGTCGACGCTGGCTTTCTGGCGACGTGCCCATCGCAGACTGTGAGGCGCCGACGGTCGCCCATGATGCGGGAAGTGGCCCGATTGATTCCTCAGCAGTCGGATTGTTGTCGGTCTGTGTGCCACGGGAGAATCGATTCTTCAGGTACTTGAAGATCATCTTCACGTCCACATCGCGCTCCCAATATTCTCGCTCTTTGCGAAGCCTGTCATGGTCTTCGTCGTCCGTCAGATTGTCGGGCTCCTCTTCAATGCCCCATAGCGATGTATCGGCTGGATCGGTTGCCGCCGTCAGTGGCGAAAGTGGTACAGTAGGAGAGAAAGCTTCTTCGATGGGACCGCCTCGTAGGCCTGCCTTTTCTTCTCGTCTTCGCTGACGTAGAGATGGTTGGCGTGGGATGCTTCGTGGTAGCCCCGCGTACTCAAGCTGTTGCTCTTGAGCATTCTTGTATGTGTTGAATGCAGATCCATCATATTCTGAAAGCTGGTGAACGAGAATCCCGAGTTCGCGTGCTATGCGGTCAAGAAGCTTGATTTCCCACGCCGGCTCGGAGTCGTGGAATGCCACACGCGAATCGTGCAGCGCAGCAGCAGCAGCCATGGGTGATTTCTCGGTCGGTGTTGGTGAGGGGTCGACCAGTTGCTCTCCGAAGATGACAGATAGCGTGGCGTCGTCCAATCCTATCAAGTCCTGAATCACCTTTCTCGTGATCCGTCTCCACCACGACTCGCTTGGTTGTTCAACGTGTGCAGCTTCTGATTCTTCAAGGATCACAGAGTCGCTGCGCGTCAAGGTTCGCGATAGTGCTTGCTCGTGTAGGCTTCGTCGCACGTCCATGGCGCTGGTGGCATTGCTCATTCTGCTCATTCGTCTCCGCTGTCGTTGTGTTTCGCGTTCGATCTCATCCAAAACTGCTCTACTCTGGTCTAGTCGCCACTTCTCTATTCGTTCGACGCGCTCGTCTTCTGGGCTGATTTCGTCCTCCTCCTGCAGCTCATCTAGTCTTCGCTGTACACTACTTCGTCGTCTCGCATGTCTGGTGGTCCTTCGATGTGGGTTGTGTCGCTCAAACTGCCACAAGTGTTCTTGTAATGATGTACCTGATGGGAAGGTGCCAAAGCCATCGTGCGTCGGTAAGACGGTTCCGCCACTCTGATCCAGGTTGGCAGGAGAGGGCTGAAACGGGTGATGAAAGGCATGAAGGCCATCGTCCAAGCTGTCGAGCTCAGCGTTCTCGTCCTCAATCTCGGTGCCCAGACAAGTGCCGCTGTCGTCCGGGTTATCATGCGATCTTACATGTGTCTCGAGGGAGGCGATGTCGGAAAGAGTGCGGCGGGTTGCAGTGCGAGGAGTTCTTGAGGTTTGCGACGCGCTTTGTTGGTCGGACTGTGGTGTGAAGAGGATCCATTCGTGTGATTCTTCGGCAGTTGGTCGTGTTGCAGGCGATATCGGGGCGGCGATGTGTTTGGGCGTTGGATCAATTGAGAGTGGTCGCGCAGGACGTGGTCGCTGCTGTGGCTGTTGGAAGGCCATGACGCTGCGAGCTGATAAGGCCGATAAGGGCCAGCCACGACGATGTTGTCGTCGCTAATGACGGTGGCAATGGCAGTGAGGCTGCTGGATGTTGGGCAGTAGTAGTGAGGTGTATAGCAGTCACGCGCCGCTCAGCCGGAAAGAGTAGCGCAGTGCATGCGTGCTTTGGAGCTTGTCGAGCGTGCTCGGGACTGGAGAGCTCAATAATTGATCGGCGCCAGGGACAAGATGACAGTGGCAGTATCCAGGAACAGTGCCGGATTCAAGTGGTGTAGAAAAGGAGGGTATGCGAGCAGACTGGCACGAGGATAGGAGTCCGGTATGCGGTATGGGTATGGACGCGGCGCGATCAGATGACTGTAGCAGAAGCACGAATACACTGTACTACTACTATAGCATTTATACGTAGCTCGAGCCAGGTTCTCGATGCACCTGCCACCAGGAGAGCTTCTTGAGTTCAGTTCCGCGAGTAGAGAGTCGATCCGGGATCCAGCGAATCGTCGACAGTTCCGCGCTCCGTGAAACTTGTGTGTAGCTTTTGTGATTCAAACAAAGAAATGCAAGACGCGGCCGGCGAAGAGAGTAGTGTGCAGAAAGGGAGAAGAGTCATCGTCATCACCCTTATCATCCTCATCGTCTACCTAGTATCTATCATACTGCTAGTACGGTATGTCGTATTTTCCACTTCCACGTCCAATCTCAGCCTCGATAAGCACTTAGCTACATGTACCCTACCGTACTGCTACCTCCTCGCTGTTTATTCGCGTCTTGAGCAACTGTTTCCTGGCTGATAGATAAGCACACTGCCAGCTTCTCGTTCTATCGATGACGTTTACAGTTGAACCTCGCGAATACACGCCGCTGTCGCTGCCAGAGACATCATTTTGTACTGACTATACCGCGGGTTATCACAGGCCAAATACCGGCCTGTACGGAACCGCCATCGCCATCGCCATCGCCATTCTGCCCTCGGCCACCAATCTCGCCGTGTGCTATCGCGTCTTTGCCTGACAAGCCCAACCTTGCCCTGAAGCTGAGGAACAGGATTTGATTCAACCTCGCATTCCTTTCACTCTCATAATAGCATTTTCTCGTCTGTAGCCTGAAAAGGCCAACTGCGACCCATCATGAAACCCGATGTCGTGCCACCGCAGTGACCACACCTCGAAAGCGTGGCCTGAGAACTCTCATTCTTCGAGAAAGGTGTTCGAAACGAGCCCCTGTTTCGCACGCTTCGCTTCTCTCACCGAACGCACGCCGTGCATCAGGAGTCACGAACCTGCATACTGTAGCTGCTTCTGCGGAAAGCCGTGCGTCATCGTGCCGCTCCATCAGCACCACCTAACTCCATGAATGGAACGACCTTATCAGACTGCCGACCACCACATCAGCGATATCAATGTCGCTAGTTCAATGCAGTTGAGATGCGAAACTTCTGTTCCGCCACGGCCCGCCATGCTACTTCTTTACGCTCCTCCTGACCTTGGCTCGTGACTGCACACTCATCCACGTGAGACTTCAGACGCCAACAACCTCAATACCCACTTTTACAAACACTTCATCTGCCATCGCCACGTCATGATGCAAGTCCACGAGACCATGACTGAAGAGTGACTTCACAGATCCATACCGTCCACGAGCATACCAGGATGACCTTACCTCAAATATTTTCCTCAATCCGGGATCCGAAGTCCTACCAAGCTATCGGCGAATGACACAAGCTATCGGTACGGTACCGCAAAACTTGTACAGCGTCGTCTGAAGACTCTGATTCTTCCCCATTCTGCCCGAGCAAGGGTTTAGCAGACTTTTCATTCATTGTCACGCACTGGACGCTCATCACGAGCGCAGCCTCAGAAACTTCGCAGGTCTGCTCTGTAAGACTGTCAGCTCGCAATGAACACAGCTTCAAAGTTGACATTTCACATCAAGATAGACGACAGATAACACAAAACGCACGAAAGCATCAATTACAAGTCTTCCCTATCACCACCCAGGAAACGTACAAAAAAACTTCGTCCCAACATAATCCCCCTCATCATCCTTCATCTCCTCAACCTGACAATACTTCCCACTCTGACTCCCACTCTCAATCCAAGACCACCTCCCATACCCCTTCGCATCACTCTTAAAAACAAACCAATCCAACGTCCCATCATCCGGACTCCCATAAACAAACTCCAACTCCGTCGTACACCCCGCTCCATCCACCCTCCTAACCTTCAACTCCTGCGGCAAGTCCCCTTTCAAAGAAACCTCCCCACCAACCCCAACTCGTCTCGAATCCGCACGATCAAGATCTTGATAATCTCCATCAACATACGTCTGCGCACTAGCTTTCAAAAAATCCCCATCATCGCCCGTCACTTCCACAGTGACGAAGTAAGCTTTGATATCGTCCTTCTCCCCATCGATTCGGTATTTGTTGTGGGAATTGGCGTCGTAGGGCCATTCGAGGGTTCCGACTTGCAACTGACGAGTGGAGGTTTGTACGAGGGCGGACATGTGGAATTGTCGGCCGTCGTTTTGGCAGGAATTGTAGGATGGTGGTGTGCAGTAGGAGAGGAGATCGGTCTTGGCTTTGACGTCGTCGGCGTTGGTGTCGTCGAATTCCGACATGTCGAATTCGACGTGGAAGGTGTCGCCTGTGACGAATCTGGAGGTTCCGAGGCCTGTGCGACATATGTGTTGTGTTAGTACGAGGTTCAGGTTCCGGATGATTATTTTTGACGCTTCTTACGTTTGCTTTCGTATTTTTTTCCTGCTTTGTAATGGCCTGCTCCGTCGCGAAAATTGACCCATTGTTTCGAACCTTTGGAATTATCTTCGGCAGTGATGCAGCGGAGAGAGTGCTGAGGCGGGTTGGCAGTAGGGTCGAAAGGATCATTCTTGAAGTCAGCCATAGGCCACTCGTCAGTCTGCAGCTGTCTCTGGGAGTCCTTGGTTGGCTTTTGTCGGCTCCATGGATACATATCCCAGAAGCGCTGTCCGAAAGGCCAAGCTGCGCATGGCGTGCCACGGGTCACAGTCGTGCCGGCTTGAACCCGATTTTCATCGTTGTTGGAGGAGGAGTCGTATGTGTAGGTTACGGCAGTAGTCGAGCCTTGAGCACCTCTCACACAGTTCTGGTACCAGCATGCATTCTGACATGCTTCTCTGGCTTTCTTGCAGTTCATCATCATGGTTCCGCGAAAGGCTGCTCGTTTGGTCAGTGATCGCTTGACCAAGGTCTGTCCATTCGCCTCTCCATAGGGAACATAAGCGCTGAACTCGTCGTGAACCTCATCGGGATCGGCTCTGAGGAAGGAGGGTGGTTCGGGTTCACCATCGTCCTCGTTCGTATGGGTGGAACTGATGATGTCTTTCGTTGGTCTGTCGTCGGGACTCTCAATAATCTCTGATATGTTTGGCGGCCGGAAGTGGTCCAGGGGCACGGCAGATGGCTGTGGTATGAGCGTCGCGATGGGTTGTGGTCTTCCAACCAAAACCGCTTTGAGCGCGTCTTGGGCGAAAGTTGGAATCGCCAAAGAAGAGAGTGCAAGCAACATGAAAGTCATCTTGAATAGAAAAGGTGGAGGGCTTGACTGTGAATGCTGATTTGGCTTACCCATAGACACGAACATTGGCCCTTTATCATCTATACATGACTGCGGCTTCATGGGCCTCTCGGACTCTCAAAATACCATACTGATACCCTTGCACGATGGTGTCTCCAGACTTGGACTGTGGATACCAGCGTGTCACCAACATCTCGAGATGAGAGGCCAAGATGAGTGGGTGCCAAGGCTATGCTCGTTTCTGGTGCATGCCGAACGACATAGTGCGAAGGTGAGACCATCGTTCAATTTTGCCGCCCGTGCTTGCGATCGATGTGAGAGGAAGAGTAGAGCGAGGGATTTGGTCGGAGATTATTTTAGGTTTGCACTGCCCGAGCCGTCTCCCGGTGGTCTGTGCACTCAAGATCGTATCGGGCCAGCTTCGATCCACTTTCTGTGAAACAACCAGGCTATTTCGAGATCTTCAGCATGTCGTCCGAAAGCTCTCGACCGATGAGGGTGTCTCCGCATCCTCACACTGTCCACGATGATGGCCAGCAGCGAAGAGAGCGCCACTCAACGGCTCGACGATGACACGCGCGTGGACGTATACGCCTTGTTTGTCCTGGACGCAGCTGTTCCTCATTCGGTGAGCAGCTCTGCATTGTCGAAGATGCTGACGCTCACGAATGACATAGATGATCGAAGAGGTGCTCGCAAAGAATGAGGATGATGAAGACTACTATCTCTGGTTGGCCGACAGCTACGACAAACTGCCCGACATCGACGACGACACGCGTACTACCGCCACCGAGCCGCCCCTTGATCCTGCGTGGCGATCACCTTTCATCGGCAAGAGCATGGAAGATGCTGCAGCATTTGTCGAGAATGCTCCCAAACCGCTGTGCAGGCTCTTTTTCGCGGTCCTGGAGAAGGATCGTTACGAAAAGGATGACAAGATCACCATCTGCAAGATCGTGAATGGAGAGGTGCAGGCAATTCCGTGTACCACCGAAGACGTGGCAAACTATCTACTCGGCCATGATCGCGACACATGGGATGAGAGCTTCAGACGATGGCGCGAGGAATGTGTAGGTCTTTGAGTATCTGCACAAAGAAGCCAGAGCAAACATCTCCCTCATGCCGCGAGATCTGCTACTTTGTCCCTCATCTCTGAATTGAATCGGAGCTCTATTGTATGATCTGGCAAGAGCAAATCTCCCTCCGTCCTCTCTAAATCTGGCCAGTCTACATGTGACAAAGCTGAAATCTTCCCACAGAAAAGCCGGCTCAGCCGCAGCAGTGGTCAAAGTGCTCAAGAGAGTGGGTCCCTACCCGACTATGGCTGCTTGTGAAACTCGGAGCATGGCTTAGCAGTGCACCTCAATGTCACCCAGTATAGACATGGGAACACCAACAGGATCTCCATCTGCTTTCGTATTGCAATATCGAGACAGTGGAGAAGAGAGCAGGTTGCTCTTTTGACAATGCCTCAATAACAGCACAGCGGGCTATGGGCTGTGCGAAGCTATTCGGGACAGCATTGTCCCCGGCCTAGAGGTCCCGGGGTTGAGAATTATCAAGACCGTGCAAAGTATTTATGCTCGGCCGAGACCATCATTGAATGCTGTATCCATCACCAACATCCTCGCGTTTCAGAAGCTTCGTCATGCATAGACAGACTCTTCTGGTTGCCGCTTTTGCAAGCAAGGCACTCTGCCAACTCTATCCCATCAGCAACACGACGACCATTGCAGGCACCGGATATGGATCTGGAATTGTGTCGACGTCTACCAGTATAACCAGCAGTGCAGGCGACGCTACCCAGTCGAGATCGACTCCTCTGATGTCTAGTTCATCGACCTCATCGACCTCTTCTACTACGTCTGGTTCTAGCAGCACCAGCACAAGTAGTTCAGTTTCGTCCACACGATATACCAGCTCTACCACTTCCGCGGGTCTTACGCCGACCAACAGGAACACCATGCCTTTGGGTACTGGAACAACCACTTCAAGCCAGGGTCTTTCGAACTCGTTCAATCTGTCGAGCGTCTCGACAACCAGCAGCAGCAGCTCTGCCACGCTACCAGCAGACAATAGTGCTAGTTTTACGAGCCTTACAAGTTCCGAAAGCAGCACGACATTGCTAGGTGGAGTGATCAGCAACATCCCTGCGACTACCAGCAGTGCATCGACTAGTGGATCCGTTACATCGACTATGACAACCCTTCCAACCGGTGTCTCCACGGACATCATACATCCGACAGGCATTACTACAAACACTTGGATTACGACGACGAAAGACAGCAGTACCACTATTGTGCCTGTAATCTGGTGCACAAGCTGCGCTCCAAATGGCGGCGATGGGCTCGTTGTCATTTGGGACTTCCCGCCGGTGTCTGGAGTCGACTTCAACTGGGGTTCCATCTTTCCCGGATTACCTACCTTCAATCTACCATGCATCAGAATCTTCGGCATCCAGGTCGCTGGAGATTGTGCCAACCCTGACTCCGAGAAAGACGACAACAATGATGATAATGACGATGACAATCAATCATCGAAGACTGGTAGTGAGACCAGCACTACTTCCACCAGCACTTCTACCCAATCCTGTACTCAATCGACGACTGCAAGCGACTGCCGAGTCGGCTGTTCCGTCTCCTACACTTCAACAGCCAGCAGTCTTTCCAGCACAACGGTTTGCTACACCACTTCGTGCTATCAGACTGTAGGATGTAGCCTGCGACCGTCAACTTCCTCGACCATCTCCACACCCTCTTCGACCGCTTCTGCTTGCGCTCTCATCGCCACGGCCAACGACTATGATGCTTGGGCAACGTACAGCTCATTGGGTCTCGCAATCCCAGCATGGATGGATGGCGCTACCGTTCCTCTGCCCACAGACATCGATAGCGACGATGACACGGGAGCAACGACCACGGGAGAAAATTCGAATGCCACCATATCGACCAGTCTAGCTAACTCAACAACGGCTCCCGTAACCACGACGCAAGCGGCCAACTCACCATCGTCCATCGCCTCAACTTCTATCACATCCACACAATCCTCAACCTCCACAATCACATCGACCCCCTCCTCAACCACAGGACTCTACGGATGCAATTACTACCTCGACTTCTCCAATTCAATGACAAAAACTTCATGCCTTTGCGGAAGTATTCAAGTCGCACCTGAAACGGTAACGAGTTCTGGAACTGCTTACCTCCAGTGCTCAGCCTCAGGAGTTGCCCTATCGACAGTCTACACGATAACTACTATGACGACTGCATCATCAGATGAAGCTATGCCAACCCTCACCGGCACGGCACAAGAGACGACGCCATCAGGAAGTACTTGTGCCAGCACTGCCACTTCGACGGTATGCAATGGATCAGGAGGCAGGGAAGCATGCGTTACGACTTCTTCGTGTGCTTCGTGGGAAGCAACGGCGACGACCAGCACATCGACATCGACGACGAGCGAAGCTCCAGCGCCAACAAAGACACCAGTGCTCTGCGAAACTTGGGCCGAATGTCCCGAATGTACGGAAGAAGGCAGCACGAGGATCTGTATTGGTGCAAATGGACAAGCGATGCATTGTGGATGCACGGGATAGGATATACATGTGATATCTTCGGGAAAGAAAACAAAACCTATTTCGTACAATTGTTCCACCTCCCTCCTCTATCTGTAATTTCTTTTACATACCTACCTAATGTCCTCCCTCTGTCTAGGCAAGTGCCTACATATTCGTCCCCCCTTGTCTTACCAGCGTGTCGAATTGCAGTTCAGAGATCCGCCAGTGCCATTTGATGTGATCAGACATTTTGTGTTGAGTTCGATCTCGGCGCTGCTATAAGGTGCTACCTAGTAGGTGGGTGACTTGCAATGTACCCTACCCTATTCCACTAGCAGATAAAAACACAGCACCTCTCTTTGCTTTCCTTGTGCCAGCCAAAATCTGGAATCATCGTCTAAAATCATGGTCATTGGTCACACTTCTCCAGTTTGCTGCACTCTATCCACTTTACGACCTGCCACAAAGCGTGTGCGATGGAAAAGGGGAAGTGCGTGCGGAATGCAAATCTGCGCGGACATTGGAGCATCTATCGTATTGACCGTCGAGAACTACCATCTAGGTAGTAAAGGCTGGGAATTCTGAACCTAATAAGTTGGCCATCTCAGCATCAACAAGTGGTGTCACAGCTTCCTCCTGCGGTTGGAAGCGTCACGAATCATCATCACATCATCCTTTGTTGAATTTGATGGCTATTCCAAGTTCCGAATTCACACGTAGTCCGTTAATCGCGCCGTTCTGATCGCGCGTAAATGGTACCAAGAAGTATTCCGCAGATGCGGCGGCGTAGCCTTGCTTCAAACACGCATCGTAGCTGTCCGGAAGAAAGCAGAAGACATCGTCGTGATAGTGCCACAGCTTCCAAACCTGATCGTCTTGTCGGCATATCATCATCAACAGGCCACCCTTATTCACTGGATCGAAAGACACCTCCACGGTCGCTTTGTCGAGATTTTCCATGATGTATTCGCCAACCAAGTCGTTGAGATTTGGTGAAGGTGTGTCTGGCTTGCGATGTCGCTCGAGTGGAGATTTGTAAACGTCGTCGTAGATGGCAAGGTACCGTTTTGCGCTCGAGGATGCAATGCTAAGGAAGTCGGTTGCTGGGCTCAAGTTCAGCATCGACTGTAGCAAGTCCTGCGCAATCCAGTCGGTAGCATCCGAAAGCCCGGTTCCGTGTGGTCTCCAAAATCTGCCGCATGAGCGGAACCTTGCCTCGCAACAGGGCTTCCGTGCTGCGGCAGGGAGACTGAGGGAGGAGCTGTCGGTGTGGGTGAAGTGCTGAGGCGTCAGAATAGTTACCATACCTTCCTTATTCTACCTGATTTCACGCCAGGGATTCCTGCAGGCGCCCCGCCCCGCCCCGCCCCGCCCCGCCCCGCCCCGCCCCGCTGGTGAGGCTGCGATACATGTTTGCCTTACTCAGGTGCCTCCTTCTACTGACACAGTACATCGCAGACGTTCCAATGCTATTGCTGGCCGTGCGCCGCGTTTGTTGTTTCGCTACGCTGCCAGCCGTGGCCATGCTCATGCTCATGCTAATGCTATCCCTCTCCCTCTATCTCGCCATCTTCTGGCTTCCGTGGACTGCCACACAAGGCCTGCTGCTCCAGCCAGACGCGCCGGCGCCGACGAAAGACCAGCTCAACTTAGATGGCGTTCCTTGTGCTTCGGTCGCGATTCTTGACCACGGCAAAGTCACAAGCAGCGTGATATCGAATGGACCAGAAGATGCAGATACCATCTTTCAAGCATGCAGCATCTCCAAATCAATCACCTCCCTCGCGGTGGCAGTCTTGGTCGACGCAGGCACCATCACTTACCACACGACGGTGAAGCCTCGCTTGCCATCCCACATCATCAACTGCATCATTGAGCCCGCAACTGAACACCTCCTGCATCTGTCCAAGAATCTCTGCACTCCGAGACAGGCTTTCTCACTCCACACACCGCACGCGTGATGCTGACGCACACGCCGCAAGCTGCGAACGGCACGAACTACGCCCTAGGTTGGTTCAGCGATGACCATGTCTTTGGACATTCAGGAAGCAACGACCCCGGCTTTCGAACATATTACTTCGGAACCCATGGTGGCACCGTCAACTCCGACATAATTTCATCCGGTCACATTACCAATAAGTATGGCTTCTCGGTCATGACTAACTCGGCATACGGGGAAGAAGTAATCGAGAAGATCGTGGCTGCTCTCTATCATCTTAAGGCTTGGCCCAGGTTGGACTCTTACCCGTCCAATTTTGGAGCGAGGCAAATAATACCCTACAAGGCACACGGGGATGCCGATATTGACCAACAGTGGCGGGAGTGGGTTGGTAGATGGGACGAACGGTGGCTCATTGCTGACATCGGTGGGCCTGCACTGGGACTTGATGCACTGAAGCCCATGCCGCTGATCCCTGCTGCCGCGCCATTGAGACAGTTCAACGACGGAAGGCGAGAATTCATGTTCGTTGCACAAGGTTTGCAGACGTCCGTGAGACTTACTTGGCAAGGTCAGCGGAAGGTTATCGAGCTGTTGGAACAGGAGAAACTGGTGGTCATGCAGAGACGAAAAACAGAATGATTTTGGCTGTTGTAGAAGCATCGACAGGTGGACATTCATCAGGTGTCAGGAAAGCTTTGACAAGCTTCCTGCGACTTCCGACGCCAGAAGAGTGCGAGGCCGACTGGAGAAGGTGATCAGACGCGTGGAACGCGTTGCGACTGCCCTTGACATTCTTTGTCAAGGCAGTTCATCGCGAAGCTGACCTTGCCCACATCCTTCAATCCCAGCACCTTGGTGCTTCGCGCCACTCGGAGCTTCTGACGATGCAAGCAAACCTCATGGAAGCCGTGAGGAAATCTGCCCCGCTTCCAGCGCCTCCCAGACACCGATTCAATGTTCCATACCAAAGGAATCTTGCTTTTTGGGCTCGCCACAGCGAGATTGACCACATACAGGCCAGCTTGCGACCTGACACAGCGGCAAACCAAGGCAAAATGAGGACCGTGGCAATATACGGCCTAGGTGGCGTCGGAAAGACGCAAATTGGGCTGGAATATGCGCATCGCTATAGGTCGCTATACCAAGCTTGTTTTTGGATCACCTGCGACACGGTAGTGAAGACCACGCAAGGAATTGTCGAGATTGCCCGGCTTCTCGACCTTCAAGGATTCGATCTTGTCCAGACTCATGCCTTGGCCGCTGTCAAGAACTGGCTGTGCACCTGTGGTACGTGTCAAGACTCCATCTTTCTCCAGTATCGCTTCTAAAAACCCACCTGCAGATGAAAAGTGGCTTGTAATCTTCGACAATGCTGGAAATCCGGACGACATTGCTGAACTTTGGCCATCGTCTTCGGAAGGATCAATACTGTTGACTAGTCAAAACTCGCACTGGAAAGTGCAGGAAAACCTCGGATTTGCTCTGCGAGTCAACTCACTTTCACCTTCAGACGGAGCCACGATGCTGCACAACATCATGATTAAACAAGGGAAAACGATCACTCTAGAGTCCGCTGCTGCTATCGTCAATGAAGTCGATGAACTGCCTTTGGCAATTCGACAAATCGGTTCGTATATGAGTACTACTAACATGGAACCACAAATATTCCTCGACAATTATCAGTATAGGCGCACGGCCTCTCATGTAGACGCCTGGGACGAGAGTTGTCCACCGAGTTATACCCTCACATTGGCGACGGTTTGGAAATTCGCATTCGATAGGCTATCGCCTAATGCTGCACTTCTTGCACAGGTGCTCAGTTTTCTGGATCCGGATCATGTGCCAGAATCACTATTCGTTGCTTTAGAGAATGATGGTTCATAGCTCAGTGATCCATTCAGGTAAGAGTATTGGTAACGTGGTTCACTTCTTCCATTTTTGATTGATGCATAGATATCAACGCGCGGTCAACGACCTCCTTCGATTCTCTTTGATTCACCGCACAAGCGTCAACAATTCGTCGGCACTCTGCATTCATCGCCAGGTCGCAAAGCATGCTCGCACCAGTATGAATGCCTTAGACCTACAGTCGGCTTTCGACTGGACACTGCATGCATTAAGAGAAAAATTTCCGCGCCAATCGCCGTTTGCCGAGCCCCTTAGCAGCGCTTGGTCTCGATGTGAACTATGGATCTCACATGTAATGGCACTTACCGAGGTCGCATTCAGTCCTGGGGTCCATCTTGAGCTACCCGAGCTTCTCGCGCAATTGCTCCAAGACGGAGCAATCTATCTGTGGGAGAGAGGCTTGTTGGATGATGGTCGAACGCTGGGACTTTATGCCAAAGAAATTTGTGAAGCCCGAGCACCGGGTCAAGTGGATCAGCTCCTGCTTGCAGACGTGTACTCTTTCTACGCGTGCATTTTGCATGATTCGGGTGAAATTGAAACAGCTTGTCAATATTTTGAGGCACAAGTTGGGAATCGCAGACAAAATCTGCTTCGCTCCACCCAGGATGGAACACCCTCAACGATGACCGAAGAAATACAACTGGCCAACGCCTACAACAATCTGGCCGGGATATATTGTGCGCAGGAAAGGTATTCTGATGCTGAGCTTCATAATCGTCTGTCGTTGGCCATGAAAAAGCGTTGGGAGCACCGTGGCGGGCTGGAATATCTTTTGAGCCTCTCGTATACCAATTTGGCGATCGTCCACGGTCAGCAACGGAACTACGACGAAGCTGCAAAGGATTTCGAGAAAGCCTTGGCTATCGGAGATGGTATCGCCTATACTCCGAGACGAGCTCTCTTGTACCATAATTTCGGATGTATGAGGCTTGATCAAGGGCAATGGAGAGTTGCTTGTGACCTATTCGCAGAGGCCTATCAATTGCGCTCAGCCACGCTTTACGACCATTACGACACTGCGAGCTCTTTACACATGCTGGCATCTTGCTATCATGGCTTGAACGACCTGATCAATTCGAGGTAAGCCGGACACAATGCACAACACGTCGATGACTGAATGATCCAGGGATCTTCTCTTCGAGGCTTTGCGAGTTCTCAAAACAACGAGTCGAGACTCTAGCGCTGATAGGTGCCGCATCGCACGAACCAAATTTAAGCTGTCACTGGTACTTCGCGATCTTGGAGATCCACGTGCTCCGGTGTTCAAAAAAGAAGCACAGGAACTGAAGCTTCGGGAGGCTGGATCAGCAAGCGATCCGGAACTTGAGGAGTCATACGATGCTTTAGTCGCGTATATCTAACGAGTCATCTATGACGGACATGTTCTTGGCTACTGCGCAGCCATGGAATCAATCAGCATCCGTGTAAGTATAACTGCCCGGCTACCTCGCCTATGTGAACCTTTCCCTCCACGTGACGATAGGTGACGCCGGCTACATACATAAGGCCTGACGTTCCACTGCATGATGCAAACCGCAGACGCTGTACAAATCGAACCCCGACCTTCCGTGATCCCACTCAATTTACTCCATGCCCTGCGGAAGCACGATGAACTGGTGAAGGAATGAAGGAGGCCACGTTGTGTACTACTGAGTCAGGACGGAAGTTTATGGTCATACTCCACGCAGAGATTGAGTATAGAGAAGCTTTTGCTCGCCCGCGCGGCCGCATGGTATACATTAGGTTAAGTATACCTAGGGGTCGGATATTCTATTCCTGTAGGTTTCCACTATTCCTGTACAGAATATCCAACTCGTATACCTTAATATCCGACTATAAGCGTAGGAATAGGATATTCGATATAGTATATAGGCCTACGGTCGCGGTTTGCCGTATTTAGACTAGTTTAGGCTTAGAAAGTCGGAATAGCCTATACCTACTCGAAATCGAGGATTTAACTGCTATAATTAGTAATAGCTAAGGAGACCGTATCGTAGTCGCGTATATAGCCCTTTAACGCGTATATATATATTATATACCTTTGCTAATACTATCTCTTTTAGCTATTATATTAAAGTCGCTATAGACAACCCTATTATTCTCGCTCTTATCGTTAGTACGGTCGCTAGAGCTACGCTTACTACCTCGACGGCTTTCTAGTACTCGTCGCGTTCTCGAAGCGGTCGGAAATAGTAGTATAGGCCTATAGGCGTAGTTTAAACGCTAACGGAGCCCTCGAAGGGTAGGAGGGAGGTGTTTCGGTATCTTAATAGTCCGGAAGACTATTATTATATAGTAACTAGCCTGCGATAGGTAGTATTAAAGGACCTAATTACAAAGCTCGAGGAAAGTAGATTAATAGGTAATAGTACCGTTTCGACCGCCGAGAAGACTATAATCTTCTACGACTTCCTAAGGAATAATGCCTTAATTAGGATACTACGAAGGATATATTAGCACTCGTTTAAAACCTTTACGCGTGTTATAAAGGAAGTAAGTAAGATCTTCTATCGACTATAGAGCGAATATATATAGGTACTACGAGGTAACGAGTTACTATACGAGAAGCTATATACCTTTGGCGCTAGTAAAGAGCCTAGCAAGTTCAACTTCTTCTATAGTACGCTCGGTGCCCTTAACGGCTCTTATATACCTATAACTTTGTTAGCGGAAGATTAGTCGTCGTAGCGTAATCGCAAAGGATAGGTTTCTGCTAGCGTAATAGCGGCCTATAGGTTTAATATAAAGTTGCACTATATCTTAGTTAGTTACAAAGAGCTAGCGGCGGACACTACTATACACGACCGTATAGTAAGGCAAGGCTTTAACGTGCCTAAGAACCGCTATTATCTTGCCGACGCTAGATACTCCTTTAATAAGAAGCGATTGTTAGTACTATACTAGTCGACAAGGTATTACCTTCGAGAACAGATTAAGTCTAAACTGCGGCCGAAGACGAAGGAAGAGTTATACAACCTACGGCACTCTTAGCTCCGTAACGTTATTAAGCGACTCTTCGGCGTATTAAAGAAGCGGTTTAAAATACTAGCTTAAGGCGCTTATAGAGGCTATTCGCTTATAGCGCAACTAAGGTTTATTACCGCCTACTTTATCCTTTATAACTTTATTGTCGGGTATAGCTCTTAGCCGCTAAACGAAGAGACTTACCTATTCGACGACCTCGACGACGTACCTTATAATAAGGACGATTATAAAGAGTTGTTAGAGCTAGAAGATAACGATCTAGGCAATATAGGTCTCGGTAATAAAGGATAGCAATTTAGAGAAGATATAGCCGTTAGAATGTAGTTGAGTTACTTGCGTTATCTCGAAATATATAGTCTAGATATACGTAGAGCGTAGGAGAAGGACGAGGAATAGTACGTAGAGGTCGTAGGCTACCTAGTATATTTAGCGGGGGACGAGAGGGGCGTTTTAGGTAGCGAATATAGTGTTCTTTCCTATATATAGCTATTAGTCGTATATTGTTATCTCTAAACTAGGTCTCGGTTTCTCTAGTTAGTAGTTACGAGTATACTTAACGTCACTTTAGTACGGTCTTAGCGGGGTTAACTTTAGGAAGTAAAGAGTATAGAATTTATACTTTATATAATAGCAAATTACGTAAAGTTCGTTAAAGCCTAGTCGAATACTAACAAAGTCGAATTAATTACAACCCCTATATTATTATTAGTACAAAGACTATACTCTCCGAGCTCCTAAATATAAAATATTAGCTCGGACTCGGAAAGCTAACCTCGACTTTAGCTAATTCTTCTAACTTAACCTAGCCTCCTATATTCTACTTAATACTATCTATTCTGCGGCGGATAGTTACTTATAAGCTAAGGCCGCATCTACTGCTATTAGTGCTGTTGTCGTAGCTGTTCTTTACGCGCTAATTAAGCCTATTAAGCCTGCTTAATACGAGCGAGAAGGGCGATAAAGTACTTCGAGAACAGCTCGGTTTTCTTAGTATCTTAAAGCTAACTAATAGTTAGCTAAGCGTGCTTAATAGGACTATTCTCGGCACTAATCTCGGTAAGGATAAGCATCTTGTCCTTAAAGGAAACATTTAGAAGGACGTCGTCGTCTATAAGGCAGTTACTAACTATCGAGATAGCGCTAGTTTATATAGCCGGCTTATCGACTAACTTAGCTAAGGTTGCTATAGTTTGCTAGAATAGTAGTATAGCCTTCTTTAGCGACTGTTTAAAGTCCTTCGAGTAACTAGCTTCTGCCTTCTTCTTAGCTACCGCCTTCTGCTTCTGCTTCTTATTAGCCCTCGTATTCCGAGCGGTAATAATTGTCTATCTCTCGTAGTTAGATAAGCCGCTTAAATCGACGTCTTCTAGCTCGTTAATAACCTCTACCTCCTCGTCCGGCAACTCGGCTTCTAAGCTAATCTCTTCCGTAGGCTTACCCTTACCCTTACCCTTACTACTATTAGAATCTACGTCCGCTAGTCGCTGTCTGCTTATCGCGTTATCGCTAGTCGTAACGTCTCGTCTGTGTGTCTCTTCTATTTCTATCGCGAAGTCCGGCGCCGCGTTCTTAAACTCTCGATACTCTTCGTTACTATCGAAGTATATACGCGTAATCTCCTCGTTTTCCGGCCGCGGAGGGTAGTTACTACTCTGCCCGCTAATGTGCTTTAGGTGCCTCGCATACGGCCTAAACTCCTTCTTTATCTTACGCTATTTGCCCTTTAGTAAGTCCTACTTAGAAAACACCTTATACTTTAGCGATATACGCGTAGCGAGCGTACGCTAGTCGGTAGCCTTAAAGGTTTAATTATCGGTCATTTTGCCTTTATCTTTGAACTTCTTAAGGCTAAGAAGTATAGCTTTAATATGGATTAACTTATAACGAGCTAGTTATAGAAACTACGAGCCGATATCCTCTAACTTCTTCTTCCGCTACGCCGTCGCCTTCTTCTCGTTCGAATTTAAAGCCGTCCTACCTACGCTAGGTTTCTTCGTAGGAGTCTTCGCTATACTAAATACTAGGGGGTTCGTTAAGAGTTAGAATATACAGTATATACTAGCAATAGTACGAGAAACAGCTATAGGAATAGTAGGAGACGCGTTCGCGATAAGGTTCGAGGAAGGAACCGAGGGCCGATTATAAGAGTACGGACAATTCGATAATCCTACTGTTAGGACTAAAGAGGTTATACGTAATTGGCATATAACCGGGCTCGAGTAAAGCTAGGGTCTTAATGCCTTAGGCAGGGCTTAGCGCTTAGCAATAGGCTAACTTACCTGCCTTCCTCCCTCTCCTCCTAGCTCCTTATCGAATACTACTCGTACCTACTACTACCCTATCTACCTGCTAATATACCCTTCTTATACAGTATTCGATCCACCCTTTAAGGGCAGTAGCTAGATAGTCCTTATCTTAAGCTTTTAGCGATATAGCTACGAAAACTATCGATTTAACTATATTGCGCCCGAAGAACGGGACCTATACGTACTATTCTACTAAAACAACCGTACTAATTATTAAGCAAGGCCTTCTATACGGCCTATTATACTAAGTTAAGTATACTAGACCGATATCTACTAATTCCGCTACTTCCGTATCTTAGGGGCTAATAATATATTATTAGTGTTACTCCCTATTACAATAGCCGGCTTATTACGAAGCAATAACAACCGTGCTGCCGCTAGCAGCGCTAGCAATAACAACGCTAGTAGTATAGTACCTACTAAAGTGCCTACCGAAGCACCTACTAAGGTGCCTACTAAAGAGCCTGCTACTAGGCCTACCGAAGAACCTATAGTTCTAGGTAACGACCTAGAATTGCCTGTCGACGACATTCTTAACAATATTATCAATCGTCGATATAGCTAACTAGCCTTTAGTCCTTAACTAGTAGGGAGACTTTAAGAAGCTACCTAAAACAGGCTTACTGCCCTACGTTAAGAACAATAGCTAAAGGATAATCTCCTCGAGATCCGCCGCCTATAGGAAGCCCTAACAACTAACATTAAGCCGATAGTAGGGCCTTCCTTACTATTAGTCCTAGTCTAGAAGAAGGATACTAAACTTAAGGACTATACCGTGTTTAATAGCTCTAGTCGAAAGCAATATAACGACTACATTCGTAACTATAAGCTTAACTAACGAAACGCACTAAGGGCTCTACTAAATAACTATTTACTAGTCGTCTATGCTATATAGTATATTAACGGCGACCTAAAACGCACCTAGGATAACTATTTTAACTCCCTTAATAACTAGACTGCTGTTTAGTAGCAGACCTATAAAACTATTATACTAGACACCCTTAGAAACCCTATACTAAGGCAATAACACGCTTAGGACTAGTACCTTCGAGCTAAACAAAAGACTAATT